CCACTTCCCGATCTTCTGAAGTCTGCAAACTTCTGAAGCCTGCAAGGTGCATGTCGCTAACGCACCTGTTCGCAAATGCATGCGTTGTTCTGGAGGGGTCGCTTCTGCTCACGTGTTGCTCGTGCGCGTGGCCCGGCTGTCCTCAGTCTGGCTGCTCGTGGTCTGCTCCTCCTCCACGTCCCTGCACCTGCTGTGGTTCGCATATCCCCACTGCTCTCCTCCTCTGTGGGCTGCTCCGCGGGCTGCTCCGCGGGGCCCCTCCGCGGTTCTGTGCTGCTCGTTCCTCGTGGTCTGCTGCCGCGCGCAGACGGTCTGCTGGTGCCGTGCGTGTCCCTGCCTCCGATTGGCGGTGCCGCGTTGTCCCGTTGCTTCCCAAGTCTCCTGGCATGTGAGTACAGTGAGCGTGCCGACCGCGGACAGTTTAATCCCGGAGTCTAGGCTGCAGGCGGCCGGTTTTTGCCCTACGCACTTGACTGCAGGCGTCAGTCTTCGCCCCGTGCTTGGTCTGCAGGCTCCGTTTTACACGTGTTTGAGCTAACTGAGGGACAATGCATCTTAAATGGCATCAATCTCCAATGTCTGAGGGATATAAGAGGAGCAATGTGCATTAATTCAGATTCATGTTCTGCCACTTGCAGTAAAACCACGTTGGAAAAAAAATGTGCAAAGACTACCCCATCGTGCTCCAGACGGCACACACAGAGCTCTTGCACGGCGCCATCTTTACAGCATCAATCTCATTACTCGCAAGTCACTATTGTTAAATGAATGTATTTAAATTTGTCTATCTGCAGGAGGAAAGAGGGGCCATGCATTTAAATAGCTAGGTCACTAGTATTAAATTGGTAACTAAACTGCAGCTGTTGCATTTCGAAAGTGCAGCAGAAAGAAAAAGGGCCCAATGTGAATCTGCAATGGGTTTGAAGTGGAGCTGGAGCTAATGAACGCATGGATCAGTGATCGTTCATGCGTTCTACCATAATCAAAGCAGCAAGATGGCTCCAGGGGACATCTGGTTCTCGCATGGGAATGTTTCGGTTTCGGGTTGATTTATTTCCTCAGGCTCTTAAACAACCGTGGGCATGGTTCTCTGACCGCCGCTGCTGCGGTCCCTGCTGCCGTTCCTACTGATGCCTGATCCCGCTGCTGCCTATTCCTGCTGCTGCCTGTCCCGGCTGCCTGCTCCTGCTGCTCCTACTACTACATGTGCCGCTGCTGCTGTTCCTGCCGCTGCCGCTCCGCAGGCTCCTAGGCTGCACCTGTCTCTACGGCTCGGCTCTTCAGACACGTACGTAACCTGGCTCACGGAGACAAGCGGCGCACACTGGCGTGACACGTCTGTTGTTCGTATGAATCGCATTGTGCTGCTGCTGCTTGCTGCTTCTGCTGCCGCTACTGCTGCTATTGCTGCCGCTGCTGCTTCCTACTGCTACCGCTTCCGTGCTGCTGCTGCTTCTTTACTTTGACACCTCTCTTCACTGCGCATCTCTTTTACTGAAACACTAAATAGCTTCAACTATATTCTACTGCGGTGGCTTGATACAGGATTATTGCTGTTATTATCTACGGATGCTGCAGCTGCTGCTGCTGCTGCTTCATGCTGCTACCGTTACTGCTGCTACTGCTGCCGCTGCTGCTTCATACTGCATCTGCTGCCGTGCTGCTGCTGCTTCATGTACTTTGACATCTCTCTTCACTTCGCATCTCTTTTACTGAAACACTAAACAGCTACAACAATATTCTACTGCTCTGGCTTTGATACAGGATTATTGCTGTTATTATCTACGGATGCTGCAACCGCTGCTGCTTCATACTGCTACTGCTGCTGCTGCTTCATACTGCTACGGCTACTGCTGCTGCTTCATACGGCTACTACTGCTGCTGCTGCTTCATTTACTTTGCCATCTCTCTTCACTTCGCATCTCTTTTACTGAAACCCTGAACAGCTACAACAACATTCTACTGCTGTTGGCTTTGATACAGAACTATTACTGTTATTTTCTAAGGACGCTGCTGCTGCTGCTGCTGCTGCTACTGCTGCTGCCGCGGCTTGATACAGGACTTTTGCTGTTATTATCTGAGGCTACTGCTGCTGCCGCTGCTGCTACTGCTACTGCAACCCATTCTCTCAGAAGCTTATCCTGCTTCTAATGGATGCAGCCCGGCTGAGTATGCCGCGCTGCGCCGGACTCGCACCTATGCTCCCAGGGTCGCTTCGGCGGTCGTGCTTCATCTCTCTACTGAATCTTCTGATTCTATCAGATGCAGCTGGCCAAGTAGCTGCGCTGAGCCGTCAATCGGACTCCTAATCAAAGGCATCCATACCTGGTTCTTCACTCTTCTGATCACAGGCTCCCCATCATGCTGCCCATTCCTGCAGCGGCGCTGAACTCCGGCTCATCTTCCAGTACATGTCTGCCCTCCTCGCAGCATCTTCTGCTCGCCTTCTGTGGCTTCTCTGCATAAGCGTTTCACCACTGCTCACTCAACCTTCTATGCGGTCCGAGACACGGCTTTTCCCGTCCTATTCTACTGGCCTAATTATCTACTCTCCAACCCAAGATTCTAAGCGTAAGGGCGCCTGCAACAATGGCCCTCTCCGGTGTGTCTCTCTGCCCCTACAGGTCTCCGCTTCTACACGGACGCTGCCCCTTCCGTGGGTTTTTGGGGGATTCTTCCAGGACCAGTGGTTCGCCGGCCGTGGCCCGCTACTTTCCCCGGAGCATTTCCTCTGCCCTACACGAGACATTCCCAGTGGTCGTGGCCTGCGCGCTGCGGAATCACACGTGGCAGAGAAAGATCAGAGGCGCCTGCAACACAATAATAGCTCGCTTCGACACATCTCTCTGCCCCTACAGGTCCATGATGCGTTACACTCGCCTCCGCGGCAAAAAGGAGATTTTAACGGACCTCTAATTCTCACTCCAGTCAACCTTCCCATAACAGCAACCTGGTTCAGAGCTCAGCTAAGATCCCTACTGCTCCTCTGCAATTTGTCTCCCCAGCTCTATACAGCCCACTCCTTCAGGATAGGCGCTGCCACGCGCGCGACCTCGCTGGGGCTCCCCCACTCTTCCTCTGCAACAGCTGGGGCGCTGGTCCTCTTCGGCTTCTCCACCTACATCAGGCCAGATGCGACCGCTATCATGGCAGCACAACGTCTACCGGCTTCCTCGTAAGCTCCCAGCAAAACAAGTAAGCAATAAGATTCTGGTGGCGGCACGCACTTCCTCAAACGCTCAAAGATTCCTTGCTTCAGCGTCTGGCTGAATATGAGCGTGCGCTCATATTCTCAGCTCGCTCAAAGATTCCTCTGCTGCGGCTGGCTGAACATGCGCGTGCGCGCATGTTCTCAGTTCGCTCAAAGATTCCTCTGCTGCGGCTGGCTGAACATGCGCGTGCGCGCATGTTCTCAGTTCGCTCAAAGATTCCTCTGCTGCGGCTGGCTGAACATGCGCGTGCGCGCATGTTCTCAGTTCGCTCAAAGATTCCTCTGCTGCGGCTGGCTGAACATGCGCGTGCGCGCATGTTCTCAGTTCGCTCAAAGATTCCTCTGCTGCAGCGGCTGGCTGAACATGCGCGTGCGCGCATGTTCTCAGTTCGCTCAAAGATTCCTCTGCTACAGCGGCTGGCTGAACATGCGCGTGCGCGCATGTTCTCAGTTCGCTCAAAGATTCCTCTGCTGCGGCTGGCTGAACATGCGCGTGCGCGCATGTTCTCAGTTCGCTCAAAGATTCCTCTGCTGCGGCTGGCTGAACATGCGCGTGCGCGCATGTTCTCAGTTCGCTCAAAGATTCCTCTGCTGCGGCTGGCTGAACATGCGCGTGCGCGCATGTTCTCAGTTCGCTCAAAGATTCCTCTGCTGCGGCTGGCTGAACATGCGCGTGCGCGCATGTTCTCAGTTCGCTCAAAGATTCCTCTGCTACAGCGGCTGGCTGAACATGCGCGTGCGCGCATGTTCTCAGTTCGCTCAAAGATTCCTCTGCTACAGCGGCTGGCTGAACATGCGCGTGCGCGCATGTTCTCAGCTCGCTCGAAGATTCCTCTGCTACAGCGGCTGGCTGAGCATGTTCTCAGCTCGCTCATGCTCTCAGGCCCGCGCAGTGCGTCCTGCTATCCCAATCGCAGGCCCGCTTTTTGGGGATCATGCACGCGAGCAAGCGCCGTGCTCAACAGCATCCCGCCCGGGCCTAGGGCGCCAAACATGCTCAATCAATAAACATGCTTAAATCCCTAGGGCGCCAAACATGCTCAATCAATAAACATGCTTAAATCTAATAAGTCTAATGCGTTTTCCTCATGGGTCTCTCCAAGGTGAAATGGAGCTTTCGCGAAAGTTCACCGTGGTAGACCCGGCTGTTGCTGCCAGGCCACAGGCTGCTCTTCCTCGACTCATCAATACCAGCAACGCCCACACCCAGTCAACCAATAACCACCAGGACAGCAAGTTAAAAGCCGGAGACGCCCACTTCCCGATCTTCTGAAGTCTGCAAGCCGCCGCCGCCCCACCTCCTCCTTCTCGCATGAAGCGTGTTGCCTACTGCCTCTGCCGTCACCAGTGCCTAGGCCCCGGGGGGATCATGCACGCGAGCAAGCGCCGTGCTCAACAGCATCCCGCCCGGGCCTAGGGCGCCAAACATGCTCAATCAATAAACATGCTTAAATCTAATAAGTCTAATGCGTTTTCCTCATGGGTCTCTCCAAGGTGAAGTTGTTTTTCTGTAAATCTAAGTTTTTAGTGAAATACATACTCATTATTAGAGCATTTGCCAAACCCCCTTTTTAGTTTAATAAAATCGTTGACCAAGAATTCCTTTGGTCGACTGCAGCTCTGGACATAACACACCATTGTTTATTATGTCTCTAACACAGTTTAAATGAGTGCAACTAGAACTGGTTCTGAAACATTGTCTTAAATGTTCCTCAGTGGATCAAAAACATGACAGTGTCCATAGAGCAGCAGGAGACAGAAACATGAAATTAGTGCATCTGGAGTTTACCTCAGTCACGATGTTGTTCTTGAGTCCTTCAGTGACGTTGTAGTCCCATCCATCCACACAGTCCACGATGGCAGAGCGGCTGCTGTTGCTGAACTGCTTACACTTGGAAGGTCCTCCGCTATCCCCGGGTCGGTCTCCCTTCACCCAGGGCAACGACGCATTCAAGACCTCGGGTAAAGAAGAGGCCACGCGCAGGCGGCAGTGGTGTGGAGGGGACAGAGTGATCAACCCGTCAGACGAAAGGAGAAACGCCAGGAACAGGTTTGGGAGAATGGAGAGGGCGATCAGGACACGCTGCTTTTTACGTCCTAAAGCCAGCACCATGACTTCACCAGTGGGGGGCAGCGCAGGTGGGAGAGGAAGGGATGAGGAGGATGGAGCAGGGGACGATGGGATGGGAGAGGAGGGGAGAGATGGGGGAGGCGGGGGACATGGAGAGGGGGACACGAGCGGGGGAGAGTCTGGAGAAGTCATTGTGAAGAGAGATCTGCGGAGAACATGACAACAGAGTCTGTTTAAATAATTAGGAAGGGCCTGAAATCTTCCTGTCTCCACAACGATATTGCTTTGCCTGAAATCTTCCACAACAAAGCATGAAGTTTGGCAATATCCATTTAAAACAAAAGGTGATACAAGCAGACCATTGATTCAAGACAAGACCTCAAGAGAACAAGAGGGAGTTTGGTCAGTGTGCGGCGTGTGCGGTGATGCTGTTGTGGTGAAGAGTCCGAGGCCGTGGGGAAGACCCACGAGACACTGGAGGGATTATGTCTCTCAGATTTAATAAAACTGCTGCATCTGTGACCGGGCTCAGGATAAAGCAGAAGAAAATTAATGGATAGGAGGATGGAGTCAAACGCTTTCTGAAGCATTTTTAACAACTCAATAGTAACAAGAGTAATCCGTCCATTCATTTTCTTCTGCCCAGAATTACCTATCCACACAAACTTCCTCCAGCTCATCCAGGGGAATCCCAAGGTGTTCCCAATCCAGGTGAGAGATTCTCTGGGGCCTCCTCCGACATGCCTGGACCAACTCCACAGAGAGGCTTCTAGGACGCATCCAAAACAGATGTCTGATCCATCTCAACTGGCTCCTGTTGACATTAAGAAGCAGTGGCTCTACTACAAGCTCTCTGCCACTCTGCGGAGGAAACTTTGGAAGACTTTTCCCTTCCAAATTTCTCTTGTATTTGCGATTGTACCCTTTTAGTCATTACCCAAAGCTCACAGATTAGACCGTTAGACAGGTTAGTTTTACTCTACTGATGATGTGGTGTAGTGTAATCCTGCATGACAGAAGTCTGGCTTCAATGGTAGAAACCGGAGCATAGTGGGCTTTAACCTTTACTTATTTCAATTATTTAATGTATTTACATTTACAAGACGAACAATGTATGGAAATATACAACTTATGCCCATACAGTGGAGAACTGTCTATGTTTGTTCAGTATTCCACTAACTAGAACTATCAGTCCTAACACTTATAAGGGTTAAACTAAACATATTTATAAATGTAATGTATAAAAGGTTTTATTACACAAATTAAACTTTGGTTTAACTTAAGGAAGTAGTTTACATAAATGTTTTGTTTGATTATATAGATTAAGAAATAACAAATATGTGTTGTTGTGTGACATGAAACTTGCACGTGGCTGCAGAAACAATTGTTAATATCATAATACAGTGTCTCCCAAAGTGGGGTCCGCGGCCCCCTGGTGGGCCGCGAGGGTACTGCAGGGGGGCCGCGGGAGGTCATAAAAAAAAATAAAAAAAAAATAAATAATTATTTAATGTTAAATTTATAATGTTTTGTTTGTAATATTAAAATATTTGTGTTCATTATTTGACTTGATTAATCCACTGTAATCATTTTTGTATTACAATGTTTGTAGCAGAGGCTATTTCCCCAAAATAAAATAACCAGAAGAGCCTATTCTTAATGTTGTCTTCTTGGTTATTATTTTGGGGGGCCAGGCAGACCCGTCAGATTTTTAAGGGGGCCTCGGTGTTACTGAGTTTGGGAATGGCTGTCATAATAAATGATGGGCTACCAGAATTCTGAAACTACTAGAACTCGAGCACTCATATTAATGGGATTTAGGTTTTCACTACTTTTATAATTCATAGTTTTTTTTTTATCTTTAAAACATTTATAATTTATCTTGAATACATTTGATACATGCCAAAACTGGTGAATAATAATGAAATACAGCAACACTGAAGGCGACCTGCTGCATGTAAACACTGCGTTGCTATGGTAATTATCACTTGCTGTGAACCAGTCCAGGACCAGTCTAGGATCAATAATATTTTTAAAACCATAGAAATAAATTACATATAGATACATAATAAGTCACAAAAGTTATGACGACCAAAAACCTACACAAGCGAAGTATTCACACTTCCAAAACGAAAGAAGCCGTCAAAATGACTGTTTACAAAAAATGGTAACAAGCAGCTCTGATCCAGTTAGACGAGCCTGGAATGTGGACAAGCTGTGCCTTCAGCCACCTCTCCTGTCGGCTGCACATGCTTCCTTTGGTCAGGAAGTCTCGGATGTACAAAAAAATAAAAAAAACATGTCCCACGATCTTACATAAGAAGTGCCTTTATACAGAGGAGGGTAAAGGGCGAGGAGGGGATGGAACCATCTGCAAGTGGAGCTGACACACAAAAGCTTCGTGCGAATCAGACTGGAAATAAAAAGTGTTTGGAGATTTCTGAGAGTAATTCCAGCTGCCATGATAGCGTCAACACATGAACATATTATTATTATTATTATTATGGACGTACACAGTGTGACTTACCTTGAATGGAGCGTGGAGAGCCTACTGTCCGCTTCGACTGCTACATTCCCAAAACATTGCGTAGTGAGAAGTGGTGTAGCTGCATTCCCTCCTACTGCGATATCCTTGTGTTGTGTTATGTTATGTTATGTTATCCCGCTGTAAAAAGCCATGTTGGATCATGAAGAAGTATCGCAGACTAGACTACATGTATTATCAAGTCCAGAGGAAGCTAATGATGGGAGCAGGATGGCACACGCAGGCTGCAGTCACACGGCGGATGCTCCCATGGCCAGTCTCCGTCTCCAAGTTTCATGTAAGAAAAATCCCAAATAAATCATAATATTCGCAAACGAGGGAGGGTTAAATGGCAGAGCATTGCCTGACAAAGATACGATTCAAGGCGGACACGGGTAGTTTAAAAAGAGGAGAGAAAGCAACACAGACAGAGCCGGTGTCGCTTCGAGAAAAATCGGCTTGGATCGTCAAAGCCCGAGTGGAGACACAGATCGTTTCTGTGTTAAGAGGGGGCACTCTGAGGATATATTTTTAACAATGACGCCATTTTAGTTGTGATAATATTGTGTCCTCCAACACTTTAATGGTATACATTTTAATCGTTTCTTTAGGTTGTTTTGTCTGTATCAACTTCTCGTATGTGTGTGCTTTTAATCGATGCTATTTCCAAAAACGTAAACAAAACATCGTCTTTATAGTAGTTTATGTCTGATCACACAGAATTTACAAACTAGTTTGTATATTTTCATGTAAGTTACATAAAAGGTCTATTTCCATCATGTTTGTCTTTTGAACGAGGGTTAGAGTGAGACGTTTGTCATTCTTTCATCCTTCTGTCGTTCTGCTCTCGCGCCACATGAGGGAGCCATTCATCAAAGTGTTGGAGAATGTGCCTGAAAAGTGAGTGACATACATTTTCATCTGACGATGCAGACCCTAGAGTCATTTAGAATTATATGGACTGTAATTGATTTTCACCCATTTGTCTGTGGGGAAACTTAAAGCGATAAAACTCTTGTGTGCATGCAGCATAGACCCATCTTTATCAAACAATCTACATTTTAAGTGAGCTCTTTTAATTGTTGAAACAACCCGTCACATCTCACAGGTGTCATGGTAAGATCAAAGCAGCAAACAGTGAAATCATATTAAATGAAAATGAAAGAAAACACAGGAAAATGAATATATTAATTTAGAAAAGAATCATAAGTTTGAAAAAAATAAAACTCATAAGTTTGGAAAAATAAATAAATCATCGATTTCATCCATCTTGATTATTTGTACATGTTTAAGAAAGGGGAAGCATCATATGATACATTTCTTTCTGCTCCTTTTCATTTGTGTGACAGGACTATAGCGTACTGTGATGTCATGTCCACAAGTGAAATAAATAAATAAATGAATAAATAAATGATGTACAGCTGTGTTTTGGACTGTGCACAATAATGTGCGGTGTTCCGTTTGGGCTTTTTGTGGCTTGGGGGTCAGAAATCTGTACCAGTCAGTATCTGATGCACACATTCCAACAGATGGATCAGGTGGTTGATTGTAGCTTGTGCAGTCTTGTTTCCGCTCCTCTTCAATGTGCGAAGTTTCTGCACCCATGGTCATGTTTGCTATGGTCTGGATTGCTGTATACAGCAGTGTGTTCCAGTTCCTGCTAATATCCAGCAGCTTCACTGCTGAGGAGGAGTGGACCAACATGTCAAATGATTGTCTATACAAAGTCATGCTGTCTAATCAGCATCTTGATGTGCCACACATCTGGGATGTATTGTCTCAAAAAAGAAAGAGACACATTTGTCAACAATGTCTGATAGAGATGGGTCCATTGTTCATGTAGAGTTGTAAACTTTAAGCTGAAGCCATAAGCAATAGAAGCATAACAAGTCCTGCATTTCTGAATCCTGAATATGAGATGACTCTTATAATGACTCATAACTCACTATCTTTTGCATGATGGTAATACATCATATACGATAATATGATACATATACGTAAATATGTAATATAGTATTTATGTTTGTAATAATACACAAGCTGTACAATGAAAACTGTCATTACGGTCAGTTATCACAGACTTTGTCGACTGGTGCGAGCGCAACTACTCGTGCTTGAACACCAGTAAGACCAAGGAGATGATCATCGACTTCAGGAGAAAACCACTTTCCCACACGCTGCTGAACATCCAGGGGGAGGACATTGAGCTGGTGGACAGCTTCAAGTACCATACCATACCAGCTTTATTTATAAAGCACTTTAAAAACTTTACAGTTCAGCCAAAGTGCTGTACACAAAAACAAACACAATGACAAAAAATACATATATAAAACAATATTTCCGAAAATCAAACATTATCAAAAGCACATAAAAAAAGATGAGTTTTAAGAAGTGACTTAAAAACAGGCAGAGACTGAGCCTGTCTTATCTCAATGGGTAACTGATTCCAAAGACGTGGACCTGCAACAGAAAAAGCTCGGTCACCACGAAGCTTACGCTGTGTCTGACTTAGGGACCACCAGCATCAGCTGATCTGCCGACCTCAGGGCACGAGAGGGAACATAGGGCAGAATAAGATCACAGAGGTAGGAGGGGGCCAGTCCATTTAAACATTTAAAAGTAAATAAAATAATTTTAAAATTCTACAACCAACTGGAAGCCAGTACCTGGGTGTTCACATTAACAATAAACTGGACTGGTCCCATAACACTAACGCCCTGTACAAGAAGGGCCAAAGTCGCCTCCACCTTCACAGAAGGCTGAGGTCCTTGGGAGTGAGCAGGCCTCTGCTCAGGACTTTTTATGACTCTGTGGTAGCGTCTGCCATACACTACGCTGCCGTGTGCTGGGCCCCGGGCAGCACAGAGCGGGACAGGAGCAGACTGAACAAGCTGGTCAGGAGGGCCAGCTCCACTCTGGGCTGCCCCCTGGACTCTGTGGAGGAGGTGAGGGACAGGAGGTGCTACTCAAAGCCACCTCCATCATGAACAACACCTCCCACTGCACAGGAGGAGCTGCTTCAGTGGAAGACTGAGGCAGCCTCAGTGTAAGAAGGAGCACTACCGCAAGGCCTTTATCCTCACCGCTGTCAGACTGTACAACAAGTTACTTTAAGTCACTGTATTAAGACTGAAAAAACTTGCACTACTATTGACACTGTTTTTGATTTTACTTTTAAATTGCCACATTTTTATTGTACATAATATATCCTGCATTTAACATGTTTGCACATTTCCTCTCTTTTTGCACAATCTGAGTATTTCTATCCAAATGTGACATGTACATTTCTCCTTTGTGAGATAAATAAAGCATATCTTATCTTATCTTATTACAATTATTGTTTTGGTGTTTGTTTGTAGCACTGTTGAGCTGAGCATTCCTGCAGGACCTGAAACAAATTCCACCATCTTGTTGTGTGGTCATTAATATATGATTCTGATTCTGATTTAGACTATGTATATTTACAATATGTTTGCATTTATGTCTAACAAACACCTATAGGCCGTAAATGGGCCCAAAATAAACCTCACATAAACAAAAAATCATGAACACCTCAAAGTACGGTCACCACGTTAAAAAGGGGCAGGTTTAGGGTCAAATCAACTGAATTTATGAAAGAACTGTGAGATATAAGAAAACATGAGCTGCTTTCACCGTTTTCACTGTTGTTTGTTGTTGAGTAACTCTATAGTTTTAGGTGAAACACAGTCTTTCTTCACTTCAGATGTTGCAGTCCTGGGACCACACATTTCATCACATGACGCTCGGACATTTCAACAGACAAGAAGCCACATCAGAGCCGTGGTCATTATCAATAGCAAAGAAACATAAGGAATTATATTGTTTGTTACTATCTTTTTGGAGACTGTTTTATTAAGTTTTATGAATAATGTTTTTTTAAATCTGCTTAAAATGCGAACTATATTTTAGAGGTTGGTGATGGTTGTTGGAGATATTATCCATCTTCCTTGGTAACAAAAACCATTAAAGTAGAAAAAGATGAAAAACAATCTGCCGTGAAGGAGGCTGCTTATCTGTTTATTTGATTGTGGCAGTGCATTTTAAAGCTAAGGTACCTGACTTTCAAACCACAACAAATGAACAATGTAGAATAGCTGTTGTACGTAGTCCTCGCTCTCGGATCAGTTTTATCATTAGTATCCACATGCTTTAGATCAGCTTGTTTGGCAGGAAGTGAATGATTATAGTCGAGGATTCAGCTGAACTTTAGTCGATATTTAAGATGTGTCTCGTGCCAACAACTGTAGTAAATATTTATCTTTGTGTAATCATCAATTACAGTAAGATACTCATAAAGTAATTCAAAGATCCATTCTACAGTAATGCCTCATTTAAATTCAACTGCTTAAAGGAGTCATTTTCAGCAATTTTTGTCACCAAATTTTCAAGCCATCAATAAACCAAGACTGATCCAAAAATATAGAATCTCTGGAATCATTAACTTTATAAACTTTATTGATCCACAACGACATCACAGCAGCTCACACGATACAATAACATTTGTTCAAATGAAAACAGCCAAGATATGTCCAAAATGTACAAATGCACAGATGTGTATATACAACAAGACTCAAACAATATTATGTTTATTTATCTTGACAAAATATGTTACATGGTGAAGTTGCAACACACTGAAAAGCTGCGATACCTAACTTTCAAACAACATTAATCTGAACTAAATCCAAATGCATCTAACTAACTGGCTCTGAAACGGTTTGGGTCTTTTCACACACAAAATGGAAAAAGAGAAGACCGCACTCACTCAGCCCAAAGCCCAAGACTCTTTCATACAAAATAACTTAGGTACCTCAGCTTTAATATAAAAAAGAAGATGCTTGCTCAAAATGATCTATTTATACCTGACACAGTCTTTATTATGGCATGTTCATTTTTAGCAGAAGTCACTTTTATGTCATAACAATGGGATGACTTGTATAATGACTCTTGCTCTATCTCTGTGTCCTTCCACTGCCACAGGAAAGCTCTGCTGCCCCGAAAGTGACTGATACCATCTTGACACGCTCCTGTCTCTGTCCTGATGTGTTGAAATCTGGCCCGTCCTCAGAAGGAAACCGCGACTGAACAACGGTCTCCGCCATGACATCCGCTTCTGTGGCTGTAGCTGACGGTAAATGATGCTCATGGCTCCTGTAGGCCGCACGGTTATGGACCAATCTCTCAATACGATTTATTTAGCTGAGATCTCGATATACTTTTATTTACTTTATCATTATCAGTTTGAACAAAGCACTTTTATTATCTTTCGCTTGTTATTTATCTAAAGTATTGGTTTCACAGCGACAATTGTTACTTGTACTTTTTAGCTTGTTTTTATATACACTAGTCTGAGGCACATTGGGGACACTTGCACATGTATTCCAATGTGGTTTTACTGCAAATGGCAAATTAACTGAAGCTGAATCTGAAAAGCACATGATCAAACACACTTCCTTTTGCTGAAAATCTGGTTGTACTAAACTTGTCATTGCATTGTGTTTAATCAAGTTTAAGTTTTTGTATCTATGCATACTTAAAAATATAAATGGCTTTGTGTTTTAAAAGATCAAAAATCTTCAAACACAAATTATTCACAGACTTAAACTATAGTACAACCAGGTTTTTTCAGGAAAAGGAATCTCATCCTGTGTGTTTCGTTTGTTTTTTCATAAATGTGGGAAAGAAATTGCTAAAAAAAACGTTGCAAAAACCAACTGGAATAGTGTGTGGTTGAGAAGTCGGAGCCAATAAAAATAACTTCCCACTGAGAAAAAACATGGCTGTGCAGATTTCATTTGATTTTATTTGTATATTTATTATTTTCAAACAGTGATTTTGCTATTTACATTCAATAAAATTGCGATTTGGTTCAATTGTGTGGATCGTGCCGTTCTGGTCGTCATGGAGGAGACGCAGACCGAGACAGAGACATGTAATGATTTATGACACATCGTACTGCTCACATCAAGCATTTTCATAACAACGGTTATTTTCTATGGTATGTTCTTGTTCTGTAAAAACACTTTTAAAGGTGAGAACAGTTTGTGACGAGAGCTATGTTACACAAGCTGAATGACATGATTATCTTTAGATAATGTTGAGAAATGCATTGGGGAATAAAACAGTTCACAAAGACTATAGATTATTAGTAAGTCCCAACAAATTAAACAAATGTGTCTTCTCGTTTTCAGATTTAGAAGTCAGAGATCCTTGTTTATTACATGGCACAGGTGAATCTGGCCCAGTTTGAACTGTTATGTTATCTCATAATAATAATGACATTAATGATAATAATGAAATACAATCACAGTGGTGGAAAGTAACAACGTTCTCAAGTAGCACATATCCAGATATATACTATAGACTCAATGTTACAGAATATACTTTGTTGCTTCATTAACAAGATCCACATCTGAAAATTACAAAATATGTTTCCTGAGATTTTTTTGAGTGCACAATTGTTGTGCACAATGTTGTACAGAAGAATATTGAACTTCGCACATGGAACAATCCGGGTGCGTTGGATGAACGGGAACAGTCCCAGTGGATTCAATGAAAGACAGAATCCTGCACATCGTAATCCTTGATAATATAACACTTATTAGAGTAAACATTTTGACCCAACAGCCTTCTTCAGATACATTGTACTCTTACAAGTATCACGACCTACAGTAAAACACTGTGAACAACCACAACCTGCAGTCTTCATCTGATTAGAAAACATACATGTGAGAAAGAACCCTGTGAGTCACTTTTTGACCCTTTGGATGGTTCTCTCTTTTTCACTTTTTTCGCTAAAGATTTTACAAAATAAGGAATGGATGTGGTAACCATAGAACCAAACATTGTTTTACATTGTTCAGTCTTTTGTGGTTTTAAAGTCAGGTCCCTCAGCTTTAAAACCACGCAATCACTGGAGTACTACAGCTTTGCCCTCCTGACATAGATGTGTCCACCCTCATGTGCCATATGTGTTCAGAGCGAGGGCCCCGCGGGCCCCTGCTCTGCCGCCTGCTGCAGGTGTCTCTGTGAGAGGATGTGCTTGAGTGAGTCCAGCTCCTGGGACAGGAGGGCGATCCGCTGCTGCAGCCGCTGGTTCTCGTCCTGCAGCTGGAGCGCTCTCTGTTGCGTCAGTAGAATCCGGTGTCGCGCCTTGTCGCGGCTCTTCCTGACCGCGATGTTGTTCCTCTCTCGCCGCAGACGGTACTCAGGGCTGTCTTTACTGATGCTGCGCTTGGACACCTGCGGGGGCCGCAGAGACGGGTGCAGGAACGAGAAGTCCTGGACAACCAGACACCAAATCATTTCAGTCATTACTCATTCACAGACACACTATAATCTATTTTGATAAAGTATAAATCAAAATAGAAAAAATAATAATACAAAAACATGTTGTTATCACAAACCTATTTTTGTAGTATTATTCTGAGGATCAGATTAAAAGCCTTTTATGGAACTTCTTTGCCAAAATACAAACTGAAAATAAGAATATCTTTTTTTATTTTCCAAATGATGAGGAATTAGGTCTGTTGCCACAGTGAGAGGTAGCTAAAGTAATCATCTTGGTAAAAGTTAAAGAATTGAAATCATTCCCTTACTCAAGTAAAAGTATAAAAGTACATGCTTTGTATTGTATTGTAGTTGTATTGACAAACAATATATTTATTTGAGAAATTTGAGGTATTGCCTTTGAAACACTTTAGACTGTACAGAGATTATGACAATAAACAAAACATGTACTAAGTAGCACGGCAAACCACAATAAATGAATTCAATTAGAAGCATGGCTAACCACTTAGAACTTGTTTATGATTTACGTAAAGAGTAGGAAGTACAGATAATTTTGTTTAAAAGTAAAGAGGCAGCACTTTGCAAAAGTGTGTGATATAGATAACCGACTTTACTGGACTAATCTGCAGAGTGAATTAAAACATCATTATCATGGAGAATGGATATAAATGCATTTTATGAGATTTTCAAGACATAAAAAAGACATAAATTAATCTTGACAAAAAAGGACTTGACTATCTATGTTATAGTGATTAAATGTGCTTAATCTTAAACTTTAATAAAAATCTTTTTGCTTGACCTGTATGGAAGATTTTATGTGTCGTCAGATTTTGAATTTTTTGTAGCTTGAATTTTTCCGTTTGAAATTTTTAACCCTGAAAAAGCAAGTTTGAATATTTTTATCTTTACTTTTCAGTCACTAAAAATTCAGTTTACAAATTTAAATGTGATTAAAATTTCAAAATGACATATTCACCCTCAAAATATTCAATATATTGACGGATTATTTGTTCCATCAGAAATTGAATTTTAAATGGACCTGAATTCCTCTATTTGAATGTTTTTAACATCTTGAATATGTTTTTCTGTGAATTTCAGTCACTGATTATCAATTTCATAATGTCAAATTCAACAGTCAAAATTCAACGAGAAAAAAATTCAATGGTGAAAAATGTACATGACACATCCGGTGTTCTGACGAGTTATGTGCTCTGTCAGTTGGTCTGCGCATGCGTCATTTTACTGAGGTAAAGACTGGCGCTAGCTTTCAGCAGGTTCATCGGTTGATAACATGAATCTAACAGGTTGATATGAGATTTCTAATGAATGGATTGTAATGAAACCAAGGCGAATAACAAGATGATACTACATTAATTTGATGAGTTAGTCTTTTGGGTAAATGTGCTCGTTTCAAATCATTATAGCTGTATATTCCTGTTTATTTATTTAGGCTATGTGTGTTTGTTTGTGTTCATGAAAACCATCACATTTGAACATTTATAGCAGCAAAGGACAGTGTTATTGTTGGTTACGTTACACAGTATTTGGGTCTAGTTTCCCGTGTAGCAGTTTCCACAGGGCTCACTCGTGTTACTTGAAAAAGAGCTCCATGTAAAGGAATTAACAAAAAACATGTATTCCACAGCTCAAACTCTTGTACACTAAATGATATTTGCTGAGTTGTCTCTGAAATAAAGTAACAACGGTAAGAACACCGTATGGCTGCTTATTTCTTGAGCTGTGAAAAGTTACGTGCTCTTTCGGCTCCACTCGCTCCGTAAACAAAGCGAAATCCTCTCTCTCTCTCTCTCTTAAAGTGACGGTAACGTAAATATTCTAAGTTAACAAAATCTCCATTAGTTCTAAAGGGTCTAATGTAGATAACGAGAGATTCCAACGTCAGTGAAGAGAAAACAGAGTTCATTATGCGCAGACCAACTGACAGACCAACTGACAGACCAACTGACAGACCAACTGACAGACCAACTGACAGAGCACATAACTCGTCAGAACACCGGATGTGTCATGTGCATTTTTCACCATTGAATTTTTTCTCGTTGAATTTTGACTGTTGAATTTAACATTATGAAATTGATAATCAGTGACTGAAATTCACAGAAAAAAATATTCAAGATGTTAAAAACATTCAAATAGATGAATTCAGGTCCATTTAAAAATCAATTTCTGATGGAACAAATAATCCGTCTTTTTTTTTTCATTGAAAAAAAAAAAGAATATTTTGAGGGTGAATATGTTATTTTGAAATTTTAATCACATTGAAATTTGTAAACTGAATTTTTAGTGACTGAAATGTAAAGATAAAAATATTCAAACTTGCTTTTTAAGGGTTAAACATTTCAAACTGAAGAATTCAAGCTAAAAAAAAATCAAAATCTGATTACAAAAATAATCTGACTTGTTTTCTCATTTACCTATATCTGAAAAAAAATCACATGATGTGAAATGGTATAAGTTCAAATGAAAAGTGTAAATGTATGTTGCATAACAGGTTTGATCTTCTTTATTTTATGACACCATGAAATGAATTGCCACTGACTAAGAGCACCTTTTTCAGAAAACAGGTCAGGCAAAAAGATTAATATCAAAGTGGTAAGATTAATTTCATCACTATAACATACATTGACCTGCATGAGAAAATAGCATTCTTAAATGAGGTTTTTCCATGTATCTGCCACTAATGCTTTCATGGGGGAAAAAAGTTAGGTATCCCATCTTTAAGAGTTGTGCCGCCTGCGTTGCCTATGCACCTGTTGTGGGCAGTGCAGATGTTCGCTGGCCCCAGAGTTGGAGGAGTAGGGTGCATAGGACAGTCCCATCATCTGCTCAGGGGCCCCTCGTTCCTCCGGCCGGAACCCCTGTGAGAAGGACAGCATCTCCATCTGCGAGGACTGGCCCTGGAACGAGCTCACCCACTCCTGGATCACGGACGACACCCTGGAATCAGACATCTGAAGAAATATTCAAAGAAAGAAAAATAGAAGTTAAAAAAACATAAAACCGTTCAAAAGCATGAATCTTTTTTTTCATTTTGTGTTCCATAAACCTATGTCAACATTTTGTCCACTTTTGTCACAATCAACCCAGCATAGCACAGGGCGTTAAGTTTTGTGCTTTCTCATCTGCCACATAAGTACACTCAACAACAGCAAATTATTCTATTAAATGCACAGGGTAAATTATCCATGAGTTTTTGTTGATTTTTCCCCCCATCAAGGCACATACCTCAAAGCACATGATACCCATTTGTACTGTTTCAATCTGAAGTTCGTATGAATAAATAAGTAGTTCAATGCTAATTGGTCCACGCTCTTACAATGAAAAATACATACATCTGTTAGTATTTATGTTCTGATAAAAAAATAACACCTTTTATTCTATAAACTGGATCTCTTATTATCTGTAGTAAAATGGGTCTTACCACTGAGGTATAGTCCACAGCTGCTTCTCTGAGAGACAAAGCGTAAACTGGTCCAAAGTGTCATCCAGGTGTAAGAAAAATGCACAGAGACACATCCCCTTAACTGTCCCTCCTCCCATCACTCACTCTCCTCTTACATCTTACATATGAACAGAGAAAAACAAGCAAAAAGGGGAATCTGAATGAAAATGGATGCTTACTTAAGATTTAAGGACTAAAGCTAAATGAAGAAAAAAATTAATTGATCCTAAAAGAAAAACAAACTATATTGGTTTTTGTAAGTTTCAAGTAATCAGGCTTCAATGCATTTGGTTGAGTATGCCCTACGTCGGCTTCCGTATCAAATATTGTTGTCAAAATGGCCGCCTCCGTGGACAACGTGAGTGTGAATTTGTGAGATTTGATCCAGTTTTCTGGGGATTTAAGGGTTTATTTAGCATTTCCATTGAGATACAATGCATATATTGTCGTGTTTTGTTTGTTTGAACTTTTAAGGTTCTATTGTTTTATTTTATTACAATTTATTTTTTAGGATTTGGTAGAAAGTGATCTACCCAAAGCAGTGCAGCTGCTAAACAACCTCACAGAGCAGGTATAAAGCAAGTTCCTAATGTTGTAATGCTGTATGTAAAGTGTGTTATATCTAAATGTGTGTGTTTGTTTTGAGGTGGTTTCTGTCACTAGTCACGTACGCGATCTTTTAAAGAAAGTGAAAGATGGAGCTTTTCAGACTTCAAAGGTTAGTTTGTTGTTATTACTGTGTTGTTGAAAGTGTTTTCATAAGTCCCAACAGAAAAAGTACAATGTTGTGAACCAATTGTGGCCATAAAATTCTGTCTTTATCTTGTTAGAAAAGTAATTGTTTACATAGTTGTGAGGAAGAGCCATGCGAGTCACTATTCGACACTGGCTGATTGGCAAAGGTCCTTGAATGTCTGGAAAAGATGATCGAAAGATGTGTTAGAGACCAAAGTACAAGCACGTGGAGTGTTTTGAGATTTAGGAACTAGTCACATGGACTAGTTGCATGTATTATACAGGTTAAAACAAGATACCACTGGATTAATATCAAAGCTGACATTTAGCCACTAACCAGGTGGCATCTCCAGGGTGTAGTTTGGCACCCACTAAATGTACTTCATCTTGTTTTAACCTGTGTAATATTATATAAGAAATTCAAAATTGTCAGCATCTGAATCAAATCAATGTCATTTTACATTTACCAAAATCACATCAGCAGTTGACTCGATGGACATCACAGAATAGAATTAGAATCAAACTATAAAAGTTGGATACCTCAGCTTTAAACCAGTACACAGCTTATTGCACCATGAATATTGTCCTTTATTGAAAGCGCTGGTAGTGACCTTAGCGCTTGCTGTTTTTAGGGTCTGTCTTTTTTGGACCTCCGGAACCACCTTCTTCTGTTTTACCTGCAAGACCTCACTCACCTGACCTCCATCAAGAATGAAGGAGGTCGAATCAAAGAAAGTGAGGCTCTGGAGCGGATCGTTACAGTCCGAACGGTAACAAATGAAGTAGCAATTAACAAATATAATCTATTTTTTAGTGGCTTAAATGTTGCTTTACGTGTCTTTTTGTTGCTGATAAGGTTTTGGAAAAGATGCGACCACTGGACCACAAACTGAAATACCAGATTGACAAACTGGTGCGCACTGCTGTGACTGGTACTTTAGGTGAGTATTGTAATATATATATGTGCATTATTTATTTATTTAGTCTCATGGTAATGTCAAAAAATACCTCAACAATCCAGCAAGCACAACAGAAAAAAATTGTAAAAACTCTTACTCCTCCTGTTCTTATAACTCACTTATTATGATCTAAAAAGATTCTTCAAAGTGTAACAATGTATTTTAACCTCATTGTTTCTCTTTCAGCTGAAAACGATCCTTTACAACTTCGCCCTAATCCTGGAAACTTTAATAGCAAGGTAAAAACTGTTCACGTTCACACAATCGTTCGTTTAAAATCATGTGGTTTTTGCCGGTCAGGCTGCACACAGGTTTGAATATTGGAAGAAGGTGAATAGCTGTTTTAATATTGTTTTTGTTTTGGTCGTTTTCAGCTGAATGAATCTGGGTCTGATGAGGAAGATGATGAAACCGCAGCTAAAACACCCGGACAACCCACTGCAAAGAAATATGTTCCCCCAAAGATCGCTCCTATGCATTATGGTAAGACCAGAACACTGCAACTGTGGCACCACTGTTAATAATCACAACTTTAGTGTCTGTAATCGCATTTAGATTTACTTTCAAAACAGCCAATTATGTAAATCCAGCTATCCCAGTGTTTAGAACTCTGAAACAGACTTAGAAATACAAGGATCACTGCAAATGTCAAAAACCTAAATCCTAATAAAGGCCTGAATGAAGTAATATTTATCTTTTTAATTTGAATTGAATTTGCATTTTGACGGTTTATTTGCTAATGTAAACGGCAAGTCCAGTCTTCTCCAAATCTGTATTAAAGTTTCAGTCTTTCCATCACATTTTAAATTCCTCTTGTGCACTTTGAATCATAATGGTTTGCTATAAAGCTAGAAAAAGGATCAATTTGCTATTTCTATCTGAAAATCTGATATGTACAATTGTGCGTCCCTCGCCTGTTTGGTTCTATGAGTGTGTTGTTTGTGTGTTGCAGACGGGGATATCACCGAGGCCGATAAGAAGCAGATGAAGGCAGAGCGGCTGAAGCGTGCGGCTCTCAGGAGCTCAGTGATCCAGGAGCTGAGGCAGCAGTACAGCGACGCTCCGGAGGAGATCCGGGACCGGCAGGACTTCCAGAGCGAGCGCGAGAGCAGAGAGGAGACACACAGGTACATACACATGGGTCTGTACAGTTTAAAGCTGGGGTACCTACCTTCTAATAAGATAAAGACAGCATTTAATAAGATTTACTTTTACATTACTTGCTGTTGTAGGCAGAATGTTCGAAGTTAAGATATTTATTAATTCTCTCCACACACAGTGATGACGCCGAACACACTGCCGCATCAAACATTCAGACCTATTATACATGTTTTTAGTAGTAACTTACACAGACACGGGGAGAACATACAAACTCCCCACAGAAAAGCCTAGAGGTGAAACCTTCTTGCTGTGAAACACAAGCTCTAACTGCTGCACCCGAGGTTCGGTCTATGCTTTACAGGGACACATATGGTTTATTGGCACATTTGTGACGGCATGATTCATAATTAGCACTGTTTTCCTTTACATAAGAAAGTTAGTTTACTGCAATTTAAGTTTAAGTAAAATAAACTGAAAAATGTAAAACTTTGTAGGAAAAACTATGAGGAATCGATGATGGTTCGGCTGCAGGCGTCGAAGAGTCAGAAAAACTCCAAAAAGAGGCGCACAATGGGGATGGCCGGACAGCTTGGGGGCATTACCCACTTCGGCGACATATCGGCGCTAACAGGCGGAGAGGCTGGTCTGGTGAGTGTCCCACACATAACAACATGTTTAAACTGATAACAACTTTACTAGAGATGGGTCTAATATCTTACAATTCCGAGGCGCAATAATGTCCACAAATACAGTGGATATACACAGTGGTTCCCTCCCCAGTTCACCTTTTGGGGCCTCGCTGTTACGCAGATTTCTTTGGGTGCAGTTGGGAATGATTTTTGTTTTTCTTCTCATGCAGTTCACTAGTATAACATGACAGTTAACTTTTATTTAAAGTCAGAAGAAATATTTGAGCCTTGTGTGCTGAAGTTCAGAGGACCCCAGTCATTTGTGTCCTCTGCAGCTGTATTTTACTGTATGCTCGGCTTTTGACAGCTGCAGCAGCGCTTCAGAAGTCATGAGTTCAGGTGGTTCGAAAAGTGTATGTGAGTTTTACAGCCTTAAGCCCAACGCACACCGAAACGCCTTGACGCGCGGCAAAAGAGCCGCCTCCTTTATTTTCTATGAGAGAACGCACACCAAGGTTGCAGTGACGCGCGGCGACGCTGGACCGGGCGCCACGATTCAGTTTTGTTGAATCCAGACGCGGCGCCGCGGCTGAAACTGTCCCTCCAAGCACCCGTAGTTTTCTTCTTCTGCGCTTCTTATCACGTAGCTGTGAGCGCGGTCTCAAATTTACACACTTGTCGGCGCTATTGCTCAAGTAAACCGGTCACAATGGACGAGGAAAGCTTGATAACCCAAGTACAGCGTTACCCAGAGCTATTTAACCCACAGAATCCTTTTTATAAGGATATCGTGCGAAAGGAAATTGCCTGGAGAGCAATTTCACTTGAAATTGAATGTACAGGTAAGCTAACAATAGGTAATTGTAGCTATTTTTATTGGCTATATTGGCTATATCAGCTGGAAAAGGACGCTAGCCAAGGCGTTCCGGTGTAATTTGACACATGTCATGAACGCGCGTCAAATGACGCGCCGCGAGGCGCTGCGTTTCGGTGTGCGGTGAGCTTTAAAAGATGCAGCTGCTGCTTAAAGGATGTTGCTTATTGCACTTTTTTTTTTTTACGTAACTCTTTCGAAAAATGAGGCACTGTTGCTAGTGTCATTTTTACATTTAAATTAAAACATTGTTGCATGGTTCCTACATGTGGATATTTTGTTACATGCAAAATGCCTCTTCATGGAGCTGAAAAATCCCGCCCACTTCGCAGTCTGTATTAAAGTCAACTGTAATGAACAGAATTCCTGGACAAAAACTATCAAGCACATTTATTTAAATTCCTGCATAGTATAATTTTGAAGTTTAATTTGTTGTTTGTGCAGAATTAACATTGGATTAGTTTCATCCTGTTTGACTTTTATGTACTTCCACACATTCATGATTTAGTAACTCATTTTTGGCAGCGTAATTGGCACTAGGGTTACACTTTCACACTTGGCTGGCTTGGATATAGTTCAGTTTTCTGTCTGGATTTGCTGCCAGAAGATTTTCTAATGAGTGCTAAAGAAATGGGTTTGTAATAAGAGGGTTGAAGCTGCCGGAAAATCTTTACATCTACATACAGCGCTGGGAACCTTTTTATTAATGATGTATTTTGTTCCAGGACGGGGACGGGGCCAGACCCAAGAAAAAGAAAAAACTAATGAAAAAGAAAACTAAAAGAAAGGGTGAGAAAGAAATATTTAATCGTGTTTTGTGCTAAAGCTAATGCTCCCCTTTTCTTTGCAGCTTTCAAAAAGCATCGATGAGCCTTCGTCAGCTGAAGTTATTACATTCATGCACATTTAAACTGCTTTGTTTTTTAGAATAAACTCATGTTGGTTCCGTATGTTTTTCCATTTGTTGTCAGAAGGGGGCAGTCACACCACATGTTGAGACTCAGTGCTGTTCAGTACATTTCTTTCAAAGGTCGCCTGAGGACAGGCCGCTCACTCTCCCATCCAAAGCACTCAATTAACTTTGACACCAGATCATTTTCATTCTAATGAGTTTGTACCAAGAGAAATTCTTTGGGTAAATAACTCCTCACAACTGATCAGAGCGCAGAAGTTTTGGGGTGGGCTCTTGACCACACTGCCCCCTGTGTGTGTCAACAGGGCTAATGCCACAATCTGACAGAAGCAAGGCTGTCAGTCTGACCCAGGGCAGCTGTTGCTCACCACTGGAGAGAATGCCGGGTCTTAAAGTGCCATGAAACTATAAAACCTAAAACGCCCATCAGAGAAAATGCAATAGTCCTGTGAAAATACAAATGGTACTTGTATAAGTACCATAAGTGTCATTTTGGATAAAATGCAATATAGAATTGCAATTTAGACTTAGACTGGTTAGTATAAATTAGTTGTAGAAATGCTTATTGCCTCTGAGGCATTGCAGTGAGAAGCTAGATTGTGTCACGTAAAATAATTTGCATCATTGCTGACATTTTCCCACTTAGAGACTAAATGTCTTCTCTGTAGGCAGTTTAAAAACAATGCATACTTTAACCAAAGCTGTATAAAAGAACCACACCAACTCAAGCCTTTTTACACAATGTCTTTATTTTTTTTTCTAATTACAGACTCATGGGATAAAAATAAAAATGCAAAACATTTTCAAACCCACCCCCCATTTTTTTTTCCTCAATAAAAACAAAAATCTCCACACAGCCCCTGCCCCTGACTTTCCCCTCCCTAAACTAACAGCTCCTGCCCACTCTTTAGTTAAATTAATCATTGCCACGGGTCCATACACCCTCCTCACAACCAGCTGTGAATACACTGTCAGGTCAGTAAGGGGGCTCTACGGTACGCACTGTACACCCCAAAAACTCCTCATTCTCTGCCCTAGCTTCCATCATTAGCCTCGCTGCTTTTACTCTGGCTCTGCGTAAAAAAAAGGTGTAATTAAAACCTCAAGTGCCTGTGATGCGTGTCTGCCGCGATGTCATTGATGCAATGTGTGGGGGAATTGGAATAAAGAAAACTAAAGTAAAATTTGTCATCAGCGCTTGCTATTGTAGTAAATGCCCTGCGCAGGCGCCCGGTGGTCGCTCTGGCCTCCACCCCCGCCCCCCCACACCGACAGGATGGGGTGAGTGTGCATAGCGGGAGCAGAGAGAGACAGAGACGCCGCGGAAACAGTAGGCGGCGCAGTGGCCACCTGGGGAGGGGACGTCAGCCTCCACTGGTCCTGAAACCTGCAACGACAAGAAGTGGTCTAATATACAGAGAGGGACAGGGGGGACAGACCGGGAGGAGCTGGAGGACAGTAGGGGGGCAGAAGGTGTGGCTTGGAAATGATGAAAGAAAATATACATGACGAGTTGTAGCCATGCGAGGGGAGGAAAGCTGTGCACAGTTTCTCAATTACTGCTAAATTATAAAAAAATAGATGCAAAACAGGAAGCAGAAAGGTGCTTTTCTAAATCTCCACAGAGACAGAGGCAGACGCATGTCAACTAAATGATCTGTGTAAAGTCACATGGTCAGTATACACGGATGAGGGTTAGTGACTGTCTAAGAAGTTATTTTAAATCATGCTTCTACGACACACAGCCCCAGAAGAGATCGAGAGAGGGAGGGATTGTGCGGCTGAATACTGACTCTCCATCACCACCAGGAGGAAACATGGGGCAAACAAAAGCGGTAAAAGGTGAAAGAAGCGGAGACACAAGGATCCAAAGGTTGAGAAGGGAGAATGGTGAACAACATTCACAAACTTAAAAATCTGCAACTTCGACAAACGTACAGAACATTAAAAACAAAAAATATATGAAGACTGCATTAATTTTTTTTCTCTTTTTTTTGCCCCCCATTGTTCAACGTTTTTTCTGTTCTTTTTTTTTTTTTTTTTTTTTTTTTTTTGGGGTGGCAGTGGAGGTGAGTGGGTGGGCTGTGATGGTGTGAAAGCAGGTGGTCACAGCCAGACCAAAGGAGACACAGCTGCAGCCTGAGGTACCAAAACATTCACATTTCCCCCTCTTTTCTATGCATTCCCCCCATCCCCGTCCGTAACCCCACCTAAAACCAACAAAAGAAAAAGAAAAACTTGCCACCTTGATGTCCCCTTCTCAATGTATACCTTACCAGGGCTGACTGCTGCACCAAACTGGGCACACGCACACTCACACCAGTCTTTCTGTCCAGGAGGAGTTTTTTTTATCTTTTTTTTTTGTTTTTGTCTTTTTTTTCCTCCTCCTCTCCTCTGGGCATTTCTTCTTTTTATGTTGGGCGAGGGGAAAGGGGGTGGGCTTTGTCACTGTGTGTGCTTATAATAGGAACAGATCGGGGGAGATAGTATTTATGGGGACTGGGAGTGGTGTTTAGTAAGGGGAATACCACGATGTTGTTCGCCCTCGGCCCCTGGAAAAGAGAGAGAGAAAAAGGGTGAGTTTTTTTTTTACTGTTTGGTTTAAGAAGACACGCCAGTTATCACGGCGTCAAGTTTGGTAGTAGTCTAAGTGCGAGTGTCCGTGTTTAATCAGTGCCTCTGATCCTAGTGTTGCAAATGAAAGGGGGGGAAAGGTAGGATACAAGAAGCCGAAAGAGCAGCTTTGAAGAGGCAAATCTCCAAATATTAAAATAATGATCATTGTGTGCGTGTGACGGCAAAGGCTCTCTCCCTCTTTCTCTCTCTCTGTGTGGGACTCTGCTGCCGAGGTCACTGTTGGAGAGAAACTCAAGAGGACAAACAGCACCACATCTATATCCCCAGCATAGACACAACTCACACACACACACATACACAAAGTGACCAGAGAAACAAGAGAACCCAGGCAAACTAAACTAAATCATTTTGCGGACATTCCTTTGCATTAATCGATTAGGTAATATCCCACTTGATTCAAAGTTATTAATTTTAGCAACTCCCAATGAAGTGCACTGAAGGAGTTTCCTGTGTCATAACTCCTGCCCAGAAGCAGACACCTTAACATTAGATCACTCTTCAATCTGTAGCTCATCCGCTTCCTGCAGGTCATCAGCGATATATATTTCAATCGTTATGATTCCTGCCTAAAGCCATTGCAAATCGTCTCACAGACATGTGATTGTAACTATCTAAGGCCAGCTCAAAACTACATTAACTTTCTAGCTCAAGGGAGAATCATTTGGAGACTTCAGGTTTAGAGTCTGTAAATCAGAATACAATGAGTTCTATTACTACAGTAATGTACTGTATATAAACATGGCTCCACATAACTTCAGATAATCACATTTCATAATCTGACAATGTGGGATGTCAAAAGTCAATGGGAAAAATCACTAGTCATTGCTGAGCTTGATGAGCTTTCAAACACCCAGGCCAAATACATTTCTCAAATCCTACTCCCTCCGTTTCCTTTAGTCCCACCCACTTAAGACCCCCCCCCCCCCTCCCTTTTTGGGCAGAGGGCTGAGGAATTAAGGAGTTTGACAGTTTGAGGAGGCAGCTTTTGTGAAACAAAACCCAAGCACACATCTCCATATCCTGTCCATCACACCACACACACACACACACACACACACACACACACAGACACACACAGACACACACAGACACACACAGACACACACAGACACACAAACACACCAGTGGCAACAAACAGAAAAAGGAGCTGGGACTGAACCAGGCTGCAGAAATGAACCCTCGTTTCTGGAGTGACGTCTGAAAAGGAGTGTAATGTAATGGTCATGGACATGCAGGAAGTACAAGCACAAAACAAAGAATAAAAAAACAAGAAAACACTTCAGAATTTTTGCCTTTTCCCAAAAACATTTCAGGACAAGTGGGTATTTGGAGGTCAAGGCAGGGGAGAAATCATTAAGGCTTCTCTTAATGATTTACTTATGAGTAGCTTAACAAAATCCATGTTGCTACTAGTTGTCAAAAATAAAATGTAATGCATGTATGCCATGTCAGGAATAGATATGGTGCATTCATATCCCTGTACATTTTTTACAGTAGTTAAAGAAACTAAAAAAGGTGTAAAGATGAAGTTTGTATCCTTTGACCATATGAAGTCCGAGGATCAAGGTTTTTCCTCGAACAATAATCAAAGCCAATATAGTTCACTAAATGTAGAAAATGTGACTCCCACATGAAGTCAGTTCCACCACTATCATGGGTTTGTTCCTACAGACGTGGACTTTCGCAGTTCACATGCAGATAAAGCCCAAGACCTTGTCCAGCAGCGTTATAGGCTCCTCGGTATGTGCAGGAGTGGCCGGGTGAGTACACAATGTGATTAGAGGGGTTTTGACCTTGAAGTCCAGACACAATCACACACACACACTCACAAAGCCCGCCTCCAAATTGTGATACACGGAACCAGGAGCAGCCAATTATTCTGGGAAATATAGTAAAAAGCAAGCAGAGCATTAAGTCTTCACCAACGCTCAGAAAGTGGGCTACAGATGCAGATCAAGAGATATAAAAGACTTTTAAAAGTGCCAGTGCGTGTGGGACGTTAGCATGCTGGGATATTTAGCAGTGTTAGACAAAACAAGAGCGCTCCAATCTCGCAAATGCCTTTCGTGTCCTTGCCAATGACAGATTAAAACACCCTTAGAGCAACCATAAAATCGCACTTAACAGCTCAGTTTCCTTGGGTTTATTGAGGAGAAAGGGCCCTACACTTGCTCATCCAATGCCAAAGATATAAATGAGTATGTATTGCATGAATGTAACATGAAATATACATAGCATGGCACGTGCCGTATAAGAGTGACTACACAACGGGTACTTAAGCGGGTAATTCACAAATAAAAGCAGTAAATCATATTAATACTATACAAACTGCAAAGGATTACGTGTATCTATACAACTTTGGAACAGCCAACAACAATCTAAACTGTCAATTATTATCAGTAAAGCCATCAGTATCTGTTGTACATGTGAGAAAAGCCACAGCTGCTGCAACCTACCAGAACACGCTCTGAAACAAGTTCTCAGCAAAAAAAAGAGCCTACAGAGCTAAAAGATACATTACTCCATACGTAGAAGTCCAAGATTTCCCGGATATTTTTAAACGAGGTCTAGTACTTTCATTTGTTTTAAGAAGGAGTGACCTCTTCAACAAAAGGCATGATTCACAAAGCAGTTCCACCAGTCTTGTCTTCCTCAAATCTGAGTCTCCTGTCCAGCACGATCAACACAGAAGCCATTACAGGGAGTGGGAATGGTGTGGTCCCATGGATGGATGTCAAGATTAAGTTATCTATAATCAGGATTACTTTAGATCATAACCATACGAACAATCAGAATCCAGTTATTTTCAGTGAATTGATTGATCTCAGTCATCTCAGTCCTTTTCTCCAATTGCGTACTCAAATTTGATTAGAAAGTTCAATACCATAATTTTCAGACTAAAAGTTTCTACTTTCTTCTAGGTCCTTGATGCCTTGAGGCTTATAAAGCGACGCAGTCAATGTGTTCACTTTTATTGAGGTGGAGTTGGGCAGTTGTCAGAGCAGTTTATGTATTTATAATTTTAACATCAAGTTTTAGTAGCTTCTGAATTTTCCCCATTGTGGGACAAATAAAGGTTCTATAGGAAATTTGCTTGTCAAAATGGATAGATTAAGATAAAGGTGAATGAGGCATGGAAGCTAACAATTGAGCTGCTAAACACATTACTTCATGTGACCAGTTAAAGTGATAGTCTGGAACTGAATGAATTACACATTTTAAGAATTGTATTAAATTAACCTTCTGGCCTTAAATGTTGTTATGAAAGAAGTCATTTTATGACTTCTAATGTTACAGGTAAGTCCCGCCTTCGCTTCCCTTAGCTATAGCTAGAAATCCATGATGCAGTCCACGTTAACCAATCAAGGGCTGTCAATCATCGGCGCTGATGCTCGTAGCTGCGCGCATGCCCAGTTTGTTTTCACAGAGCCTCCGAAGAACTACATGAAAACTGAACAAAGAATTCTGAACATCCGCGCCGAGTTACCCATTTATATACTGAACCTATATCCATAATCATTTATATACTGAACCTATATACATAATCATATCCTCTGCAGATGTGTCCTATAATGTTCAATTAATGTTAATATCTACTTCCGGGTTTACCGCGATCGCTTTTTTGTGCATTAAGACATTTTTGTCATGAAAACGTTAAATAATTCTGAAAACCTCCGTGCATGTGTATTAATAACGTATATGTATAATGTGTTCTCAGATTAACATTTAAATGTGTTACGGAAACGTAGGCGTAGACCAATCTGAAAAGGGGGAGGGAGCTTGGGTCGTTTCTCAAATCCTGTACCTCTCCCTTTTGTCTGAAACTCCAGACAATCACTTTAAATCCATCCCATTTTTTTGACTCCGTCAGTACTACACTGCAACATGAACACATGCAGCTTATGTTCAGGCGTGCCTCATAGAGACAAAACAGTCCAGAAAGTACTGCATTTGAAAGAAGTGCAAATACCAAAATCCAGGATTTCATTTTTAAGTATAATTTGTCTAAAATGAAAGGGTGATTAAAAAACAAAACAAAAAAGTAACGCGAATTATCTTGTATTCTCATTCGAGTAAATTATTGTTTTAAGAGTTTCCATGGCAACATTAAAAAAAAAAAAAGTCAAATTATTCTGAATCTAAAACGTTTTTTGTTTTTGTAGTAGAATGACTGAAAGAATTGAGTTATGTTTGCAAGTGTCAATAATGGTTGAAATCTTGACATCCTTGGTCCCGTGCATGCAGATGGATGTGGCCCCAGTGCTGTGCTCACCTGAAGGCCCGGCCTCTGCCTCTGGGGGGGGTGTATCCGCTGTAGTATCGTGCCCGGGACGAGAAGCTGCCTCCTCGTGACCTGAACCGCGCCCGAGGGAAGCCGCGGTCTGTGGTGCTGATGCCTGGTCTGTTTGTCCGCTTTGCTCCGACCTGAACCCACAACATTTGTTTTACAATCTGCTAACAACTCAACGTCACATACGAGATTTAGAGGTCCACATAGTGATAGTAAATAAGTAGGTTCTGAAATGCACTTAGACACGCCCACGCTCCCCCCAATCGAACAAATGCTTGATTTACATTAGTTAAACCAATGAGTACAGGGCTCTAATCTTCAGCAAATCTTTGTAAAAGATATTAGAAGCTGAAGTAGCGATGTGTCAGTGCTGAGGAGTAGACGTGCAAAAGAAAAAAAACATCTGCCTCCAATGTAACTGTTTGTTCAACCTCCTCAGTCCTCTCTAGTCTCTACCCATATCAATGCACACACTGCAGTCATCCTTAAGAATGACACTTGTATAGAATGAGTAAACAATAAATTAGGACAACATAAATACTATTTCTGTAAAAAATAAAAAACAATGGGCCTCATTCACGAATAACTTCGTAAGAAACTACTCAACTTTCTTCTCAAGTTGTCCTTAAGTAGATTTCTAAGAAGTCCCCACGTGGGATTCATCAACGCACTCGTAAGCCGCTGAATTGTTCGCAGCTGTTCTCTCAGATTGATGAATCCCATTTCCTCGTAAGTACAGCGCGCGTGCCAGGTGCTTCATTAGCATAGGTACTTAGCATAAGTAACCGCCCACTAATGCCCATATAAGGGACTGCAGGGCCGTGTGCAGACGGCAGAGGAAACAGCAACAGGCCTTTACACGGAGCAAAAGAGTCACCCAGACTGAGAATAAAGTTATAAAATGTTGACTTAAAAGTCGAAATATTATGATAATAAAGTCGAACTAGAAAAATTATGAGATTAATCTAAGAATATGATGAGATTAATCTCAAAATGTTATGAGCTTAATTTAAAAATATCTTATGTATTATTTTAAAGATGAATCTCAAAATGTTTTGAGATTAATCTCAAAATATTTTGGACCCTGGGAGGAGATCCAGCGCGGACCAGCGCTGAGACCAATGCAGACCCGAGGAGAGACTGGAGTGACCAGCACACAGAAACCAGCGCGGACCTATAGGAGAGACCGCATAGACTGTAGTGGCCTGACTGGAGAGACCAGTGCGCAGAGACCAGCGCGGACCGAAGAGAGACCGCATAGACTGTAGTGACCTGACTGGAGAGACCGGTGCGCAGAGACCAGCGCGGACCGAAGAGAGACCGCATAGCCCAGACTTGAGAGACCAGCGCGGACCCGTATGGATCCAGGAGCATGCAGCACGGACCCGTATGGAGAGACCAGTGCAGACCAGTATAGATCCATGGGAGAGACCAGTGCAGACCCGTATATGGGAGAGACCAGTGCAGACCCGTATAGATCCATGGGAGAGACCAGCGCAGACCCGTATAGATCCATGGGAGAGACCAGCGCAGACCCGTATAGATCCATGGGAGAGACCAGCGCAGACCCGTATAGATCCATGGGAGAGACCAGCGCAGACCCGTATAGATCCATGGGAGAGACCAGCGCAGACCCGTATAGATCCATGGGAGAGACCAGCGCAGACCCGTATAGATCCATGGGAGAGACCAGCGCAGACCCGTATAGATCCATGGGAGAGACCAGTGCAGACCCGTATAGATCCATGGGAGAGACCAGTGCAGACCCGTATAGATCCATAGGAGAGACCAGCGCAGACCCGTATAGATCCATAGGAGAGACCAGCGCAGAGACTCAGTAACCTCCTGCAGCAGCAGTATTTATGCCGTTGTTCTGTGGCCCGTGGATAAAGAAATGCCCCCTATAAATAGGAAGGGGTCACTAATACACGGCAAGATTTCCAATGTATTTGATAAAGCGTTGGCACATTTAATTTCAAAATGAATTAAAAAGTAGGCCAGATCTGCAGTGAAAAAGGCGGTATATAAATAAAGATTACTACAAATAAATAAATACATACATCGATATGACGGACATATCACTGGAATGTTGTATTTTTATTCAACTTCACCAAAGAGGACAACCGTGGCGTGTGAACATGTCGGCACTGAATGCGTACGAGTGCTCCTGAGGACTCGTAGGATTTGTACTTGCCCAAGAGAAATTCTGGTTACGAGAAATATTCGTGAATGCCACTTTCTTCGTAAAAACCGCGTAAGTAGGATTTACGTACAAATCTGTTCCTAAGAACCGTTCGTGAATGAGGCCCAATGTTCTTAAGAAATTAAATAGCTGAAATTATTTTTTTATATACATTTCTGAGGCAATAGAAAATGTCACAAGATTACCCAAAATAAATGTAGGGTAAAAAAATCTGTTAATGAACAGCCGTACACAAACCAGACATAAAAAACATCAGATAAAGATATATAGAAGGTCTCAAAATAAAGAGCTTACCTTTATTTGCCTTCCTCTGAAAAGAGACTCGTCCAATGCCATTGCCGTCCTAACAGACTCTTTGTCTGAAAATTCAATATATGCAAAACTGGAAAACAAGAGAAACTTCATTACAAACTACTCACTGAAAATGAGGAATGTTATTGAGCACTTACCCTTTTGGATGCCCTGTGTATTTGTCACATAAAATAGTGACTCTGTTGACTGAACCGCAGCCGTGAAAATGAGCCTCAAGCTCTTCTGCTGTTGCACCATAATCCACCTGGAGAAGAGGCGAAAGGCCCGTCAGCTTTATCTTTCCAACAATCAAGTCATATTTGAAATTAAATGCAACTTACATTTCCAACATAAATTGATCTGCCGTCTGCTTCTATCTTTTCTTCAATTGACATAATGACAGGGCCTACTACACAAAAGAGAGCATTTGTAATGAATCTAAACCTAGAGGGGAAACCTCGAGAAACTTTGATCAGTGATTCAGACATGATATAAAAAGGGGATGTACCGGGTGGCGGACTGAGGTTCATCTGTTTCTCCACCTCGTTCTGTAGCTCTTTCAGCTTCTCTGCTTCTTCCTCCATCTCTCGCACACGTGCCTTGATTGCCTCCAACTCCTGAAAACAAATGTTTAGGACTTTTTAGACACACTAAGAATCTCTCTGCACTTTAAAAAATTGAATAACATTCATACAAAATGTTATACCATTACTTTTTTGTCTAGGAATCCTTACAAGACAGAAAAATGTACCAGAAAACCTGCAGTAAACTTTTAAAATATTATTGATACAGAAAACATGGGGTATCATTACTGTACACACAGATTGCTGGCTCTTGTGTAGCAGTGGTGCACTGCAGCACAGTGGGAGTCAACTCCATCCTTAGCTGCCTACTGTCACAGGCCCTCAAATGTCAAAACCGATATGGACCGATTGTACCACATACTGTGTGCTTTATGGTTTACATTGCACCACTGCTGGTCTACACGTGTGTCAGACTAAACTGGCGCATTCACCCCATATGACCATGCAGTAAAGACATATTTAACACATGTTCTCCCCCTCCTCAAGAGTCCAGCAAAAAATATTGATGAAATCCCAGCCCCACACTTGGTAAGTCTTTACCCTCAGTATTGCACGATTCTGCGCCCGTCTGGAGAAACTCATTACTACGCCCAGCGATCGTGGACCAAATATCACAATCACAACACTCAATGAAAGTGCACTGGGTCGTCTCATCCAACATCATGACTGTAGTGGTGTATCAGGGTGTTAACGCCAGCGTATGATGCAAGTGCACAGTAAAAGCACATTGATTCGTTTGTTTTAAGGCGCAACACAAGTTACCGGTGATCAATACAGTAACCCGCAATGCCCCATCTGGTTTTGAATGAAAACACACTTGACATAAAAGGCAGCAGCAGTTAACACCAAATGAGAGAACAAGCCACAAAACAGCATTACCGTAAACTGCGACCCGTGGCTGCTAACGACAAAGGCCCGTGTTGCCCTCAACCCAGTCAGTCTCCATCATCCCAGTCTCGCATTTTCCCTGCAATAAGGTTTCTTGCTCAAAGTCCGCGCTGCCCCAGACTGGCGCAGAGAAACTGGTACCGCTGTTGCGCCAAGATGGCCGCCAACAACGCGCATGCCACCACCCATTACCACTGCTACTACTGCACTGCGTGAACCACAATGGCGGACAATACCGACATGGCGTTAGCAGTTACTAGAACAGCATGTGACTCTAAATTGTTGAGAGAAAATCGCTTTGTTGTGTGATGTTCATGTGAAGAATATGGACTTCCCGAATTGGTCTCCCGCTGTGTCCAAGGCAGTCTACATACAAGGCAACGGGCACGCTCGCTTACCGGGTCTTCAATTGCGGCCTCTCCTTCGTCTAATCCTGGATCTTCATCTCCCACGCCAGGGTCCTCTAGCTCGGGATGTCCTGGGTCGGAATCCAGCAGGGACTCATCCACTAGTCCGTTCCCAAACTCAGCCATCGCCAGTCGGTGCGGGCTGGAGCGACGTGCCTCGTGGTGTCTAACCCGGGTGTTCTCACTCACACAAGGCGGCGAAATGGGAAAACGCTAGTTGAAGTTAAAACGACCAATACAATCCGATATGAACACGTGCACACGATCCAGCTGCTCAGATTGTACAAAAATATCCTAAAAGTACGATGTAATAAGTTATACGTGTAAAAAAAGCAGAGCGGTTGAAAGTGGAAGCGTTTCTTCAGTTCAGAAATGGACGGTAGGGGCGGGGAACACTAGTACTGCAGGCGTAAAACTCTCTACGCTGATTGGTCCAAAGAGGGTTCTAGACGTGCCCATATCCAACGTATTGAAATCCCATTGGTCATTAAAGCTGGAAGTTCCGGTTTGTAAAACGGGACTGGGGATTTCCATTGGCGCGTTTATAAGTCAATCACGATCTCTTTCACAGCTTTGGTACTCGGCTTTGATAAAGTTAAACTAATTATCAACCTCAATTGTGACCTAAATGACCTTTGTTTACAAGAATATCAAAAAGAAAACAGCGGAGTTGATTAATTTGACTGATTTTTATTTTTTCAGTATATCAAAGAAAGCATAATGGAGACCAAACACAAAATGCAGACAAAGTGATGAGGAAAATATAAGCTTAATTATAAATCTAGTAAGTCATAACACAGCCACGATTGTTCATTATTCGAAGGAACACCAAATCCTTTTGAGCATAGGTGGCTATACAACCCATCATGGATCAATAATGATAAACAAGTTATGTTAATTATAAATGTAGTACAGTTATAATAGTGATAATTAATGTGAAAAAGAAATGTAAAAGTAAAAAGCAGATCTCCATAGAACTTTAGATTGGACAGTGCAACACCATGTGTGTGTAATTGTCTGTGTGGGGGAGGGGGGATCCCAGTATTGAGATTCACTCCAGTCCATGCTTCATTCACAAGTTACATTGTCTGTTCTAGAAATAAATTTCTCTCAACAAGGTTACTTTAGTCCTAACGTGTGAGTGATAGACGTGTTCATGTCAATATTTGTAGCCTGTGCAAAAATGTGGACTAGTGCAAGTGTCAAAATGTGGGACATCCTGTACAGTTTGCATTTACAAACACCTGTCCTGCTCTCTGTCAACCCTTAAAATTGCTTTTTGGTTTTTGAAAGACAGAAAGCGAAGAAAGGATAACTTTGGAATCAGTTATTTTATATATTTCTTTAAAAAAAGTTTAGTTTAGTTTGCATTTTGTTAAAACTATCAATAGTAACATGAATATACAACTTAAATTGAAGAAAACTAAGCATTCTTCAACACAGCACCATCTTATTCATCTCTCAGTCAACATGTTTTAAAAGTTCCCAAATTGTCTTGAGCGTCTGATCCCTTAGAAAAACTACAGACACCCTGCTTTCTCCCAGTCTATGTGTCCAGACAGTTAGATCAGGTTTCACAGCACATACAATCCCAGAATTAGTGACCATTTCAAAACTAAAAACAAAGTGGCGGGCAAGGAAAACACACCAACACGTTTGGCTTTTGACCTGAAAAATACCAATTATGTGAATGCATGGGTACATATATACATAAAAGATTTTACAAAATGTAAATACAAAATGTTGAAATAAAATTTAACAGTAGAAAGTGGAAAACCCAGTGACTGATATGGCTGAACAAACTATCTGGTGCTGTCTGTTTAAGGCCCTTGCACCTTTAAATAGTTGAAGTCCCAGCAATGTAAAGGAGCTTCAAAGGACTTATTTCAGGGGAGTTCCACAGGATCCAAAGTTCATACAAACTGCAGACATAGCTTTCAAACAAGTTCAATTATTTCTGATATTTTTCTAAAAAGCGTAAAACTCAAATAGTACTTCTTAAGTTACAAACCCAGAACCACTTCTTGCTTGTACATCAAGCACACCTCTGAAGAAATGTGTAAGCTAACAAAATCATAATCACACGATTAAGGCATCCACCATGCACTGTTGCATCTTTCCAGAAAGACACTTGCATCAGAATGCTTAAAACATTTTTGCAATGTAAAATGTGTTCAAAGTGCGGTATGCCAAGATTATAAACTTATTTTTGCCCTGTGTAGTAGGATTGTCATTTAATTTAGGACATTTAAATTGGAGACAACTCAACAGCTCCATTTCATTTCAAAGTACCACTTTTATATCAGAAATAGGTAGATAACGCCCCAGAAGCAAAGTGATAGTCAAAACTTATTCTTCTGCCCATTTGACAGTCTGTTCATAATATATTGAAGCTATTATTTTTCTTACAGGTGGGCATAAGAAATTAAATCCACAGACACAAACTGCAAGTTAGCATGAGTTCTTAATATCCCAAAAATATGAGCCCATGGTAAAATGGCCACTTCATCGGAAGAATAATCCTTGCATCAGTCTTCAGCATCAGTCTTCAGCATCAATAGCTCAAGCAAGTCAAAGCTGAATCTTTACAAATTACAGGAACGTTTATATATAGCCACAGGATTAGGACCGTAATGTTAAGATTATTCTTGAAGTATTTAGGGAGCAGTGTACTGCACTCATCAGGCAGCAGCAGTCAGTGCTAAGCAGCCCAGAAATTATCTGGTGAATTCCGAAGAAAAAAATACAACAACAAAAATCGTCAGTGACGGATGAGCAAGGATTGCCGGTGCAGGGAGAGCGAAAGTCAAAAACCAAATCCTATTAGCTTTTGAATATTAGTGCTCATATTGGTTTAATAAAATCTGAGAACCCCAAACGGGTCCAATAAGTTTTTGTGCAGACCAATCCTGATCTGAATCTTTAGCTGTTGCTGCTGGTGGCCGTTTGCGGAGTCGCTCCAGACCCAGCGCTGGATCCACTGTTACTGGCACCGTTTTTATTGACGAGAGGCACTGGCTGCCCAAAGTTAGTGGTTTTCAGAATGGCCAGGTGGTGCTGGGAGAAGACATGCTCTCTTGCTGCAGCCCGAGAATCAAAAGACACATCACAAGCGTCGCAGTGCCCTGTGAGGCACTCTTTCGTTGACTGCCCGCCCACTATGGAAGAAGCAGGAACATTGGTGGTGAGGTGCACCGGCTTTGGAAGAATGGGACGATTAGCTTTGAGTGCGCTGTACTGGAGATAGCTTCCTGAAGTTGTGTCCATCTTCTCACCTGTAGGGGTTGTCTAAAGACAAAAAGAGGGAATAAAACAAATTATCCACAATTAGAATGAGAACCAGTGAAAGTGTACCCCTAAACCCCATCTGACCCATCTTTGAAATGCCACTTGTCAGGAGCAGTGTTCACAGAGCAGGCAACTAATTATAGTTTTAACTGAATTCCTCACAATAACAGCAAGGTTATTAAATCCAATTTACTGTGTTTAAGAAGGATGGTACCAAGTGCATAATAGAAATAAGAAATATGAAAAAAATCTAAATCAAATAAAACTTAAAAAGATGTTGTATACACACAAACGCACACCATATTAGAATAGTATACATCCACTGTAACTTTTTTTTTTGTTGACAAAAAAAGAATACATCTCTACCATTTTCTCTTGCTGCAGTTTCCAGCGCTTCTCCTTGGCTCGTGTGTTTTGGAACCAGATCTGCACCACTTTGAGCGGCAGGTTGAGCTCTGCGCCGATGGCTTCACACTCCAAACAGTTTGGGTGCGCGCAGGTCTCGTAGCACGACTGCAGGATTGACAGCTGCAGGCAGGACAGGTGAGTGCGTGGTCTGCGGCTTGAAGAGTGGGACAAAAACATCTCTGTCGGACTAGATTTAGCAACTGGAGTGAGACTGTGTGAACTGGTCACTTTTGCAGGGTTGGGCGTGTTTGGGCTGACCGGAGCGATCGTGGGTGTGGGGGGTGGAGCAAGGCAACGAGGCGGCGGGTGAGATGGAAGTGCAAGCTGCTCTCTTGACAAAGTGTTTATCTTAATGGGGAGTTTCGGTGTCCAATAGTTGATTCCGTTCTGCTTCTGCGAGACAGCGATGGCGGTAGTGGTGGCAGAAGGCCTGTTGTTGATTGGTGTCGTGGGCATCTTGGGCACCATGCGGTTGACGCTTCCTGGTCCAAGAGCGGTTTGGTTTTCATCTTTTTCATCATCCGTCACTTCCTCTTCACTCACCTCTAGTTTTCTCTTTTCAGCTGGTCGTGGCACTACAGAGGGGTCTTTAGGCGGTAGCAAAACGACAGGGTCATTGACTTTGGGAGGAGCTTTAACCATTGTAACATTGCTGGTGGTCTCAAGCTTGATCTTTGGCGCGGCAGAGGGAGCGAGCACAGCAGTGGAGGGAAGTACCTCCTTCGGTTTAATTGGGATGATTTTCTTCACCATAGTTACTTTGTTCACCTCCTTCACCTCCTTCACAGGTACTGGCTCACTCTTGATCAAAGTACGCACAATGGGCACAGCTGTTATTCCCCCTGTATTATTGTTGGTGGGTGTTGGTGGCTTCTTAGAAAAAATAGGTTTGGCCAAAGGCCAGGTAAATTTGATTAATGGTTTGCCAACAGCTGCTAAAGTCCCATCACTGATAAATCGAACTTCACCCTTCCGCTCCCTGGCCCTCATGTTTTGGAACCAAATTTGCACAACTTTCTTTGGCAGTTGGACCCATTCAGAAATTTGCTCAAATTCATGTTTTCCAGGATTCGGGTCTTTGAAATAGCATCCGTACAGAATATCAAGTTGTTCAGCTTGGATAATTGTTCTGGAGCGACGCATGTCCCGATATCGCTTTCCTTTGGCCTTTCTGCCTCCAAAGTCCTGCTCTCCACCCTGTTCATGCTCTTTTTCACGCTCTCTTTCCATCAGAGATGCATTTATTTTGTCTGCAGCCCTCATGTAAATGGTAGACTTCGTCGTGTTATTGCAATTTGATTCAGGTTTAACTTGAACAACCACCAGCCCCTTAGAGGTGGGCCTAAGACCAAGGCCATCCAGCAACTGTCCTTTTTGTGCTGCAATTTTTTCAGCCAAAGATATTGAGGAAGATGGTGACTTTGTACTGCTTCCCATGCTGAGATCCAGAGCACCTTCACTGTCCCCACCATTGGACACAAAGGCAGATGTTTGACTTTGGGAGAGTGACTGAGACAGAAGTGAACTGGAGAGACGTGTAATATTTGGTGGATTTGAAAAAACTGGCACTTTACTCGAATCTCCAATCATGGTTGGGTTCAATGAGAGGACATAAGGGCTAATGAACTGGGGTGAAAAGGTCGCCAGTGACAAGGGCAAAGAGTGAAGAGCTCCAGCATGAATATTCAGTGCTTGAATCTGGGAAATTGGTGGATCAGCTTGAGCCTCCAACTCCAAATCCACATCGGAGTCCTGCCTATCCCTTTTGCCTTCGAGTTCATCTTTCTCAAAATTTCCCTTTTGTTTCTTAGCCCTCTGACCTATTCCTGCTTCCTCATCTTCATACTCTTCCTCAGCATCAGAAAGAAATACAGTTGTAGAACGCAAAACCTTTCCACCCACTGCCCCTTTTTCACTATGCACATCATGCTGAGCTGCCTTATATGGGCTCTCAATGCGTTCTGAGGTCTTCTGATTATCCTCATCAGAAACTAATAGAGAAGTGTAAACTTCATTTTCAGAATCTGACGTGAGACAAGAATCCCCATGGCCCTTATTTCCCCACTGCTTACGTTTACGTTTTGTCCGAGAACTGGACAAGTCTAGCACCAAACCACTGCCTGCCTCCTCATCTTCCCCCTCTGCTATCACAAGTGAGCACTCCTCATCATCGGACACTGGAATCTGTCTCGCCAACGCTTGCAAATGCTCTAAACCTGCTGCCTTCTGTCTTTGTTTGAGATGTCGTGCATGAGTTAACCACCTTCGTACCTCATCCTCAGATAACCCCACCTCTCTGCCTAGTGCCTCACAGTCATCACGAGGAGGACTTGCCGCATCAGCTTCACTACGAGACTCTAGAAACGCCCACAACATCTCTGTCTGAAATTCAGATAACACTGGGGGATCCCTATGGACTGCTCTACTTCTAGTTTTGGTAAAGGTATTTGTACCAGGGCTGGTTTTAGGGGTGCCAATTGAACCACAAGGGCTTGTACCCGACTGTGATTTTTGAGGGGTAGAATCAGGGCTTAGTGTGAGGTTAAAATGGACCGGACTCGGACTGGAGTTGCTGGGCATGGATACAGAAGGCGAGAGGTGGTTATTGCGGAGGCTCTTGTCTGCACCTGCTGGGGAGAGGGCCAGGCTCACTGCTTTACCATCATCCAGGTCCAACTGATTAATCGACTCATCTCCATCTGTTATGCTATCACCATTGTCAGCATGCTCAAGATCCCCTTTTCTTTTTATATTGGGACAATGTACAATTTTGCCAATGTCCCCCTCCTCGTTTTGAAGAGTATCTGTCTCTATACCTTTACTTCCATTGAACTGATCTGATACTTTATCGTTCTCCTCTTGTTCTTTCACACAGTTTACACCTTGGTTTTGCTCCTCACAACTTGACTGTGTGTTTATAGGAATCCCCGCTGAGGGCCATTGGCTCTGTAAGCTGCTAAATCTTTGGGCTAGAAGAGCTTGCTGGGCTGCACTGAGGCCTACGAATGGCACGCACTGTGTCAGGAGAGGACTTTGCTGGTTATCTGGGAGCTGCTGGGTTTGAGCCTGGAGCCCGTTCAAAATAAAGGGCATGACCATTTGAGGCTGAGGCACGAGCTGTGGTGCCGCGGCACCAGTGGCACCGGCAGCAAAGAGGGAAGGCAGGATGGAGTGGGACAGAGTGTTCGGGCTGGATGTTAATAGAGTGAGGAAGGCAGAGACGGCTTGCGCTGAAGCCACAGGGGAGGTGAGCAAAGAGGGAGCCACTTGTGAAGTCTGAATCTGCTCTGCGTCTTTTGCAGAGGACACCAGTAAACCGGCAGGAGGAGCAGCTGTGACCAACGGACTGTTCCCAGATTTGCTTGCCACATTTTCAACTATTCCTGCATTTCTACTTCGCGTTTGATGCAAGACAGACTTCATATGGCTCTCGAGAGTGATGGCGTGGTTGTAGGAGACTCTGCATGTAGCACACTGGTAGGGTTTGTTTGATACAAATGGCCGTGATAGGACGGGAACTGGGGGACTTTGTGAGTCGGCGTCCCGGCCAGTCTTCATCCTCTGAATGTGGCCGGCAGAGTTATAATGGACACTTAAAGCAGTTTTGTTGGGAAATGCTTCGAGACAAGCATAGCATTTGAAAGGCTTTGTATCACTTTCAGCTGGCACTTTTTGAACATCTGATTTTTCAGTAGCATCTGGGATTTCTAACTTCACAGATGTAGCTTGGCGTTTGGCTGCTGTAAGGTGCCGTCCCTCCTCTTCTGTCTTGAGCTGCAATTCCCCATTTTCCTGATCCATTACTTTCTCCTCCTCCATTTCTTTGTCTTCACGTGTTTCTGCAGAGTTTGAAGTTTCGTTTGACTGATACAAGTCTGAAAATAGGTCTTCTTTCAAATCCAAAGAGGCAGCATCTGTTGGTGGAAAAACTTCATGCATTATTTTTTTAACCACCATGTGCCTGGGGACGTCTCAGAACAAATAATTATTTCATTGTGTTATTTTTGTTTAAGTGACAACTGAGAACTATGTTCTGCTTATAATTTTAATAATCAAGTAGTTATGACAAATCATAGTAAGATAAAAGAGCAAAGTTTCAAAATAGATTCATATTTTTTTATACCCCATGAAGGTGGTTGTCAATTAAATTAACAATAACTACCATGGGAACAAGGAAACTATCTAAAACAGAATCTTGAGGCACAAGAGTTGTATGCATGTGTGGGGGGGGGGGGGGGGGGGGGGGGGGCAATTATGTTGCATAGCATATTTGTCGAGCTTAATATTGCTTAGTAAATAGGAAACTAACAAGTACATTGGAAATATTCCAAACTTAACTCTTACCTGAAGAGTTTTGAGCACCTGTGGCGTCATGTGCTCGAGCTGCTTGTCTTAGACTGGCCTGTTCAAATAAAATGAAAGGGATTGTCAGCAAAAGCCTGCAACGGCTGCTTGAACGAGAGTTCACAACATTTGGACGTGACATATTCAAGTGTGGTTATATTACACATAGCAAGCATTGCCATTATTTTGCATTTTGCCCTGAAGGCATACATTTTAAATTTCTGATAAAAGTTTTAACAAAACCAGTTCCCCCAGTGTATAAGGATGTTGGTGAATTGTTTCAGACTTAACAATAATAAACTTTTCTTGTGAACTTTTTCTGCATGCCATAGTGGAAACCCGAATTTTTTTATTATAACCAGAAAAAGTAGTGCGATAATCAAGTAGGCCCGAGTTCACATCTTTCTACACTGTTACATTTCTTTTATCATAATATGATACACTTTCCTGCCATGCTATGTGAAGTTATCCATTAAAGTATCAAGTTTCTTTGTCGTTTCAAACTCACAATGTCCAACAGCTTCTCAACACAAGAAGGAAGAACCCTGTGTTGCTCTGTAAGGTGCAAAGATAGGGAGGATCTGTCAGTTTGTCCTCGTTGACACAGGGGGCATATCCACAAAGCCACCCCATTGGTTTCACTGCTCACCGTCTCTCCGGACTCCTCCTGACAGAAGCAAATAAAAGTTAATATTTCTGACATAACCTAGATAATATAGAAGGTGATTGTGGTGCCAGACAAACACATGCAAAAATACTGCAGGATAATAATAGTGTGTGCATTAGAACAAATCCTATGAACCAATACGACTGAGCAGTGGATACATGTGCCATAGTTTACACACCATGGCCAATCAGAGGAGGCCACAGATAGGTGTCATTTTAGCAGCAACTGCAAGTTAGGATGCAGAGGAGAAACTAGGAAGAAACAAAGGCCTCACGCCAGCGTTTGGGACTTCAAATCTATTCAGTAACAATACATGTATAGCTGCACCAACTTGCAGAGTGGAATTTTGCTGAATAAGCACAAATTGGCTAGCATAAAGCCATCAAGCATTTACTTTGGGTAGGAATTAATATTGAACTATTACACAACCATCCAAAAATATGTCTTGTTCCATGTTACTAATTAAATTTGAGTTGCAACAAGTTAACTGATCATAATTAATATATTATTGGAATCGTGATCAACCAAAGTAATAATTGTATGGTTTTAGAACCATACTTGAGACTAAAATTGGTTTTATGACTCAAACAGAGCTGTAATCACTGCAGATGATTTGCAGAAATTCGAATCAAACAACCTATCGTGTTAAAATTCGTCTCAATAAAAAAATGTCAAATCTATTTTTATAAAATCCCCCCTACTCACTGTCCTTTAGTGATCTAAATGGATTGATTTTGATCAGTCGGATGATTGATAACCATTGTACACCATATTCGTTAATTAGAGTGCTTTATTGGAGAGATATATAAAACTATTACATTTCCATGTTTCCTTGTTAGATTAAAACGTATTCTGTGTTGTGCACAAGACTTGGCAAGATCTCAAATGAACGGATTAAATTACAGACTGGAGATTCAAAATGGCACAGCCAGTCAGTCATTACAAGCTTACATCAAAAACAGTTATTGGTATACATTGCAATCGTGTGCGTGTTTAGAATTGCTATACGAAACCAAAACAAGAGGAATAACTTAATAGTTGTGGAAACTTTATGGCCGCTTGGGCAGAAAACGCCAGTACGAGCGAAATGCCTTTACAGCAGCAGCTCACTTCCTTGTCACGCCAATTAGCTAGCGCTGTTATAAGACGGGATCATATTTCACCAAAACCACATTTATCGCATGTATCGTGCTTTAAAAAGCCTCTTTCGTATGTCCTTTAATTAAAAGCCACGGTACGTTGTTATCAGCGTCTCCGTGCTATAAGCTGGCTAATTAATGAGCAGTCTTAATTAGCTATGCCACGAGAGATGGATCAATTAGCTAGCATGCTAGGCTCTGCCGTCGCAGCGGGTCAGGAATGCTCGTTAGCTCCAACTTTACTACAAATAACCACACACACTCACACGGACATACACTTATCTAGAGTCGCGTAACGAGGCTGGAGTCAGTTTGGCCTTTTCACATGCTACAAATGACAACTGCATGTTAATTAAAATAATAAACATTAAAGAAGAGGCTGCGCTATTAAGAGTCGTGTCACTTTGCTAGCATAGCCTGTTAGCAGCAGAGATAATTAACCAACTGAGTCCAAGTGTCCTGCCCCCACTAACCTGAACAGTGTCTGCTCCAGGTAGAAAACACTCATTGCTCCAGCACACACAAAACACGCTGCGATCCGTAAACACCGACCTAGATTTACCCCCTTACCCCACTGATTGCGCTCTGCCATTCGGGCATGTAGACTCGCACCGCCCGCCGCCTGCTGTCCAACCCATAGAAGGTTCAACAGCGCAAATTGAGGCCTAGCCCGACTAAAGCCATTTAATTAATGAACACGGGCTCCGCTTACAGATGTGTTAGAAGAAAACACTCGCACCCCTCCTCCCTCTCCCGTCAAGCAGACCCCCTTTTGACGCTCGAAAGCCTAAACACAGTGTCGCTGCAACACATGTCAATATGAACTATCATTTAAACAGCTCCGATGCGTAATTGGCGAAGGAATTAAAGGCGTAAAAAGCGAGTTGAAAGCTTAGTACGTGCGAAGCGATCTGCCCCTTTCTCGGCGATGGGGGTGGTGTTAAAGAGGAGCAGGCAAAAAGACAGCAGCAGTCGAGTAAGCAAGAAAAGTTTTTAGATTTAATGTTGGGATTTCAGCTCGGGGACGCTTTGATAAGGCTTTGATTCGTCGTTTACTCGATTGCCAATCAGACCCGAAGCACTCTATGCGGACAAAGCGGCACAATTAAGCAACCGCGTTTAATTAAGTTGGAAGCAATTAGCTAATGTATTTTTACCTGCATGGTCGCCGCTCCACGCACACACTCGCTTCCTCCGTGGCTCTCAGAAGTGAAAAGTTTTCTCCCTCCCCTCTCTCTCTATTTCGCTGGCAGTCTCCCCTCCCTCCCTTCCTAAGCTTCATTCGCCCTATCCCTCTCTCCTTCCCCTCTTGTCTAGTAAACACAGTGCAGCTCCCCCCAAGGCTGATTGCTGACATTCAGAAGTCCCTCCTCATGCACTATCAAATAAAATGACTTATGTAACCTCCGCAGATTTAGAGATATCATTAACTAGAGCTACATTTTTAAATAGACGCTTGCTATCAATCTCCACCCGAGACTTTGCATTCTTGAAATCTCATCAATTAGGATTATTGTCAGTCACTCACGGGCTGATTGCGTTACGAAAACTCAACATTTTCACGATCACTCAACAACTACAACGTTTGGGATTAAACGATAGGTGTGGCGCATATCTACAGACTGGGAAAGGGGGATAAATATTTATGAAGCAGTGAGGATTAAAACTGCACCATCTGTAGAATGCTCTGTTACTGGGACAGGAAGAAAGGGTCCTCCATGCCCTGATAGGCGTCTCTGCAATGATAGGCGTCCGTAATTGCGCCTGAGTAAAAAAGAACTTGCCTGACGTGTTTTGGGACTGTAGGATTGATCTGTCGCCCTATTTTTATGATCGTTTGTTTGGATTAGAGGACGTGGCTCGGTGAGGTGTGTGTGGGGGCTGTGCGGGAAGCTTTTGATGCTTTATTACCTCGCTTTGTGTTACAGATCGGCAGTAATAGGCTACGGTCTGTCTCTGGGTGCACATTTAATCTGACTATGTAATCTGGCACCTGTGCAATTAGACTAAAATACACTGCAGAAATGTTATTACAACTGCATGACACTTTGCATCCATGTAATAGGGCTCACAACGCATCCATGAATTTAATCCAAATCAGATTTGGTTTTAATTATATTAGCTGACAGAAGTAGTTTACTAAAATGTTACAAACATGTTTCAATTAAGAACAATTTGTCCTATATCAAAATGACCAGTCTAATGGCAGTTTATGATATTTTATTACTATTAGTATTTTCAAACAAACATGTCAACACGTATTTCTATCTCAAAGCAGATAATTATATATATTTTTTCATGTTGCCTAGACTTGAGCAATACACATACAAATGTAGCACTAGCAGCTATTCTATCCATGAGTGTTCTTTTTACACCGCCTATCGAAAGGAATACAAGCCTATTTACTTTTTGTTTATATTTAGCCTATTATTTCAATTACATTTGTCTATCATTTTGTTTCAGATGAGTGTCGAGGTTGAAAGAAAGTTCATTTTCACTGATGAAACTCTAAAAATACTGGAAAAGACAGCAGGTTAGTGATTTGTAAATATGACTGGTATTTATACAATATTTCGACTGTTCTGTTCTTTGATTGGAGGATGTGATTACGGGATGTCACACTATCAGATGGGGACGCAACCAATATGCATGTGGCAAGAACTCAAAAATGGTTTAAAGAGGTTTAATAATAATTCAAGTAATCTACAACGTACAGTGTTGATTCTAATAAAATCTAGAAAACAACGTTCAATATATTTCTATATGTATTACTGTTTATATGTCATCTAATATAAAACCATGCAATTGTTTTTGTTCTTCTGAATCTACAGCATGTGTCAGCCAAAAGGAGTTTCATGATGAGTACTTTGATACCACTAACTTTTCCCTCACTTTACAAGACTTTTGGTTGCGTAAACGTAAAGGATGTTGGGAACTGAAATGCCCAATGTGCAGAGGCCAGTCAAAATTAGAAGAACTGTGCACACGCTATAGGGAGATTACTGATGTGACAGAAATTCAGCAATGTGTGAGAGAAGTCCTACAAGACAGCAAATCCTCACTTGATATAGAAGCTAAAAAGAAGAAGACAGATGACGATGTGCAGAGCCAAAACCAAGTTGTCACTGCCGATGGTCGCAGCACACACCAGGATGAGACTTGGTTGAACGACATGGACTTGAAATGCTTTGCAGAGTTCACAACAGTTCGGCGGTCATTCTCTCTAAAGGAGGACGGCGTGCAAGTTGATTTGGACCAGGCCGATTTTGGATACAATGTCGGGGAGATTGAGGTCCTTGTAAAAGAGGATCGAGATGTGCAGTCAGCCTTGGAGAAGATTGAAAACGCTGCTCAAAAACTAGGTAAAATTGGAGTCAGTAAATTGCCCCATCACCAACTCTGATATCAAGAAGTTGTGAGTTTTTTGTAAAGATTCTATTCTCTCCCACAGGTTTGACTGGAAATCAGAAAACACCTGGAAAAATGCATGTCTTTCTACGACGATACCTTCCAAGTCACTATGATGCATTAAGGAAGGCGCACATTTTGTAAATTTTAAGTTATATATTGGTGAGTTACAACTTACAAGTTGGGGGGGGGGGGGGGGGGGGGTTTCTGGGTAAAATGATATGTATCTGAACCGTGGTCTATACTGGGAATAAAGTATTTATTCAAACTTTTAAGAACACATTTTTGCATTAAAGATTTTACTAGAATACAAAGCCATCCAAGATACTGATAAGTTAACCTGTGAATGACTTTGAATATGGTATAGCCAACACCCTTTTGATGGAAATGTCAGAGTATCTGTTTGCCATTTAGGGGGTAGGTTTTGGTTCATTGGAGATGTTAATTAACTCATTACACCATGTTTACTCACTCTCTATTGAACTGTCTGGGTCTCTAACTATTTGTTCTCAGTGAGAGAAATTGACCCAAACCCATCCATTCAAAACCACAATGGCAAAAGACTTAAATAAGGTTTAAATGGGAAGATCTGTCTACAATTAGAGTTGAAATAATATAAAACAGGTCTTTAATTGAGTTGGAGATTAGAAATTTAAAAATATGCATGACATAAAGCTATATTGCAACAGCCTAAATCTACATTTATTAGGTTAAAATTAGGACACGAATACCACTTTTTGCACAAAATTTGAAGGATAATAAAATGGTACAGATCTTTCAGTATACAAACAAAGTTAAATAGACAATAATTTACCACAGAAGGATAACATACAACCAGTGTGAGGGTGGGAGGGGCAGGGTTGTTATGAAAAAAGCAAAATTTACTATAAATACAGTACAACAAAAGAGAAAAAAACAGGATGGATTGAAATGGAAATCGTTTAAAAAATGGTGTATACATGTATGAATGTGTTATTGACGTGCATAGCTCTGAGCTGGTCACGTGACGGTGAAAGGGCAGGCGCAGACTTCTTCACAGTTTGTAAACAACATGGCGACTCACGGGCTGGCGCTGTTAGCAGACTGAAAACACACTGCCGAGAACTAACCACGTCTCATGCTGACAGCCGCAGGGGAACAAATCTTCTCTGAACTCATTATAAAAGTCACCGCATTTTGCAAGTTGTTTCTGATTGAGGACAAACTGGACCGAAGAGCTGTCAAGCGGAGGACAGTCAGATAAAGGTTAGCAATGTTAGCTGGAATAATATAAGCTAACACCGTGGCTTTGCAGACAGAAAGAGGGGCAGTGTTATGTGATTCCCCCACCTACATATTGACAATTTAGAGACCGTTTCTTAATTGGTTTCAGATGCAGTGGTGACGTACTGTCGATCACGTAATATTTGCTTGTGAGGTAACCTGAAATTATTACTGGACTTCGAATAACTAATTACACAAGATACCATGCAACAGTTTTCATAATATACACACTTTGAACATACATTGTGATTAGAGATTATACACTTGAAATATAAACAAAAAAAACATTTTTAAATGATTATCATTAAGAACACTGTCAGTGAGTATTGTCCTTAGATTGTGCAAAAAAAATTAAAAGGAATGTATGTCTGTGGTGAGTGATGTATAAGCTATCATCTCTGAAAGGGTTGCAACAGTCTGAAAATATACATGTATGAGTCTTCGTTTAGTTTGTTTTGTTTTGAAGTCTAAAATCATATAAAGCAAGTGAATTGTAGCAGAAACCAGAGTTTTGCAGTTTATACACTTGTATCACAGAAAGGACAGAGCACAGCACAAGCCCAAACAAATCCTTAGCATACTCCTGAATGAGCTCATTGTTAGGTAGAGCGTTCCATTTACAAGGAGCATCATAGGAGAAAGCTGCTTCTCCTATTTTTAGTTTCACACTTAAGGTAGAATTGAGACTGTTCCATATTTTCATCTTCATATGTGTATTGTGATAAATGTAGGGAAGTGACTAAATAATAACCCTTTTCTAATTATCATTAATGAAACATGTTTAGCAATTCAGGTCAAAACAAAAATCTTGCTTTTTACACTTTCATATTACACCAAGTATTCAGAATACAGTATTCTGTAAGAGAATACTGTCCACAAGTTTTACAGTCAAGACGTCCTTAATGCAAAGCTCTATTTGCGTGATTTCTATTTATATTGTACTTTTCGTACATCCTAACATCAACATTCAGGTAACAATTATCTGCCCAGGGCCCACATTTAATCCTAACGATCTATTGCGGCTCTTTTTCCCCTGTGTTATTCTAACTTACTGTCCTGCTGCCGACAGGCTCGCTCCGGTCTATGGGCTCTCAGTCCAGTTCTGGGATGTCTGGTGGAAGGGGATCCTCCAGTGGCACCCCAGCAGAATCTGAAGGAGATAACCAGGGCCTCAGCCGCCGCTCGGATCGACAACAGGGAGACAGGCAGTCATCAGAGGAAGACGTTGATCTCGCTGAAGTCCTGGCGTACTTACTCAGAAGGTAAAAAATATACTTTCACAAGAATTTTTGTTTGTTTGATTAAACTGAGAAGGCACCGTGATCTTACATATTTACATAGACTTTAAAGGGGGCATTGTGAAATGGGGGAAACTGGCCAAATTAAATTGAAACTTCTGCCGGGTTGTGTATAAACTGCACCATAATGATCCATTGCATAGCTATGATTGTGGGTGGAACTTAACAGTTATGATATTACAGATATTATGTGTTAGCGATGGAATAAAATCTTGTGGACATTTTGTCTTGCAACATCCCTTTTGTCCCATAAACATGCTTTTACTTTGGAATTTTGTGTTTGTGTTAGAAATAATGTGTTTGGAAAAATTTCAACCTGCCATAAATGAGGAAACACCACCATCTATTAGTGCAGCCCAATGCAAGCCTTTTAAAACATGTCGGAGCACGCACACAGCTTTAATGAACACAATGTGACCCCAGAAATGCTCAGAACTGGTTTGGAAATGATACAGCTCTCTCTACGGCAGAACAGATTGAGATGCGTGTAACAGATAGGAGAGATTTACCCGAGTGTTTTGTAAGGAGGAGGCTGGTGGAAGTAGTTTGAGCAAAACAAATCTTAACGCTTCAATGTCCTTCTACAAGACAAGAGTTTAAAGAAACTGGTATCGCTTAATTTCCTGACGTGTTTTGGCAGTAAAGTAATCTAAGTCTGTCTTCTGTGAGGAAAGAATGCTGTAACATGTGTTTAAGGATGGCCACTGGACGCAGGGTATTTATTTATTTATTGATTTATTTGATAGGGACAAGTGAACACAATCAACATGTGAAACACTACAACATTTATAGCCAAGGCTAGTTTGCAATGTCCGTCCCTAGGAGGGCTTTTAACACAATTAAAACACATTATACATTATAAAATTCACATTATACAAAAGCAGATGTTCTCCAACTCATTGATGCTCACACACCTGGTTTGTTTTAAGAAATCGCTTTAGTTCATGTTTAAAACCAGCCCAGTCAGAGTTCAGTTTTAGCTGAGGGCTTAAAGAAACCTCTTTTAGTATCGTGTAGATCACTGCCATCTTGTGTGAGCGTTGAGCAGAGAGTGAATGATTAATGCACCAATTTATATAAAGCCTAAGTTGTGGTTTGGAGAATAGAGGTAGAGACCAATTTACAGGTGAAACTCTGAAAATTAGGATAATGTTCAAAAGTCGCACAGTGTCATTTTGCACGTAATGAATCTATAGCATTGTTGTTTGTAATCACAGAAATAAATGAACTGAACAAAGTGCATTAAAACAAAATTTCTGAGCTTCAGCTGCATATATGTATTTAAATGAGTGAGTCAATACCCAATGATGGCCTGTAATGTTCTCAAGAAAACTATTTATTTTGCTCTAAACAATGAATCCAAAACACAATGAGTATTAATTCATCCCTAATATCTTTCCTTAACAGGGTCCAGTTCTGTTTCAAACCAATTCGGTAATAATTTTGTCCAGAAGAATCTACCAAGTATAAATTCCAAACTGATATTCAAGTGATTTGTTGAATAAATGTTTTAAAAAAAATTGTCGTGCCAAAGATTTCAATATTTTGAATTTGTTTAGTAACATGATATTTGAATGTAAATACATGAAACTGTAGAACATCGTTCAAAAGTTTATGTATTTCTGTTTATTTCTGTTATTGTGACTCATTATGAACAATGCCAAGCCTTTGTTGAGGTAAATTTTATGATTTTGGCTTCATGTTTTATTTCCCTTTGTTTTGTTGTGAGCCAATTATCAACGTAATTACAAATGCAGGATGTTGTTCAGATCGTCAGTTGAAATACAGAAGTAAAATAAGACACCTTTGAACAATATTCACATTTTCTGAGTTCCACCTGTGAAAAAGCTTGTTTGAAATTGTACTTGTCCACTTGTACATGATGCTAAAACGTTTGCAGTCTTTTGCAGATTGCGTTGGTGAAAGCATCGATGAAAAGTAGATTTAACATGAATCACACTTGATATTTTTGTCACTATCGCTAAATGTTTGTACGTGCACTTTATAATCTTAACAAGGGCCTTTACAAGAGGAACTGTAGGGTCCTCTATTTGAAAGCCAATAGCAGGAAGTAGAGTCTCTTTCAATAGAGCAGGGAACATAATTGAAACATTAAATTACATTCAGACATTTCGCTGCAGAGAAACAGGGGATTTCCACCTCCTTTCATTTCACTCTTGGACAATCAGTCTTTAAGCAAAGGGTTTGGATTTTTTTTTTTTGGCCAGGAATTAATGTATCACCAATGAGAAGCTAAACATCCCATTTATCTAAAACATTTTTGCTGTTTTTATGTAAACCCATACCATAAAAAAAAACATACATAGGAAAAACGGGAGCATACAACTGGCCCCCCTGCTTGTCCCAGAGTCAGAACTAAACATGGGGAGGCTGCATTTTCAGATTCACGCAGCTAAAATCTGGAACAGTCTTCCTGAAAATGTGACACAGGCTTCTACTCTGACAGTATTCAAATCCAGGTTAAGATCTGTTATGTTTGACTGAGAGATTTTCTCTTTATGTACTGTGATTATTTATGATTGTAATGCCTTGTGTGTCTCTATCTAGTTTTGTAAGTAAGTAATCTTCATTTATACAGTGCCTTTCACAGATCAGAGTCACAAAGCGCTTTGCCTTGTGTATGAATTGTGCTATACAAAAAAACTTGCCTTTCCTTTCCTTGCCACAATAGGCAATCCATAATCATAATAATGCATCATACTTATGCAGTGCGTTTTGGACTCAATTGACTCAATCAAAATGAAAGAGTTGAATCCTTTTTCTCACTTCACTGAGCATTGAACCACTGTGGAGCCGCCGCTGATCCTCCATCTGTTGCTCTACAGCTGCTCAGTATCGTGTGGGTAAAATCACCAACCAACAACACTGGCTCTTTTTATTATGTGGAAGATTGATTTCTAAACATAATGAGCATTGTTCTAGCAGTGCAGTAATAGTGCCTGCTGTCAGGAAAGCACTTTTTATGAGCGTTTGATGACTAAAGTTACAAGTCATAATAAAAACAGTCATTCAATCATTTACTCAAGATGACTTCCTGCTTCTTGTCGGTTTGTTTGTTCTTACAACGAATCTAAATCATCATACAGTTCATAATTAATACAGCACATATTAAAGACAAAATGTTAAATGCTGAACAGAATAAGGATAAAAAGGCCATTTGGAGACTGCTCAAACAGGCTCCATGGGATAACTCCAATCATGAGCGAGGCTAGACCGGTCCCGCTATTCGCCAAAGCAGAATCTGGAGACCAAAGGCACCTGATTGGTTAGTTATAATGTTAAAGTAATAAACTCTAAGATTATTTATATCAGTAATTGTGGGAATAAATTATCATTATAAAGCAGGGCTGGGCAATAAATCAAATTTAGGCAATTAATCGGCTTTTGAAAAAATCGAATTTGTAAAAAATGTGAAAATTGTGAAATCGAATGAAGGATATTGTGAGAGTTCCAGCAGCACATGAATTAATCGTCCAAAGCAGAAAATAAAATTGAGATTTTTCTTTTTTGCCATTTAGCCCAGCCCTATTATAAAGTGCAAAAGTGGTGGGAATTATTTAGTTGTTGTGGATGGTTTTTCAAGCTCTTGGCATTCTGGGAAATCTCAGAAGCCTGGTTCAGTGGAGGGATCAGCTGTGATTGTTGTGGACTTTTGTTTGGCTGCTCGACTGTGAAGTTGTGCAAATTGGCTTGAGGTTTTCCCTGTTATCTTGTTTACTTGTTTGATGAATCCGGAGAATCATCAGTATATTTTGAAGATTTGTCACGAGAACAAGCAAATATCCTTTGTATTGTCAGCCAATTATTTCCTCATAAAACAACTTCATTAAGATGTCATTATATCATTAAGAAAAGATTCACATTTCTGTATAATATATATACTATAGGATTGATTGAGTTCTAATTGTGCTGTATTCACTAACTTTTAATTAGTCATTTTTACTCTTGACAAAATTATACAGGATATCAAAAATCGCAATGTTGGTCAGAAATATTACAATTAGATATTTTGCCATAACTTTGCCGCCCTAATGTCCATTCCTATACAACATACTGTCCATGAAGTTCAGTACAGCGCACTCTACGTTGTGTGCTGTGTGTTCCAGGGGCCAGGTGCGTCTGGTCCATGGCAGTGGAGCCACGGGACTACAGCTGGTCCAGTCTTACTCCGACTCGGACGAGGACAGCGATGGGGCCTGGGAGGGGCGACTGGGCGACCGATACAATCCACCAGGTAACGGCCACTCTATGGAGGCACCACTTACTGGGACAAGGTTAAATCTATTTTTGTATGGGACATTTACAGCTATAAGAGAGCCTTTTACAGACCCCACTGCTTCATGCAGCAGGAAGGTGACAATGTAAATAAGGGAATGTTAAAGATTGTGTATTTTTTACTCCTTGTGCTGCCCTCGGATCAAATTGACCCACCACAGTGATTAATAGCAGACCCTTTTAGATCCTAATTTAGGGTCTAAATGATCCAGGGCTGGTCAAGTTAGGAAAAATCATCCCAATTCAGCTTAAAATTTTTTTTATTCGGGGGAATCTTTTAATCACAGGGGTTAGTTTGACCTGAGGAGAGCACAAGGGATAAACTTCATGAACCTTTGGTTTTTTCAACCTTTGTACCTGTAATCATTCATCAGTGATTTCCATTTTGTCTGACTGAGTGCTCAAAATCTCTCTTCTTTGAGAAATTTTTACTATCATGTTAAATATACAATATATGTAAATATTGTCATAAAAGACGGTAGCCAGAAAATAGGTGTATTACCTGGCCAGTCAACAATTGTATGTTTTATGATGATAACAAAACAAGAGAAACCACAACAATGGAACTGTGTAATTTAATCCATTTAACTAGTTCCAAGTTCAAAAACAGATCTATCTCTAGTTTCCACATGCATGTATTTTTATCAGTTCTTTAGATCAGCTTTTTTCAGACAGTCTTTTTTAATGAATGGTGAATTTAGTGAAATTATAGTTGTGCATTCATAATGAGTTGATGACACAAACGCATACAATATGAATTTGCACAATACAAACGCATCTTTGATTCATTTTCCCACTGACAGTAATCTCTCTGCAGTGAAGTCAATGATGCAGATTCCTCTACATGTATGAGGGTGGGAGGTTCTGTGGTCCTGTCAATAAGAAGCAGCTAAATTGATTGTTTCGAGTCATATTTCCAGTGGACGTCCAGCCTGACACCAATGAAGTTGACCGCAGTGAAATCCGCACTCAGATCCTTTTGGCCACCGCCTCCTCCACGCTGAAAGGACGACACAGTTTTACGCACATGTTAACAGAGGTGAGAAAGCAAATATTATCACTGTAAAACATAGACAGTATATAAATGGACAATGCCCCTAGCAGTTTTTCTTTGACTCCTATAGACTTACATTGAAAAACACGGTTTAGTGCTTTCTGTTTTTATTCGGATACAGTCTTGAGCCCTAACAACTGACCAAACAGGTCCCTAATTTCGGCTATAGCTAGCTCGGTTGTTGCTACCCACAAATCTGTGTAAATTTGGCTCCACGTTCTCGCCTAAATAATCTGTTTGAGCTTGCTGTAATCAGCAATAAGACAACCAACATGGGTCAGTTAGTTCACTGCTTCTACAGTCTAAGAATATATTTAACGGGGACAATACACACAAAATATAGTTGTTTTGGAGCAATCCATGTATTTTTGAGTAATTTACAGTATATTCTCTTATCTGAGATGCCATGTCTCTTCTATGACCACTGCTACATGTCCACTGTTTTTACTCTCATGATATACTTTGTCAAAAAACACCTGCTCTTAGGTAACTTGATCTGTGGTGGTCAGGAGCAGATTCAATGTAATATTTCCACAAATATCCTGCATGTTACAGATATATAGTAATGAGGGTGTGGGCTTAAGGGAAACGGACAGTGGACAAATGTGGTCCCATATATGATTACATATTAGTGCATATTATTGCACATGTGAGGTCAGCATTGTTCAGGATGTGTCCCAATTTTCCCAAAACAATAAATCTTGTTTCTTTTTTTTCTTTTTTAGAGGGAACAAGGCAGATGTCGTGCCTCCAGTTTTTCCCATGGAGAGTGCAATCGCATCCAGACACAGTACGTTTTTTCACACAAAATAGAAAAATAAGTTTTTCAAAAAAGGCTCAACCCAGTCCTGGATACGCGGAAGTGAATCAAATGAAGTGTACTAATGCTTATTTTGCTCCTAAACATAAAAATAAAAATACAATTCAACAATGACTCATACAAGCCATACTATTGGGGCTGGCACATACAAACTAAAAACTTAGATTTTTGTAATGCTGTAAAATGATTAAAATACGATCACATTAACTCACGATTAATCGGTGAGTAAACTATGGGGCTGAGTACACAAGTCATATCTGCAGAGATGAGAGCCGACCTGATGTAAGAATCCAAGTTTGAGCATAAAAAATATCTCCACTGACATATTGTATATTGAGGTATATTCCAAGCAAAGAGATTACGTTACTATGGCATTAAGAAGGTAGTGAACGTCATCATAAATTGTGTGATACACTTTTTAATCCTTTAGACAATTTTTTTGTTGAAATTGGATGTAAAACAGAGGTGAAACCTGAAACACTAAGCGATAGAGGACTAAAATCAATAACAGAAATAAATTAAGTTTTTGTGTGGTTTTCGTTCAGAAATGGTCTTCGATTCATTCTGCTACTTTGGTGCCTAAAGGTTTATAATCTATTAGAATTCATGAATTTCATAATGATACAATATCAAGGCAAATTATTTCATCATCAGTGATTGACGGCTCAATAATTTAAGGACAGACCCGCTCGTCCCAAAACACGGGGTTTGTTGGGCACTCATGCTGTTGTCTGTCAAACGATATTGACCCTTATGTTTCCTCTCAGTTTCCTGCCAAACTACGTGTCCCACAAGGATACATACCAGCAGAAAGCCTTCTGTGGAGTCTACAGCGAGAATGGCAACATGTTCCTCTCCGCCTGCCAAGGTAAATAAGTGCAGAGCCAACAGGACAACGCAACGCAAAGCAAATGTATCTGAAATTGTTTCTCAACGTCGGTTCATGTGAGCGGAGGCTGTCACTCAGAAATGGATCTGGCTCAACGTAAAGCAATCTTATTTCGACCGCCAATAATCTTCCTTTTTTTTATGAACAGATATAACGATAACAAGCGCAATTACACAATTATAGCTGGTGGATCGTTGCCATTGTAAGCAACAAACGGCAGTTGCGTTCTATGATTAAACAGATTTTATCGATCTGAGGAAGAAGAATACAAGATAAAAGTATTTGTAATTGCAGTAGTTCGGAATTAGTCATTTGTATATAACTACATAATGGTACTGTTTTCTAATGTCCTACTTAAATCTTTTCCTTTTGTATTGTACCTTAAATACATGTCCCCAGATAACATGTCAACATGTACAAATCATATTGGACCTTTTCTGAATAAAAAGTTTAAAGTGAGTTATTTTGTTATTAAAAATAGATTGGACAGGGTGTCAATAAAATGTATGCTATTTTCAAGTAGATTATCCAATCAGAGAGCAGAATGAAGCTCTCATTTGGCTTGCCAGTTGTCCAGACATGCTTTTCTTTCCAGATTAGCTTTTCTGTATGGAGTTTGCATGTTTGATTTGATTAGGTTTCCTCTGGGTGCTACGGTTTCCTCTACCTCTAAAAACAGCTACAATAGTCCCCTGTAATGTTTTCACCCTAAATGTCTGGCGACCCAAACTCACATGATCCTTCTTTTTGATGATATAGTCAGCTTGAGAACCAAAATAGTAGTTGTGATCAATGATATAAAAACAATGATAAAGCCTTTTTTTGCACAAAGGGGATTTCAGATTCCATCTCTGATAATCATTTAGAATGACGTGGGTTCTATACACGCTGCTTCGATACTTACTTTTGTGTAAAAACCTCTCGTTTAATTCCCCACAGACCAAAATATCCGCCTGTACGACACCACTAGGGGGCGCTTCAAGCTGCGGCGCACGGTCAAGGCGCGGGACGTGGGCTGGAGCGTTCTTGACGTGTGCTTCACTCCGGACGCTCAACATGTGCTCTACTCCAGCTGGTCCGACTACAGTAAGACCAGGACTCAGACTCTGTAACCAGGACCATAGACTCTGTAACCAGGACCATAGACTCTGTAACCAGGACCATAGACTCTGTAACCAGGACCATAGGCTCTGTAACCAGGACCATAGGCTCTGTAACCAGGACCATAGACTCTGTAACCAGGACCATAGGCTCTGTAACCAGGACCATAGACTCTGTAACCAGGACCATAGTCTCTGTAACCAGGACCATAGGCTCTGTAACCAGGACCATAGGCTCTGTAACCAGGACCATAGGCTCTGTAACCAGGACCATAGACTCTGTAACCAGGACCATAGGCTCTGTAACCAGGACCATAGGCTCTGTAACCAGGACCATAGGCTCTGTAACCAGGACCATAGGCTCTGTAACCAGGACCATAGGCTCTGTAACCAGGACCATAGACTCTGTAACCAGGACCCATATATAATCTCTAGCTTTAATCTCTATCGGGTTACCAGTTTATTGTAAGGAGATAATTACCCAAAGGTACTTTCAAAGCCCACTTACAGCAATGGGGAAACTCATCAAAAAGTTGGGTCATATTTTTGATTGGATTTTATGATGTAAATGAGTATATTATTGTACAGTATGTGTTTTAGTGTTTTGTATGAGTTCAGTCAATACCTGGGAGATGCATTTGAACATGTATTGATGGCGGGGGAGACATTACATTTCAGAAGTGTCTACATATAATTTTGAATGAAAGTATAATTTGGGTTTACCCTCAACATAAGGGATGGACCCTGGTGCAAATTAGCTGTAAATTTCCCTGTCAGTCTGAATCCGCTCCGGTGCGAATAAATCATGTCATGTCAAGTGACGGTGTTGAAAAGCAAAAAATGTGTCTGATTTTCTCTGATCTGCTCTGTCTTTCCTCCACAGTTCACATGTGCAGTATAGAGAGTGACGGCGAAAACCACACCGCCCTGGACCTCAAGTTAGTGCCTTTATGCTTTTCATAGGAACTCATAATGATCGTCATTCTCCGCGGGACAGAACACCTTTCCCATCATTGCCAGAGCGACGAACGATGCTGTCAAAGTCTGCCACCTCCTCATTTGTGTCCTCTGTGTGCGTGTGTGAGAGCCCCTTTTGACAACATTAGTGGAGCTAACAAAGCATTGCTTCAAAAGCTGCTGTGCTCCCAGTACAGAGGATGGACAGAACTAATCTATTTGGACAATAAAGTCTATAGTTGACTGCACATTGAATGCATAGCTAGTAATCGACTCGCTAAGTCACAACCCAAAAGTGAATTGAATTTTATTTTTAAATACTGTATGTGTTCATACATTATGTTTATAAGCATGAGACATTGAGACACTGATTGTGAAATAGACAAAAGCTGACACTCTGTAACTTAGAGACAGTAGACCGATTTTAATCAATAACGGAAATACATAGAAGAAAGTTGTGTACGAAAGGAAGGAGATGTTTGTAGGAAGCCAAGTCGCTGTATAGAAAGTGTCCTGGATTTAGAAGCTTGTGTGGAAATTCTGCCACTTTATATACATATACATATTATATGTAACATATATGAATAAATATATATGTAACATATATATTTAATAATGTATATGTATAAAAACATTTTTATATTTTTTATGTGTCCTTTTTGGAGTGTAGTACCAGTGAAAGTGAGTGAAACCAGTATATAATCATATAATTAAAATAAATTAATGATAAATATAGACATATTACATGTGTCATAAGCCTAACCTTTGTTTGATGCATAGTCAATCTTCAAAATCATTATATATTTTTTTAGGGTTTTTTAAACATTTGTGAGCCAGTTATCACAATAACAAATAAAGGCTTGATGTATCTCACTTTGCGTGTAACGAGTTAGTTTCACATTTTACATTGATTTAAAGAAGTAAGTAGACTTTTGACCCAAATTCTAGTTTTCCAAGTTTCACCCGTAGATACATAAAGTATTCTAAAATGTTGCTTAGAAAAGGCTTTTGAGTCACAACCCTCCAGTTGAGAACTACTCTGCTACTGTTCACAACTCATTATATTTATTTCATTAAGAACTTTAAATCAATGTGGATAAACGTGTTTCAGTGTCATTTGGATTTTATATACAGTAGATGTTATATGGATGTTTGCTAAACCGTATTGTGTGGCACAGCCTTTGTGAGGTTAATTGAACGATCATGTTTCTGCTGGTGACGTGTGTGTGCTGTGCTCTAGTCCGGACGAGAGGCGCTTCTGCGTGTTTTCGCTGGCCGCGTCCACAGATGGCAAAGAGATCCTGGGAGGGTAAGCGGCACAATTCACTTTCATGTTTCAAGGCTCCGAGAATCCTCACTGTTTTGTAAATGAGAATGACAATTACAACTCTTCAATTGTTTCAAAGGGGACATGGCAAAATGGACTTTTCACAGCTTTAGACCATAGTTGTTTTCCCATGTCATTTTTACTCTCCCACGTTTTTTTTAGAGTTATTCATGCATTCTCGAATTGTTTATATTCTCTGAGACTTCCCTCTGGCCACAAGAGGCAGCCACTGTTTTTACTGATTTACTTTACTCTTTTCTAAATCTGTGATACGCAAAGAGTCTTCTAGCCATCAAACAATAAATATAAATAAGATTTCAAATCTGATCTGCAGCAAAAGGGCAGAGCCATACAAACTGAATACTAACGTGCGAGGACTCGAGTATGATGTTTACAAAGCATAAGAATATGGAGTGTGCTATGAAAACTATTCAGCGTTGCCCCCAAACCGGTCTGATCACTCTGGTCCCAGTCTACATGCAGGGCGCCGTACCTGATGGAGCAAAGGTGTCCTTTGACTATGGCCTATTACTCAAACTTGTAAACTGTAATTTTGTTAATAATACTTCTATCATATTCACAGTATAACCACACTTTTATTTTACTTTGAGAAGTTGATTTTCGGACAGACTCAACTGCATTCATGGACCAGTCATTGAATTTCTGTAGCACAATTACCGCACTATATTTTCTTTTGTTTCACAAACAAGGCACTTTCTGCTTCATCACTATGATTTAACATGAGTGTGGTGCCTGCCCTGCGCTCTTACATGCATCTGCTAGCCGTGTCTCAGTATACATGGTTTACGTCGTTTCATGCTAGCATAATTGTAGTAGAAATGATATTTATCCAGTTACGCCAAAGGGGACAATGACAGTATAAAAAATCAATAATGCTCAATTGAAGATAAATACTAAACTAAATTCGGTTATTTTCAGATACACGGACAAAATGGTCACACGGCTCTATACAAACTCCTGTCTTTCCTTCCAGGGCGAACGACGGCTGCTTGTACGTGTTTGATCTGGAGCAGAACAAGCGAACGTTGAAGGTCAGTGAACATTTGTGCTGCGATTGTTCTTTCTCGTTCACCTCTGCGCCAGTGCCGTCCCACGGTCAAGGTCGAGGCGTGTGGACTGCTCTCATTTCCACACTGCTCTTTTCTCTTTATTATGATGAGGGAGAGGGGGATGAAGGGGGACGTCCAGGGCCCATCCCAGAGCCCCCCTCTGTGTAGCCGACCCTATGCCATCTGCCTGTCTCTGGCCACTAGCTGCTCCACTGTCAGCGCTCCTGTAGTTTATGTCACTGTAACTAGATTTTATTGTTCTCAGCAGAAACCATTCAATTTATCCAGTACACATAAAAAATACATACTTTTTTTGTCCCACATTAAAACAGGCACGTGTCGGAAATCACGACCTCCTGGAACAGCATTCACGCTCGCTGGTGATTACTGGAAGTCCATCTGTAATCACAGCTATGTCCAGGTCACAGCCCAAACGATGGAAACTGACTTGAATGAACACATGAACAAAAGAATAGCCTTTTATTTTACTATTCAAGTAATATCTACTATGTTCAAAACCTCTATAGTGTGTAAAAAGCAATAACAAAAGTGGAGTTGCCTTTATCAGACAATGAAAATACTTTCTTTTTGGAGGGGATTGGATTAATATAAGCTTTTTGCAACATCCAATCCCCTTTCAAACCAGATCAAGGGACATTTAGAAATGTTTGAGTCAAATTAACTAGCTGCACGATTAGACTAATACGATTAATCGCAATTAAATATTTCAATCGTTTGACAGCACTTATACAGGATTGTTTAGAAAATTATATTGAATTGTTGTCCCCTATATCTCGATATGTTTTGTATTGTCAGGCTCTGAAGTACATCCTGCCCTGATTAAAAAGTGTAAACAAGCTCAAATTGTCCTTGAACGGTCTTGAGATTAGTTAGTACACAATATATACAGTAAGTTCATATTTTTTAAACGGAGAAAGGTAAAATAGAGGACCACCCTCACTCAGCCAATCAGCTCTCAGCCTAAATCGTCAAACAGTGACTCACGGGGCTCTGTCTTACACTTTTGCATAAGAAGTATTTATGCGAAAGATAATGTTTTTTTTATAAGACAGAGATTGTGTAGTCTGATTTTTTCTTTCTGTTAGAATGTACCCCAGGCCAGCTTAATTTAAGGAAGGGATGATTTTTGTATAAAGTTTGTGTTTTTCTTTTTGTGCAAATCCGTTCTCCAAAGTGAAGTCTCCTCTCTTGCCCGTTATCGCTTGTAAAATCACTGGCTGTAATATGAACACATTGTATATCTTTCTAACACTTGTTTTTGCAGCAGAGTGAGTTGTGTGTCATTGGCCTCTTTAACAATCGCTGTGTTACTGTGTTCTGTGGATGTATCGCTTTCACAGCCTTGTGTTGGAAAAGGGCCATTGTTCTGCCTATTATCACCCACACCTGTTACAGCAGCTAAAATATCAACTGTGGGAAATGTCTGCTTCATTATCCAGTTGAAAACTTATTGATTGCTATAATAAAGGCAGGACTTGGGGATTGTATCACCAATAGACCGCTTTGAAGCTATTTCAGATTAATACTGCCTTAAATGATAAATATGAATTTGTATGGATTAGTTTGTCTAAATGCCAGAATGACTCATACTGTAACATCTTATTTAGAATTACAAATCAGTCTAATACAATTGGCACTTTAAAAGTTCAGTAAAAGCACAAAGTATTACGATAATTCATTCATTTGTTTCATTTAATCTTTAACTCAGACACACAAAAAGGTTCATATAGCTCACACAACAAAAAAGTATATATACGATGTTCATGACCTGGATGTTTGTTTTGTTAGCAAAGAACATTCTATTGCCTAAAACGTTTCTTTTCCATAAGTGCACTGCTTCAGAGTACAGTCCTACTTAGAGATAATTGTCGTTATTAAAGGCTCAAAAGCTGAGAGACCTATGACAGTAAAATGAGTCATTTAGTATTTATTCTCACTCAAATTAGTATCTCCCGGTCGTTTCAAACTTTCAAAAGTTTCTATTTAGCATCGATAGTGTCTGATTATTGATACTTTAGAAAACCCTACAGCTCCTTCTTGCGATAGATGTTATTGCGTCTCTAGATTTGGTTTAAAACAAGTAATTTCTTCAATTATGGATTTTTACAGTAAGATAACTCCCCTCTCTACAAACATTACTTTATAACTTTGCCGGGTGACGTCACAATTTTGATTCCATTGTAAAAGAAAACATACAGTAAATACCATATTCAGAGAAATATTTAGATGAGCCCAATCCATCAGGATACGATGCATTTGTTTGACATCACAATAAAAAACACCATAGATTAAAATTGTGGTGGATGGAAGCTCAACTATGGTCTCACTATTTATTTTCTCATAAAGTATTGACAACATTCACAAACATATGCATGATGTTGGCAGTAGAAAGCACTTTTACACATAAGAATAATAGGGTGATTTATCATTTTAAGTACAACAGGTCATTTAAAGAATTTAAAGAGTGCACAAACAATTGGTTCTACCCTTTTTATCATAATTCCCCCTCTTCCCCCAACTACTACTATATGGCGGGTTTATGAATCTGAGTTTTATTTCCTTAATTTTTGTATCAACAGTTCTTTCAAATTAATTCTCATTTCCTAAAGCGCAGAGTATTGGCTCATGTCCTGCAACAGAAATACAATTCTACAACATAAACACAACCAGCTATTTTCTGTGTAACTTGGCTTTGAGTCTCGTCCTGCACCTACAGACGTGACGTAAACACCTGAAAGAAAGCTAATATGGTGCATCCTTAATTGAATACATTGTACAGCTGTGTTGGCACCTGCCTTAAAAACTGAAAAAGAATGCTTGAACTTGACACATTTTTTCTCTCGACGCTCTACCGCATTTATAGTTTTTACCAGGACTTCAGGATTACAGGCACATCTGCAGAAAAACTAAACGATTCCGCTGCTCTGAACGGCCCACATTGTCTCACTCTCTTATTGTCTCTGTTCTCACACACGCTCACCTGCTCGCGACAGATCGACGCGCACGAGGACGACGTGAATGCGGTGGCGTTCGCGGACAGCTCGTCACAGCTGCTGTTCTCGGGCAGCGACGACGCACTGTGCAAAGTGTGGGACCGAAGGACGCTGAGGGAGGACCGGCCGCAGCCTGTGGGACAGCTGGCCGGGCACCGAGACGGCATCACCTTCATCCACAGCAAGGTCAAGCACAAACAGACATTCTTTCAAAAACAGAGCCATCGGTCCATAATGAGCAGTGACCAATGTTTAGAAATGATGATACATGTTGAGTGTCCTGGATCATCACCACTGTCTTTAGCTTAGACCCTCTGCTTTGGCAAGGATGTTCTTTAAAACCAGAGGGAAAAGGTGAGAAACCTCGGCCAGGACCGTTATAGATCCAGGACTCAGGCTGTAGAACGAGTACCAAGGCCACGCGGTGCAGGACTCAGGTTGCGGAAGACATTAGGTTATAGGTTCAGGTTCGTTCTAGCCACATGGATATAATGACAAAAATATACTTAGGCGTTTCAAGTAGATCATACAGTTGTGCTTGAGATTTCATTGTTTTTTTCATAAATTCATACAATGAGAGATCACGCACACTCTTTTTCACCTCTCATTTTTAGTGCTGTTGTTTAGTGTGAAGTCATATATCGTCGAATAAACACGTTTTCTTTTCTCAAATTATACACATGTTGAGACGCTCAATTGCGCAATTTATGCAAGGCAGCTCAGGAAAATACACAAACAGGGTGTCTTTTTTGTTATCGTTATCATTGGAATATACAAAATGTGTTGGAAATGGCTTCACGTAACTAATCATAATCTTCAAAATATGGGCAAAAATGTAAAAAAAAATCTTGGTGTGTAAACTTTCAAGCACAACTGATAAAGAAACAAGTAGTGGATTATCTTTGATCAAGTCGTAGAACTGGGAAATTAAAATGAGATGTCTTGAAAAACGTTATAATGGCGCACTTTAATCAAAGGGAATATTAAAAAAACATCTTTGTTCATAGTTAAAGGAGTTTATTATTGAAAAAGAAGCATTTATGAACGCAGGAATGTGTTTGTGCCAGACGCTCTACCGTAAATATTTGTATGGTGCTAATTTTGTTTTGCTACAGTGTTGAGTTTCAAATATTTTAGTGATTTTTTTTCTTTAACAATGTCATCGGTATTTGCAATTATCGCTGATTGTTCTTTTTGTTTTTGTTTCAGGGAGATGCGCGTTATTTAATCAGTAACTCAAAAGACCAGTCCATCAAACTGTGGGACATCCGAAAGTTTTCTCCCAAAGAGGGTCTGGCGGCGTCTCGTTTGGCCGTGACACAGCAGAACTGGGACTACCGCTGGCAGCAGGTCCCACAGAGAGGTACAAGCAAAATGTCTGTGATAATCTATATAAATGAAGTTCAGAGCTCACGCTAAAGCTCGGGTTCCTAACTTTCAAACAACAGAATTTCGAAATATGTAATATAATCCATCTATTCCTCGCTCTTGAAACAGTTTGGTTCCATCACTGTGTTACATCTTTTACGACAGATTTTTCAGACTGAAATGGTTGAACAGTCGACCATACCCTCAGACCACCAAAGTCCAATTCCTAAAAATGTCAAAAAGTGACTCACAGGGCTCAATCTTTCATGTAAAAAGTGACTCACTCTGAATTGCGTGTTTCTGTCTGGACAAACGTTAAAAATAATCAAACTTAAACGACACCTGATCAGTGGAGGCTCAGAGCTACTGCGACATAAACTTTACACATTTACTCATGTTTTAGTTAATTATAGATGACACAGATGCAGGATTTGTTGGAAAAAGTCACAGGGATAAGAAAAAGAGGAACAGAGGCGGTTTTGTACGAGGGTTTTAAGGACAGTTCAGGTCCTGGAGGAGAGATGAGTGATTGGAGCTCACACAGCGCCAGGCAGCAGCAGAGGCTAAAGATGAGTGTCCTGTCCAGAGACGGAGCCCAGGGACGGACAATTAGAAGTTACATTCGACTTCACTTTACTATGCCGGGTCATTTTTAATACAAAGATGAACTTCTCACCTAATTGAATCCACAGAGTATTGTTAAGAAGCCATTTAAGGTTATGGATGTTGTAACACTGAGGGGGTCACTATATCTGAGCTGACATATAATAGATACATGATAGACATACTAGATTATACTTGATTGTTTTAATGATAATAGTATCAACTCTATAAAGTAGGGCTGTCAAACGATTAAATTTTTTTAGTTGATTAATCGCATAGTAATGGTGAGTTAACTCACGATTAATCGCATTTTAAGCATCCTAATTCAAATCCACTCCAATTGAAGTTAAATGAGATTTTCAAATGTAATGACACATTGTGTCCCTGTGCGTGTATATATACGAGTGTATTATATGACCACGTTACCGCTGTCACCATCACACACACGCACGTGTCCGTGGCATTCTGAGTGATATTATTATAAATGGGCGGGTCATTCGGACATGCGATTGCCTTCCAGCCCATTTCAGAACAGGTACTCCCATATTGCCAGCCGTTTCTGATGATTTTTACTGAATTTTCAAGACCCACAGAATATTGTGTATTATGACAATCTGAAATCCAACCATATTCTGAAAGAATGGACTGTCTACTTTCATCAGCAAAAATAATTTTGTTTCTAGCTTGTTTTGTTCCCCTGTAATCCCCAGTCGAGTAGAGGTAAGTTTTATTGAAATCACCAGAAAGTGCATCTAGCTGTTTTCAAACCATTCATAGAGCAATGCTGCCATCTGCTGGCTCGATAAAATATTGCCTCAAACCTTACATAGTTGATACAATAGACATCTGGGAACGTGAAAATAGCGGGAAAAGCAATTGACGTGTTAACACGTCAATGGCAGTTAATGCGTTAATTATTTTTTAACGCGTTAATGAAAACGGTAATTAACGGTAATTAACGCGATAATTTTGACAGCCCTACTATAAAGGGAATTAATTTAAATTTCTCCACCGTGGGACAAATAATGGATTTATTATCTTAGTTAAGTTGTAATGTCATTTTGGAGAACAACATCATGAGACAAAATTATAGTTAAAAGCAAAATTTTATTCATTTTCGAAAGAGAAAGTGAGATGGATAAGACATTTGTTTTCAGTCCCTGCGCTGTTCTGTTGAAGGCCACAACATCAAGATCAGTATTAAACATGAAAAAACTGGATTGTTGGATCTATTTATTTATTTGATAGGGACAATGCGCATTAATGAACATCAGTATAAAACAAATGTAAATATGCCGGATTGTAGCTACCAAGCTAGTTTTCACCCGTAGTCCCTAAGCAGGAAAATAAATAGGAAATAACAACATGAAATACAATAAAATACAAAATATGTTACAAGTTGAGGGACAAGTTGAGGGTTGAGTGGTCACATGACTGGTTTCTTTTCAGCCATGGTTTGATTTGAGTTTTAAAGGTGACCAGTGTAGGACTCTCCCGTAAGTGCAGAGGGAGACTGTTCCAGATGTTCATGGCCCTCACAGAGAGAGGGTTCTTCTAAAGGGGACCTCAGAACCTCTGTGTGTGTGTGTGTGTGTGTCTGTGTTTGTGTAGCTCTGAAGAGGCACAAGCTGACCGGCGACACTTCGGTGATGACGTATCGTGGTCACGGCGTGCTCCACACGTTGATCCGCTGCAGGTTTTCCCCAGAGTTCAGCACTGGACAGAGGTTCATCTACTCCGGCTGCTCCACCGGGAAAATCATCAGTGAGTGTTTTTATCAGTTTGTCAGAGATTTTCAGCTTTAGTAAGTTTCAAGTTTGTCTCAGTCCATCCATATGCAGCTGTGCTTGAAAGTTTGTTTATGTAGCTAAAATCTGGAACCGTCTTCCTAAAAAATGTGAGACGTCTCTGACCATGTTCAAATGCAGAGAGAGAGACCAGAGAGAGAGAGAGAGAGAGAGAGAGACCAGAGAGAGAGAGAGAGACCAGAGAGAGAGAGACCCGAGGGCGAGAGAGGCAGACCCGAGCGCGAGAGAGGGAGTCCAGAGCGCCAAAAGAGTTTCAAGGCAGCTTCATTAACAACAGTTTGATCTCCACAAACAAGTCACAAAATGTCAACATATGATTATTGTAGATAGTTCCTAACAATAACAGAACTGATAATAAACCTATTCCGCTCAGAGAAGAGATATTGCCGCTGTCCAGACGTCACTGCCATCCTCAGTGCAATAGTAATCAGAGTACTCTTTTGTTTTGTCTTGCTAAAGGGACAATACAGACTATTGAGAGAACGAGGGGATGGAAACTTCAAACCAGGGCTATTCGAGTCTTTTTTGTTGTCATTATAAGTTGAAAAGAGACAAAATGGACGAAAAACTAAACTAGACTTTCAAGCACGGCTCACTTTTTGTCCTGATTGTTCCATCCGTCGCAGCAGGTTACTAGTGTCGTTTTTGCCTAGTGGGAAAAAAAGCTATAGAGTAAATAAAATAAAATGAATTATGGGGAAAAAAGTGTGAACTAATGAAGATGACACAATAAAGTGATGAAAAAATACATTTAAAAACAGAATGGTACGTTCAGCCTCCTGCGCAGTTTGAGACACGTTTGTGACTTAATGCACTCTTGTTGGTTCGCAGTCTACGACGTGCTGACGGGCGGCGTGGTCACCAGACTGTCGGGTCATGACGCCTGCGTGAGAGACGTGAGCTGGCATCCGTTTGAAGACAACATCATCAGCAGCTCCGTGAGTCCTGACCTCGATCCACCAACAAAACCTCCTTTTAAATATGGGATGGGAACACAATCAGTGCATGTGGTTTTGTCTCTGTCTACGCTCCATAAAGATGAAGAAGAAGAAGAAACATATTTTACACTAGTTTTCTGTGTCCCTGTGTCGTACCCTGTTTGTCCTCAATGCATCAGATTTATGTGATTTATACAAAATGTTAATAATATGAAGTTTAGACATACATATTTACTCATCACAGAAGACTTTTGAATGATAGATGGCGGTGACGCAGCGGCCAAAGCAAAAGAAGGTCCTGGGTTCGATTCCACCTCCAGGCCTTTCTGTGTGGAGTTTGCATGTTGTCCCTGTGTCTGCGTAGGTTTCCTCCAGGAGCTCCGGTTTCCCCTACCACTAAAAACATGTACAATAGGTCTGAATGTAATGAATGAGTGAGTGAATGGATGGTGTTGGGTGGAGGCTTTGATGCTCCAGTGTGGTCGGGGTTTCGCTTCCGTTATCACCGTGCGTGGACTGAACTCTGAGCGCTTTGGGTGACCTTTGTCTTTAGAAATGTAGATCTATATAATGTTATCTATATAAATAAATATTACTCACTTACTTGTTCAAGTTTTGCAGTCCAAATGACTCATCGGTGAATCCAAGCAGATTTGACCAGAGCAGAATGCCATCCATCCATCCATTTTCTACCCTTTAATCCATTTCTGGGTCAGGGGGGTGGCAATCAGAGATGCCACCCAAGTCTCATAGCACCAGCCCCCAGAGCAGAATGGTGATAGCTAATTTCTAGGGCCAGATATACTGTTATTATGCATTTCTTCTTATTGAGAGTGTGAGAATATAGAGCCGGTGTTGTGCTAAATAAATAAATAATAATACTGTTTGTTGCAGTGGGACGGCGCGGTGCGGATGTGGGAGCACAGACAGACTCACCCCCTGGAGGAGGAGCGTGAGAGGGCCCCGGCTCCAGCTCCTGCAGCGGAGGCCAAACCCTGCGACTGCTGAAAGTGACATCGGCATGACGTCAGCAGACATGATGTCACCACAAACTGGGCGGAGTTATACCAGGAAGAAGCCTGTTCAAAAAGGAGGGACTTTCTCTTAAACGCTGGATTATGATTATGAGTCTAGTGTAGATGCATTTCTAAAGACTTTCTTTGGTCCGGTGATGAAAATATTGAGACATTTACACCTTGGTGCTAAAGCTCAGAGCTGTCATCACCACACTTAATCTGCTGTTTATGTTTAAGGCGGTCAGCGTTTCCCAACCTGCGGTGCGTCAGCAAGCAATAGTGATTAAATACAATATGATCTTTTTAGTAAGTATGATTTTTAAAGGTAGGTTTTGGAGATTCAAGTCAAAAATTTCAAAACGTAATAATTGGCTAACTCAGGGTAGCCCCAGGATCATTAAACATGTATAATATTATTTAGGTATTAAAGATATTGTGGAATAACATTTTAAGATCTGATTGAAAGAAACCTGCCATTTACAAAAAAAATACGATTCTTCACGGCCACCATTTGCACAGCGTGTGCAGAGAACAATTGGAGCTACCCTGCAGGATACTACTATGAAGGGAATGATACATAATACCATAACACATGAGGCAAAAGAGGCTGGGAGCCGCTGATATCGCTAATCAGAAATCTGCGTCAAATTGCTGAAGAAAAGCAATGATGGGGATTCTGTAAAAATGTATAGTATTTTAATGAACAGTGCATTCAATGAGTGCATTTCTGTATTTGTCCATGTGCTGATTCGGCATCAACTGGGGCTGTTTAAGCTCCATTATATCCAGAATTTTAATCAAAACCGCGATATAGGTCGGGGACTACGCTGCCTGTGATTCTCCGTGTGCTCCACGTGACCAGAACCTTCTGTTGAACCATAGTCAGTGGACACAATAATATGTTTTAAAAGGAAATGCCGTTTGTCGTTATCTATTTTACTCTTAAAAGGTCTTTGTTGTACAGAGCTGGGAACATTGGGAATTATTGTGTGTGAATGAAATTGTGTTCACATGTTTTTTTCAGGTAATTTCACAGCTTCACATTTAACAAAAACAAGTCAAATCCGTTCTGTTTATGAGTCTGTGTTGGGGAAAACGTGTAAAATCTATAAAATGGGGGAGGATTCAAATGTTTGGGAATGTTAAATATGTGTTTTAGCTTCATTTGGTCGTAACAGAATTTTAAACTGGAATTTTAAATGAATATTATACTATTTGAGTTTTATGGGCACACCAATGAACCAAAACCATGGATTTGGCCCAGTTTAAGATAAGATAAGATGGTCCTTTATTCGTCCCACTGTGGGGAAATTTCAATACACAATGGCTTGGTCACATCCCTGCTGTGATGTCATCATTTACAACCGGTAAAATTAAACTATAACAGATAAGATAAACTTTATTGATCCCGAATGAAATGACGGTGGTGGCTGCTCTCGTTCACGCAGTCACAGCTACATCATAGATAAGTTGCTAAAATATCTTAAAAACAATAACACGCCATCTTTATACAGCGCTGATGGAAGACACAGGGATATTGTTTTTTAATCTAACCCGGCCACATATTTTGTCGCAGTGTTTTTAGTCCGACATTTGTGCCATGACTTAATGCTGATGTTGACTCGTAATGCATTTTAGTTACAACCTTTTTGAAAACTAAATCCTGCTGTATAAACATTGGTTCTTAAATAATCACGTCTACAACCAGTCAATAGGTTTTGTTTTTTTTAAATGAGGACAATACATATTAATCAATTTGTCTGCAAACAGCATCAACATAAATATGCTTGAATTAGCACAAAAGCTAAATTGCTGCCATTGTCCTAAGAGACGCACAAACACACAGGTGAAAGTACAAACAATAAGTCGACAAGCAAGACAAAGAATTTAATAAAGGAGAGAACGAGAAAGTCCAAGGAAGAGCAGATTAATTTCTGCCAAAGTTTGAGGATTCCTTTAAATGTTTGGTGGGTCCCACAGTTTCATGTGTTCCGCCAAAGTGTTCCATAATGTTGTGCCTCTGGTGGACGCCACCATTTGCCTGAATTTAGTCCTGCGCCTTTGTATGTCTCCTCTGGTTAGAGCTCTGGTTCTGACTCCACGGTTGTTGTTTTTTTACAAATAAAATCCATTAATGGAGGGGAAGAGTAAGACCATGTAATACTTTAAAAATAAGGCAAGCGTCCAGAAACTTCTGATAACTCTCAAAATCTAAAATATTATACTCACAATGTTACAGTAATGATACTGCAAGGGCTTCATATCTAATGTTTTTAGTGTTTTAAACAGAGACGTGAGTGGCTTCAAAGTGCTCTCAGATGTGTTCGACCAAGTCGTGTGGCAATAGTTAATGTGGCTAAATATCATAGTGTGCATGTAAGCCTTTTGCTGACTCTACCGTCAAGTAAGGCCTTATATGTTTGAAGTTTGCCAAGTTAAATTTAACGATATTCAATATTTTCTTGACATGGTCTCTGAAAGTTAAGTTTGAATCTAAGATTACACCCAGACATTTAAATTGTTGTTCCACCTCAATTTTTTATTTATTTATACTACTTGAGTTGGAACCGAGATTATGGTTCATTTATGATCTATGTTATTGGTAAGGTAGAAAATCAAATGTTTAAAAGTCCTGGTTTGTCATTTAGAGTCGTGCTAATAATACTGGAGTAAAGCAGTGGAACAAACAGGAGACATTAGTTGCTACAGGAAGCACAAAGTCACACGGAGGTCATCGTATCGATAGCGTCGCAGTGGCCTTCTAAACTTACATTCCTTCGTATGTCTGCACACGGCACTTAATCTCAAATTGAAAAAGCCAACAGCACAAGAGTTATTGTCCTCTTGGCCTGGTTCTATTTTGTAAAACGCTGCATTTGAAGAGGACTTGGAATCCGCCTGGAGGCCTGGGCTGTGACAGTCCTGTCGCAGCTGTTGAGCCAATTTCAGACTGCCAACATTTTATAAATCAAACTGGTGTTGGCTTCGACAGCTGCAGCTAATAATGGAGCGGGTAAAGAGGAGCAGGAGAATAAGACTTTTAATTGATTATAATTCCAAAGCTTATGGCTGGGTTTACACATGAAGACAACATGCAGTTACCCATAAATGTATATTTCTGTGAACAAAACAGACATGATTGAATATGGTCTTCATCTTATTAGAAAACATGTTCTCTTCTACACACATCTAAGAGGACCATGTGGGGGTTCACATGGTTTTCTCATGGTCACACTTGGACTGTTTTGGCTGAGAGCTGAGTGAGAGTTGTCCTTTTATTTTCTTTCTGAATAGAGGTGATAAACTAAGGGATAGAACCAAATTGTTTGAGCCAGGATCTAGTTTCATGGATTGTGTACATAGTTTACAATCTCCAGCTTTAATACTTAATTGCTGTAATAGCTGTCCAAGTGTGTTTAGACACTGAGTAGAGTTGAAGCAGCCATAGAATCCAGTGTCAAGGGCTTTTCACGCTTAAGGCCCGTGTTTTTGGACCCGTGTCAACGATGATTGCAAGGCAGGTTTTTAGAGCTGCTGTGAAAGGGTCGGGAGGAGTCTGCAGTCACTGTTCTGTACACGAGGAAATAATATAATGGAATACAATACAATGTACCATGTGCACAGTACCAGCAGACACAAACAATGCTAATTCATCAGTCTTAAAATGTAGAAGAAAATATAAAAGATTCTTTATGGATTTGTGATCATTAAAAACTGAGATACACGCTTATTCAAAGTAATGTTGAATAGAAACCACTTAACTGATTATTCAGATACCTGATCTTAACACAGTTAAAGAATACATTGTCTCCATTCAGTTCTGTCATAGTCTTATTTAATCTACAGCATAATCCTTTCATTTTACAAACGACATGTATTTAACAATATAAGTTTTGGCTGTGACTTAAAATATGTTCTTTAAATGTTGTTGTCAATAGTTTTACAAGTTTGGTTGTTTTCTTGACTGTCATTCTGAAAAGCAGAACTCAGTCCTGATGATTGAGTTGAAAGCCGAGTTAAAATGACAGCAGCAGTCGGTGTGAAGGGCTTTTTGGTCGGTGGGCAAAGTCCTTCTGTCTTTGTTTCTTGCTTCCAATATAAAGTTTACTTGTTTGCTGAAAAAGGCTATTATGTTACACAACAGAAAATATTTTAAATTGGTTACACAATGTATAACATAAATGCTAACCATGCTGTGATCATGTGCTGTTATTATTAGATCACAGAGTAATTGTATTGTGGATAATGGATAGAGTTACAGCAGCAGAAGCTGTGAGTGTGTTGTGCAGAAGGAGGGCTTCTGAGCAGTGGGCAGGGGTAGTATTTTTAAAAAGCCATGTGCTATCTGGCGCCCGACAAAGATAGAGAAATGCTTTCAGAGCCAACACAACTCACACAACAAAGAGGAAGCAGAAAACAAGACAAAAATGAATCCACATTTTTTAAATTTTAAAGGCGGTGTGGGAAAGTTGACGAAAATACTCAAAGAAGTTGTTCTCCCGGCGAGATGTGTCGTCAAAGTTTGGAGCAGAGTTTTGGAGTTTGTGACTGATTTAATGGGCACTTTTTTGAGGAGTTGTGTTGTCCAGCGTCACTTCCACCTGCTTCTGTCTGGGATGGTTCTGTTTGGCCCGCTGCTCAGTCTCTGGGTCTCCAAACACAACATCTTTGCCAACAGTCATCACTACTTGTACAGGTGAGAGAGCATGGATTTTATGGAGAATTTATGGAATATTCTGGAAGCCGGAGAGCGATTCTCTGCTCTTCAGTTTTAATCAGTTATTAGAATATCTTATTATCCAATCCAACCCACTCTATTTATGTATATAACACATTATATAAAACACGTTTCCAAAGTGCTGCACTGATAAAAGTAACACATTCAAATATACAAGTCTGCCAGCTTTAAATAAAATAACCCAATCAAAATAAAACAATGCAACAGTCCTGATGATAAAACAGTTAAGTGTCTAAATAACCGCTGTTTTTCTACTGAACACAGCTTTTAATTATTATACAGTAAATATTTGATTTGTCTTAACCCTTTACATGTAGGAGCACTGCTTTTTTTTTAAATGTATTTATTTTTTTACCCCTTTTTATATTTTATATTCTAGGCCTGAGATGGCGTTTGATGTTGATCAGGAGGAAACCAATAAAGGGTTAAATCTGGGGTTCCTAACTTTCAAACTAAACAATGTATTGATATACGAACCATCTAACTCTAATTCCTCTAAAACAGTTGCTTCTATAACACATTTCTAAATTCTTTAGATCAGCTCTTTCAGACAGAAAACTGAAAAAAGTCAATCAGCTCTCAGCCCAAAGAGTCAAATAATGACTCACCGGGCTCTTTATATGCAATAAATAATGTGTTATGATAGGTTGTAAGATAGACAGCATGTGGTAGACTGTTATTCTAATTAAAACACCTGGTGAGCATTTAGAGCAATTTTACATTAGAAATCAAAGTGAAATAAAATATACAGAAAGTAGTGCTTGGTTCTAAAATGAAATCCCTCCACTACAATTAGAATTTGGTGCGCAAGAAAAGTGATGGTACCGCTCTGGACTAGCCCTCACAAACACAAATCCAAACCCTAACCTTAACCCACATGGGAAAGTGTAGAAGAAGGACTAATAAACGCTTAATAAATACCAATTAAGTGCTAATTAACCATTAATTATACACTAAATTAGAACTTAATTAGCCGTTAATTAGTGAAGGCAAAACTAAAGTGTGACCAATGTTATTTACTTGACAACATTTGCATCAGATATATGGAAACCCCTTTACTTGAGCAGGGTGATAACATTGTTTGTGGCTCGGTCGGTCGAAGGTTCACATCCCCCAAATAAAAACCATCTGTAGTAATGTGTAACTGGGCAAGACACTTATTCCAACTTGCCCCATGCGTCTGCAAACACTGAAGCATTCTGAAGGCCTTGAATAATAACAATAACAAACCTCACAAGGACCGGCCCCGTATCAATGAACTTGTCTTTAATTTTACTTTTTGGATGATTTAAAAAGTGGGTGTTGACGAGTCTTCACACGCTCACAGATCAATCTCAGCACATACTCAGACTGTTTTTAATTCACCCACGAACCGAGTGTTAAAAGAAAATTAAAGCTGAGATACGCACTGTAGCTTCATTTATTCATAGATAATACATTTTGTTTGTCAGAAAGAGTCTTGTAAAAGTGAAATTGTGTCAACGTGTAAGATCACAACCTGCTGTTATCAATTATATAGTTTTTATTCAAAGCTGGCAGACTTGTAGATTTGAATGTGTTACTTTTACCTGTGCAGCACTTTGGATTGGGTTTTACAAAATGTGGTATATACAGTAAATAAAGTGGATTGGATTGGATTGCTTTCTTCTTTTTGTGGTGGTATATATAGATTTTTAGATTAGACAAAGCATTATGTTTTGTACAGAAAATCAAACCGGCACAAAAAAGTCTGTCTAATCTTCCCCCATTTTTTTCATTTCACATTATTTTGACTAATGAGGAGATATCAGATCATTTTGGGTTAAAAACACAGATTTACAAACGTGTTTATTTATAAAGAACCCAGTGAGACACGTTTTCACACTCTTTAGCTGAGAGCTGTTGGAGGGTGGTTCTCTATTTTTTCCCTTATCTGTCTGAAAAAGCTGATCCAAAGAAGAGACAGAGGCCAATGTGACAACACTGCATTTCAAGTATTCACGTCCTTCACTTCACTTACTCCTCTGTGCAATAATAACTTTAATAATGTCAGAATGTGCAATACAGAACTATATGTGTCACTGTTGTTCTGCTTTGTCCCATACCCTCATGCTGCTAATGTACAGATGTAAACATACTGCTGCTAATGTACAGATGTAAACATACTGCTGCTAATGTACAGATGTAAACATACTGCTGCTAATGTACAGATGTAAACATACTGCTGCTAACATGTACAGATGTAAACATACTGCTGCTAACATGTACAGATGTAAACAAGTGTCTCTTTGGGCTGAGAGCTGTTGGAGGGTGGTTCTCTATTTTTTCCCTTATCTGTCTGAAAAAGATGATCCAAAGAAGAGACAGATCGATTTTGGACATCGATTGTTTATTTATTTTGCTTAATAAATGTAAAATTACATTACTTTTCTTATGTAATTTGCTTTTATTTATGTCCAAATAAAAGCATACATTCATTCATATATTACTTGCACTAGAATATACAATACTTTAAATTTGATTCTTGTTATGCCTAAGATAGAGATTTTATACTTGTTTCTTCTTCATGTTTGAGTTAGAGATTTTATTTTATCATGTTTTAGTATATTTTTTTTTATTGTTCTTTTTTTCTCTCCTCACTTTAAGTGAGTAAGCACTAGGACTAAAAAACCTGCTTTACTATTGCCACTGTTTCTTTTTATTGTACATAATATATCCCTAACAGACTATTTCTTTTGGCCTTTAACATGTTTGCACACTTCTGTCTTTTGCACAAATCTGAGTGATTCTATCCATACCAAATATGACATGTACATTTCTCCTGTGTGAGATCAATAAAGTCTGTCTTATCTTATCTACTGTTCTGTAACTGGTGATGCAACACTGAAATTTCCCCTCTCACTCTCTACTTTCTCTTCTAGGAAGTTCTTATGGTCTGCGTGGGGTTGGACTCTCATCCTGACCACTTCCTTCATCCTGCTGCTGTCCCTCTCGGCTCATCGCCCTCTCTCCCGTTGCCTCCGTCACTTGTCCCGTCTCCTGGTGGTGGGGCTGCTGTGGTGGTCCCTCAAACATCTCCTCGTGGTTTTGGAAGACGCTGCCGGCTCCTGCTACGAACCCATGCCCCAAGATTCCACAGATAAGTCCTCAGATCACCCCTCGTTTCTCCTGCACGAGAACCACGGCAAGGCGTCCTGCTTGCGGGCCAGAATGCAGTGGAGAGGGTACGAGGTGTCCCAGGACGTGCTGATCCTATGCATATGCTGTCTCCTCATACTGGAAGAAATATGTGTGTTTAAAGACCACATAATGTCTGAAAAATCCACAAAAGATCTCTCATTCCCGTTGCGTTTAATTTTTTTTCTATGCGCTCTGCTGCTTGTCTTATGGATGTTTTTACTGCTGTGCTTGCTGGCATACTTTCCCCAGTTCCCAGCCCAGCAGTTAGGGGGCGCTCTGGGGTACATGACTTGGAGAGGGCTGTATCAAGGCTGGTTCAAGGTAAAAGGGGAGAAATGGAGTCCTGGGATGCCTGGAGAAGGACTGCAAACAGCTGACAACAACCAAAAATAATGTGAAATTTTTCAGGTTTTTTCCTCATTGGCTTTTGGTACAAAACGAGGGGCCTAACTTTTTTTTCTTTTACAACAAGAGCCGTATATTCAAAAAAGACTGATGGGATATAGGGCTGAAAATAAAAACATGTTAAATTATAGGATGATAGTTTATCTTTAAACTTTGCACAATCACATCTAAATATCATGCCAGTGAGGATTCCAATTCACTACTGTTAATTTAAACTGAAAGTTCCTTATCAGGCGTTACCATAGCAACACAGAGACTGAGCACAACAAGATCAAGTTTTGCATTTACGAACACAGGTATAATATACAGCAGGATGAGGAATTAACTTAACTTACGATATATTTCTGTGTAAAAATGTTGATTATAGACCTTCTTTGCTTTTTCTCTGCTTTGTGTGCGTGTTCATTTTGGCCATGACAACAGTTGCTAAGGTGCTTAATGCTGGCTCTTGGCTAATAAAATAGTCCTTTCGTCAAACATGTTTTTGAGAGCTGCAGGTAGTTTGGACACATGACGAAGTTTAGAATAAATTATGTATATTAATAAATGAATAAGTTATGAATTGATTCAAGGTTACACTATTATGACACTTTGAACTGTTGTAGGCAAACAAGAATTACAGGTACGAGATTCCCGACATGGTACATGCAAATACAAGGCTGAGTTTTTACCGGGCTTAATATATTAGTTACTGTAATTGCTGGACTATAAGAAGCTGCGGTTGTATTTTTATTGTGGTAGAGTTTGGGATTTGGACACAGCCCTATAAGCTGTGGTTTATGTGAATAGCTTTGGGAAACATGTTTATTATGGATAGAGTTGGTAAATGAGTCCTGACATGGAAGATAACCATTAACGTTTGCCTTCTCAAAGCTTCGGTTGTGTTGTGTCCAGTTGTTTTGCTCCATATTCAGTGAAGTGTTGTATTAAAAGTTAAACATGAAAACCTGCAGCTCACACGTTCCTTTTCAAATGTTACTGGTCGTTTTATATTGAGCTGCACTTAATACTCCAGCAAATACTGTATCTATTATTTAGTCTTCTTTGTGCGATGACTGTTTAGTTTTATTATCTAAAGTTGTGCAAAAATAAATGTCATTTGGATACTAAAATGTACATTCTCATTACTAATGTCTTTCAGCTTCATGCCAAAACACGACTGAGGCTTATAATACTTTCACTTTTCTTCACAATCATCTGCATATGTTGTTATAACACTGTACAACACTGACACATTGCTCAATAGAAATAGTTGTATTTTATTTAGTGCAACATGAGCCAAAGAATTAAACCCAAATTCATGAAAACAGGTGAAGGTGAGGCCTGGAGACTCCATTTTCTCTGGTTCAGTAGATCGCAGCTCTGCCTTCGCCTTTTGGCTTCTTGATCTTGGAATAGTTTTTGGTGATGATGTCAAACAGCACAGCCTGAGGAGAGAGAAAGAGAGATTTTAATTTGGTTTGTGATCAAGCCGATTGATGGATCTTCTTTTAGTTTTCTGGATTGACTTTCAAACCACAAAACTATGTACAGTAAATAAGTAATCTAACTTGTTCCACGCTCCATCATGTATTCATTATTTGTGCACAAAGAATAATGAATAATAAATGCCAAAATATTTAGTATATTATTTGATTTGTTCATTTCAAAATCCTTTGGCGAGCTACCTGGAAGGGGGTGGCGAGCTACAGGTGGCTCCCAAGCTAAAGGTACAGTAGGAGACCCCTGCTCTAAGTTTAAACACTAGTTTTGTGTGTACTTTTTTGGCCTTTGTCACATCTTTTTATCAGCTTTTTCAGACAAAAAGTAAAAACGAGGGGGCCCTTCGTTCACATCAGACCACAACATTTTACTTTTTTAACACACTTTCTGTTGGAACGTATATTTATTAGTGAAACAAAAAAGGTGAGGTCCCCAGCTTTAATAATGGGACTTCGAATGTACTGAATAATAATAATAAAATATAATATTCATGAGCAGTGGTGGTCATAGATTTTTACTTTCATAATTCACCTCACATAGATGCCTAATATTCTTGTGCTCGAAACCTCATGTCATAAATAAGTCTAGGATAATATATGAGACATTGTTGTGGTGAAGGGTGGCACTAATTGCCGTGTCGGGATGCTGTAAAGAACAAACCAGGACAACAGGGCAAACTGTGATTAATGGGTGAATATAGGGCACTAATCCATTTAACACAAAGCAATTAGTCTAATTACTCTCCCATTACCAAGAAACGGGTTTCAATCATCTGCTGACAAAGTACATGTTTTGTGCCCGACAAAACATGAGCGAGAACAGTCAGGAGGCCGTTTGCACAATAATTGATGATATTAATAGAAAAACGTATACATTTTCTTACATATATGTTGCGAATCTCCAGGACGATGAGACGAAGCTCGCAGTAGAGAGTCTGGTCGAGCTGATGCACCAGTTCTCTGTAGTCGCCCTGGATCAAAGCGTTTAAACAATATTATATTTAAATCAACAGTTTTCATGCAATAATACAGACGTGTGCGATCATATATGTTATTTATGTCATGGTTAAACTGCAGTAAAACAAGTCATGTGATGCACTGACCACGTGAGGACTTTTGGAGGCCTTGGCCACAGCGTCGCCTCTTTCATTGGAATATCTAATGAATCAGAAGAAGGATTTAAGCAAAGAGAAATTAGAAACATCTGAAAATGCCATTGAGACGGGAACCGGACAACACAATTCCAGATCATAGAAACCGAGAGATTCACCAAAAGAAAAAGACATTTGCTACAATAAAACCATTTCTTTCACAGCCACATGTTTTGTTTTTGTACAGTGTAAAAATTTTCTCACTTTGCCAGAAGAGTTTGGAACGCTTCAATCTTAGTGCGAGTGTTGGTCAGAAGTTCAAACACTTTTTCCTGTTGGATAAAAGACAAAATAAATGTAAATCTATAATTCTACTTATTAAATTATGAAATACACACATTTGTCTGAAGCATTTACCTGAACAGCGACTCCGAAGTTGTTTCCGTCTTCCACTGTGGGCACCTGCAGCTGCATCCACGACGACACCTAAACATACCACTGGATTATGTACATTTAGTCCCTTCTATTTTACTTTCAAAATAAAAAAAATGGTTGATAGCGCTCAACAATCATAAATAGCAGAAAAGATAATTTAGTCTTTCATCTCAGGGATCTTTTCTCCGGATTAACTTTTAAATAACTTTTTTAATTGTTTTAACCATAGACAGAATATTAGAGGTGGACTAGGCGTGTGTGACATCACCAAAGTGTTTGTAGAATGTGGAAGAAGCCGATTTGAACATAAATTAGCTGGAGCCAATTTTCTTATATGGGCATTTATTCGCACCACAACAGGGAAGATGGAGTTGCCCCCTCAAATGAAGGCCTCTGATTGGTCATGATTGGTTATGGCTCGTATCTGGATTTACAAAGACAATGTCAAAGTAAAAACCTGGGATACACCATGACTTTTTCAAGCCCAAAAATGGTGACTGTGACAAAAACGGTTCCTGAGTGGAGTTTACTTTTCCTGCTGAGCTTCATTGAGAATTGTCCATCTTTATACAACCTTTTATTATAAGGTATTAAAGCTATAATAACTATTCACAGCTGTTCAGTGGCTAGTCTACTTTTAGTTGACTTTGCAGTAAAATTAATGAATCAATTATATAGTAATAATCTCTCATCGTTAGTGATCGGCTTTGGAGCTTTAATCTGCCGGTCCTCGAGTCACCAGAATCCAGAGGTTTGGACGATTTACTGGATTCTCAGGAACTGGCAATCACATGTTTTGTTTTTAATTGAAGATAAAATGAATATGTAAATTGTAGTCATTATGAAGAGGAAATTATACGCTTTGAGCCGAATTGTCGAGAACAACATGGTTATAATGTTGACATCTGTCGATAAGGAGCTTAAACGCTTAGATACAGATTTGGGGATTTCTGCCTGGTCCATATGATGTTCTTTCAGGAGAGAGATCTAGTTTGTACTGATGGGCAGCAACTTGGTCAAAAGTAAAAAGTAAAAAAGATATTAATTGCTATAAAAAGTAGTATCCAGACAAGAGGGGTTTTTTTTCAAATACAAAAATAGGACAAATTGTATATTTTCTAAGCACTTTTTGAATCATTTTGAACAGATATCCATTGCTAACAAATGCTGTTTAAACTGTCCGTTCTTATTTTTGGACGAGTCAACACTCCCCGTCTCCACTGTCTCCTCTTTATTTGAAAAACTGGGGAGAAAAGTACAAGTTGAAAATCGCCCTCATGGTCCTGGTGAGGGCCCAGAGTGGGGGCTGGCTGGGGGAGTAGAGAGTGGGGGCTGGCTGGGGGAGTAGAGAGTGGGGGCTGGCTGGGGGAGTAGAGAGTGGGGGCTGGCTGGGGGAGTAGAGTGGTGGTTGGTAAAGGCTGTGAGCAGATGATAAGTGTTGAGTGCGTCACTAGTTCTGGTGAAGCTGCCACTGGTCTGTTTAAAACAACATTAGCCAAAAGAGCCGTTCATTTCAATGACTTTAGACAGAAAGAGAGTTACACTACATTACATTTTGACATGAACAAAAATGTCAATACAATATAAAGGACATTTCTGATTATTTAATGGTTTCTGCTTACTTAATGGTTTCTGCTTACTTAATGGTGAAAAGCAGAAACGAGATAAAGAACAGGTCAAAATACAGGTCAGGATTTGGGTTTGATCAGCACATACATTCTCGAACATATATTTTGTTACTTTCTTACACAAGTACTAGTAACAGGTATGTGCGCTGTGAGTGACACCTTGATATAGAAAATGCACCGTTTGGTCAAAAACGTTTCGAAAAATAAAAACATTCTGTGTATATTAGGCAATCTGTGTACAAAAAGTCTAGGAAATAAGTATCAGGAAGTAGTATTTTTTCACCTTTCACTTGTAACGACAGTCTTTAGATAGGAGTCGATGTGATAGTGCTCATCTGAAGTTAATGAAAATGAAATAGTTTGTGTAGAAGCACTGACCGTGTTGAGTTTCTCCTTCAGAATGCTGATCTCGCTCTTGGTGTTTTTCAGCAGAGTCTCCACGGTCTCGTTGGTGCAGATGGGACCACACGGAGGCCCTGAAGGACACAGCAACACCACAATTTATCATAAAGCATCACAGGTGTAACCCCAGGAGAAAAACACTTTTTTAGAAAAGTTCATTCGAAGTTACGGTTAACGACATCCGGCTAATGTTTATGTGAACAGGAGGACAGCACAAATGTAAGCAACGAAGAATAACAAACTAAATCAGATCTTTAGACTGCAAAGGGGGATGAAAAATAATTGCTCAAATTTGGCAACATTTATCTTGATTTGAGCACATTCTGACATTCTTAAAACAAGAGTTGCCAATGGGAAAAGCAAAATTATGAAAATGTCTCTCTTGAAATGACAAAATATAAGCAACAGTTCTTGAAATAACACTAAAAGGCTTTGATCCATTTGAATCTTGTTTAAAGAAAGTCAAATGAAGACAAAAACCACTCAATTCAAGCCTTTTTTTAAATCATTCAATCAATCATTTATTTATTTATTTATAGACATTTTATCGGAGGATAAATCCCATGAGATGTATCATCTCGTTTTCGTGGGGGGTCCTCATGATCAAATACAAAGAACATAGAACAGCAGAGTAGAAACAATAAAATAAAACAAACAAAAAACAAACAAAAATATATATACATAATAATGATAATACAACAAATACTTAACACACATACACACACACCATTCAAACCACACACACACACACACACACACACACACACACACAGACTCTCACTATTCACTCCCCCTCTTTACAGACAGATTGTCGTAAAATAAAGTAGTTAACATTTAATGTGTATATATTCATACCTCTATGCATATAAACAGATATGCATGTAAACAGATACACCTACACACACATATACACATATGTAAACATACATATCCGCACACATACATAAAAAACATAGTCTTAAATACATATATCTAAGAGCATACACATATAAATAGATACCATATTTATGTATACCATACACGTATACATAAATAATTTTGGATACAAATGACTATATATGAGATGTTACAAACAAAGACAAATGTTCTTAAGATGAGTCAACAGAGCTGTTCGGAAAAGAGGAAAGGATGTGAGGGACCGAATGGAAGCTGGAAGGTTGTTCCAGTCACGAGGCGCCCAAACACAGAAAGCAAAATTTCCAGTTACTCTCCTTATTCATTTAAATTAGCCTTTTCTGTGATGAAATATTCTTTGTGCCGATAATCCTAAAATAATCTGCATGAATTTATTTTGATAATGCCAAAAGTAACGCATAAAAAACAACAATCAGTTCTAATGATGCCTCTTGGAAAAGGAGTGAGTAAAAGTATGATACTATTTTTTTCTTAATTCATTCATTATTTTAATTTAATTAGAATTTCTCAATTAAATTGGTGCACCTAACTTTCAAACCGCAGTGAAAGGAGATTTATTTTACAATCCATCCTTCGTGTTCCTGGCTACAGCTGAAATCTTTCAAATTTCTAACTTTATATATAACATTTTGCTGGGGCTCTGAAAAACAGTGGGAAAGGTTGGTGAATTGTTTGCACTTGTGTCGACTTTTCACTACAGGGAATACAAAATAAAGTGTCAAACAAACTTCCATATTCTTGAATCACATTATAATGGCCTATGGAAAGCTTATCACATGAAGCAATAAAAAACACTATTTAAAGGCGAGAGCGGTGTGTGCCAAAGCCCGAAGTGTGATGGAATGAAGAGTGAATAAAGTCTTAACTGCAATGTCAGAAAATCTATTCATATTTCAGAATTTCATAATCATGTATAATTATGACCACAAAACATTATGTAGAGTAAGTATTTTTTGACAATGTAATATTCAAAATAGTCCCTCCCTTTGGCTTAACTACAACTAGTTGGATTTGCTGAAAGAGAAGAGTCAAACCAATGATGAGGGTCCTCGAGGATTTAAATGAATATCGACCAATCAGGAAGCTGCAGAGGCGAGCAGGGGCGGGTCTAACCAGTGCTCGTCTACAGAAAGTTTCACTCTCATAGCTGACATTCACGTTAATCATAAACAATACCAACAGTTTAATGTTAATGTGGCGATACAGTACCATCGTCTTCTTCCTCCGCGGCCTTGTCTTTCTTCTCTTTCTTCTCCTCCTGAAACAAAAGGCACCAGACGGGACCAGGTCACACGCTTTTCACTGACGATTAATCTCCCCGACAGCTCACCCACACGCCTCAAGTTCTGCCCAAAAGAACGCATCAAGTACATGCTCTTTTATTTGCTATTAGCTTGAAATTCAATCCAGTTTGTGGTCTTTGCTCCAGGCCTCTGCATTGAAGCCCAAAGCCTCAAACGAGAGACTGCAGACGCGTTTTCCCCTCGCAGAGACTTCCCTTCAGTAAATGCACTTGTATTGAATGGTTAAAAACACTCCATGGGATATATTTAAGTAATTCATAATTTATTCTTAGGTCAGCCCTTTTTCTGGGACAAATCAAAAATCTCATAACGTTCCAGGTTCCAGTCGTGATTGTTCAGATTTTGACCAAACCAGAAAAAGTCAACAAAAACACGGATCATGACGTTCATAGTTATAGTGCAACTAAAAATTACACCAACTGACTTTAAAATGATGTAAGTAAGTGTTAATTTCAAACTTATATTTTCATACAGCAGAACAAAAAACATTCACTTTGAAAAATACAGTTTGAAAATGGGTTGGACGAAGCAAAACATGCACATGTAGAGATCAAATATATTATAAAAGTAATTATTTGTCATTTAAATTTTATATTTGATACATTTGTATATAAGTAGAATATAAGTATTTGATAGATTACTGGATCAAGCAATTTGAGTTTTTCTCATATTAAAGCTGGGGAACCTAACTTCAGACCACAATACATTTAATAGAATAGAATAGAATAGGGATCCATAAAACATGATCCTTGCTCTCAAAACTTTCCATTACTGGTACTTCATTTGTGTTTTAGGCCAAACTTTAGATCATCTTTTTCAGACAGAAAACTGAAAAAGAGAGGACCTCCCTCACTCATCGTCGACAGCAGCCGCAGATGTCAATACGATCCGGAATACTGAAATAAAAGGCCTCCTCGTTGCCAATCCGCAAAAAAATAAAAAAAGACCCAGACCTTGGCAATTTATGGAGTGATCAGTTTCCATGGCAACCCCAGATTTTTTCCCTTCTCACCATCTCTTTGCGAGACGCAATTAAGTTAAAGCCTTGGAACGCACACTGAGAGGGGCTCGACGCACAACGACAGGCACTTCTCGTAATGACACCTTTCATATTTATAATAACTACTGTTTATTTCCCGACAACCTCCTAAACCGCCGCGCTCTTCATTTGCCTAATTGCTACTTAGTGAAAATGAGCTAATTAATCAACTTTAGCATCACATTTGAACAAAGACCGCTCTAATCTATGTCACTGCAAACAGAGTTACGTAATTGGCATTTTGAAAAAGACCAGTGTTTTCTTGTCGTTTCAGAAGATATTCTCGTGTCTCTGAGGAGTCGATGCAGATCATTGCAGAAAAGGAATACTGTACTTGTCGAAGCTTGTGGCAAATTTCCCAGAATTAGCTGTGGCCTCAGACGAGTACGCATGGCGAGCCTATAATAGTAAGATTGTTCTACAGAATGGATTAGTTTGAGGTTGAGAATGGAAATACAAGGACTGGTTGTTGCTGAATTATAAATTATGCATATTTGTCACGCTTTAAACAAGGCAGGGGAGATTTAAATGAGTGGCACAGTTTATACACAAGGCCACTTCAAAGTTCAAAACACAAAAAGAAAAATCACACATAAAGCTGAGGTACCGCATTTTTTGGTTACATAAAAATTCACTTTGTCCGTCTCAACAGAAATAGATTGGCAAAAGTTAAATCAGACGACATCAGTCGCATGGCGCCGGAAAAATGGCGCCGTGGCAAGAGCTCTGGTGTGTGTCGTCTGGCGCACACCGGGGTAGTCTTGCACAGTTTTTCCAATGTGGTTTTACTGCAAATGGCAAATAAATGAATCTGAATCTGATCTTGTTCGAAAACATGTGAATCTTTTGCATTATTGAAAAAGCTGATCTGAAGACGTAACAGAGGCTGAAATACATCTGAGAACTGGTGATAGAACCAAAAGGTTTTAGCGCCAGGAACTACAGACAATTTTGTTTCATGTAGTTTGAAAGTTAAAGGCCGCAGCAGCTGATTTAAGTCGTAGCAATCCAATAGTTTTGGTAGATTAATCTTGTCTTCTTAGTAGAATTAAAAGTAAGGTAATAACATCACAAAACCTTGTATTGTCTGGTGTAGAAGAACCCAATACTTTTAATTGTAGAAATCCAAATTATCTTTAAAATATATATGATCAACTTTATCATTAGAAGTGCATTATACACTTTCCTGGTGCAGGGTCGGCTTTTGGCTTCATCTGAAATGTTTTTGTTTTAACATTTTCCATCGACCTCAGAAACGAACTCATGACTTCACTAGAAATCACGTGTCACGTCTGCGGAGAGGCGAGCCCAATGTAACACTTCCAATAACATCTCCAAGGGAAGAGAAAGGTTGTGCAACTTCTCTATTTAATATTGTGATGTCATTTAAATGTCCATCCATCCATTTTCTACCCTTTAATCCATTTCTGGGTCAGGGGGGTGGCAGTCAGAGATGCCACCCAAGTCTCATAGCACCAGCCCCTCACTGACCCTCTGCAGGTGGTGAGTCCACAGGAGGATGGCTGCTCTCTGAGTGTGAGCATGGCCTTGATCTTTCAGTGGGAGCTTTGGGCAAAGTGGGGTTAAGTGTCTTGCCCAAGGACACAACGACAGCAGTCATCAGTGGGAGTCGGTGGAGAAGGTGTAGAGGTGGGAATTGAACCCACGACCTTCAGGCCTGAAGGCCCATGCTCTACCAACTGAGCTACTGTAAATGTGAGTTATTAAAATCCCACTTTAATTGAGTGGCCTTCGTATAAATGTCTGTTGAGATCATCATTTTATTGTTCCAGTGTCATTCTGTCTGCTTTATTTGTTCATCATTTTGACCGTGCACTTTGTAAATATTGCTACAATAATAAAGTGTATTATTATTATTATTATTATTAATTATTATTATTTGAGCATCACTCACCGCCTCCTTCTTAATGCGCTTGGCCTCTTCTTTGGCGGGATCAGGCATCGGGATGTCCAACAGGACCCTCAGAGTCTCCAGGTCTTTGCAGATGAAAGAAGTCTGAAAAATGCACAGAAAATAACCATATGACAACTATGCAAACACAAGATTGTGCTTATACCCACCTATTTTAAATGTATTCAAGACGTTAAAAATGTAAAACACAAAAACAAATTTGGCCTATTTTTTATGACATAAGCAGCAAGTCTCATAATAGATCTAACCTGGCAACAACTTTTCTCTGTAGTTCAACTTTCTTGTCTCCATTTAAGTTCAAATCTAGAGGAAATAATAGTATTTGTGGTGAAGCTGGCCCCAGTGTGAAATGAGGCAGAACTCAACATGTTAAAAAAGTGTAAATCAAATGATATATTTCAGAAACATGCATTAAAACAAACAATGTGCACATAACCAAGATCACCTGTGAGCTTATAACATTATGGCCCCGCCCACAGGGTACAAAATGGCCGACTAATACACGCCCTCTATCAAGTAAGTATGAAAAAACATACCCACTTTGTCACACGGTCGTGTCTTGGTTTTTAATCTAGAAAGAAATAGGATGATAATCTTAGTAGTAGTATACCGTTAACATCAACTGCATCTCTTCAATCTTCTTTGGAAAAAATGTTTTCAGCAACTCTTCAGCCTACAGGAAGTTTACAAAATCATTATAGACAGAAATAACATGAGAAAGAGAGTTATGCAAAAGAGAACTCATGTTAATACCTCTTTATTGAGATTTTGGCAGAAGAGATCCACCTGAAATACACAAACAGCCATGAGATGAAAGTAATCCCCAGTCTGCAGCTGTGGACCAGACCCCAGTTCCCCCCCTCCACCCCCACCTCCAGGGGCCGTCTCCCCATCTCTCCCCTGGATGAGCTTCAACAGACTTGAACTCTGCAGATGCTCGTTGGTCCTGGACACAGCTACTGTCTGTCTGTGGGAGTGGATCTCTCTGTGGTTCTCCCATAGACTGTAAATATTAAGGGACTTCCCAAGGTTTCTCCTTTTGTTGTTTTTCCAAGGACAGAAGATACTCAGAGATATCTATACATTATATCTAGTGAACATTCATAAATCTGTCTTTTTTGACCAATAACAGGTTTTATCATTTGATACTATAATCTACCTTTGCCAAATTCACAATTTCGAAATCAAAATAGTAAATGACTTCTGCCAAGAAAAATCCTTCAGTTGTGTGTTGATATCCTTCTAAAAATACACAAAAGACCAAGAAAAGTAATGGGTAATAGAAAAATCTAAGGCAGGAAAAAAAATGTGGTAATATAGAGAGAGACAGAATAAGAATTCTTACAACTCCCTTCAGCAAACAAATGTACATATATGTGATTGTTTTATTTTATCATTTTTTATGCATACATATGAATTCCATGTGTGATAAATGAGCCTGGGAAACAAATACATTGATTTGATTCTATTTTGATGGAACAACAATAACAACAGCAGCAGATGAGAGTGACTGACGGCCCCCTTCCCTAGGAGCCCCTCTCTGTGACTCAGCTAACTCACAATAACTGAATAAAATATATCAATTACATAATAATATTAAATGCTACTAGATTGTTTTACTTTGATGTATTTATGCATTCAGTAAATCTCACCTGTTTCTTTGTCTGAGGGGGAATACTTAGAGACGTCATGATGAATCTGTTGCCAAACAATACTTAGCGTAAGATGCGTTATAATGCAACAAGCTGTGCGTGCACTCAGTAACTCAAGCCAGAAAGTAACGAAACGATGGTGAAGAGGCAAAGAAATATCGCGCTGTTAGTCAGCAGAAAATAAAAATGAAAGTAAACGCACCAGTTCCGTACTTTCCCACTTGGAAGTTATTGGCGCGATGCATCATGGGTAATGTAGTTTTATTGGAATTTGATCTGTTGTGAAACGTTTGCGTCTTTTTTGATTAACGATTAGATATTATACTGTGGTCCAGTTTATCATTTTGAGTATAGCAACAATTTATTCTGAACAAATTAAATACAATTATATTAAACAAATTAAATACAGCGAGGTTTGGGAAATTTGGCCGTACAAAAAAGAAAGGAACAAAGCAACCAACCAAACCTAAAAAAAGAACAGGTATTTTAATATCTACTCAGTTTATTCCCCATGTAGGTGCAATCCTCCTGTAGATGTTTGTCACATTATCTTACTATCGTATTCACATAATGTACGGGCCTTTCCCACTAGAGGTCACTGTCTGTCTTCAAACGATCAGCTGCAGATGGGTTGCATCCAAATTATTATTAATAAAAGCCTTTTCATCCTCACTTGTCCTTTCTTTATCTTGACTTCGAAAGTATCTGGAGCTTCCCTGTGTCATATCCTAACTCTTCTGGCCATTGATTGTGCACTGTTCTTTTGTCATTAGATTGAATAATGCAATTTCATTTGTTTATTATTTTTTGTGTATGTACTTTTTGATAGTTTTCTTTAATATTTGTTTTGTGTTATAAGTTTGTCTCTGATGCACACTGGCTGCCTTTGCACAATGTAAAGGGGTAGGAAAGACAAGGAAAGATAATGAACACTGCCAACCTGATTCCACGTGTCATTCTTGCATCGTTGCAATATCCTTAACTTATGTCAGAATGTGCAATATACTGCTGCTAATGTACAGATGCTAACATACTGCTGCCAATGTACAGATGCTAACATATAACTACACTTTACTTGCACTAGAATACACAGTACTTTATACTTGCCTCTTCTTATATATACTTATTATTGATGCTAGAGTTAGAGTTTTTGTTTTATTTTAATTAGTATAGCTATTGTTCACTTAATGTGTGCCGTGTGCTCCTCTTTCCTACTGTTCTATAACTTGTGATGCAACACCAACATTTCCCCACTGTGGGACAAATAAAGGATCTCTTAATCTTAATAAGGAACGAGCACAGGTGTTTTTAATGCAATATTTGACACAGACGTGAGCTTTTTAAATCCTTTGAACGCCTCGGTGACGGTTCTGAAGATGGCTCTGCAGCCAAAACATGTTAACAAAGTAATTACGACTCAACCAGTAGTTGTTTTTCAGGAAGGAAGGAAATAAAAAAGTCAAGAGCAGAACACTCTAAAACTAATAATGATAAATCTAAGAGTAATCAAAAATGTTACCACATATTTCCATCCAACAATGCAATGCCATTATTACCAGGCCCAAAACTTCGCATGGCTCAATCAGTCAACAGAGATGGCTTCTGCAACCACACAATGATGTAAAAGTGAGTCAGAGTTGACCCAAAAAGTCCTGAACCAATGACAGAGCAACGAAGGACAGAAAAAGACGTCAGCAAAGAGTAAATAAAGAGAAAGTCTTATCACTAAAACACAATGATGCAATTAAAGAAGTAAAGTCTATTGAGCTTCATCAGAAGGAAATTACATGTTTTTTATGTGTTTAGAATCCGTCTTTTTGTGTGTTTAGAATCCGTCTTTTTGATTTATTCCCGATGTTAGTATTATAGGCCTACATATATCATAAATACATATAATACAATACACTTCTGACCTCTGAGTGACATGGCACAAAACTGTTTCTGTGGTAACGATAAAGACATTTGTTATAGTGCAATTTTAACAATAACATTTATATATAATGACAGAAGTCAAACATCAAATGGAAGCACAAATAGTTCAGATACAGTATAGTGCACATGATGATGACCAACGTGCACAGAAATGGCTTTGTATCCAACAGAATTTACTGCTTTACTTTTAGAACAAACTTTTTTTGCACATTTTTCATTCAATAACATAATTTATTTTCACTATATTTTTAAAATGACTGTTAAACATGTTGAAATTATGAAAAAAGCATGTATTATGTGGAGCACTGTGAGAATAACAGAATCCAACAGATATATTTTATTTTTGAATAGTAAGGGTTCTGAGATATTTCTGAATATCAAGTTTTTCAAGTTGATCCATGCATTTTCTTATGCTTTATCCAGTGCTGGGTCACAATAGAAGCATTCACAAAGACACCCAGAGTTTCCCTATAAATAGATAAATAATGGATACAGAGAAATTCATAATGTCAACATAATGCAATAATAATGAATGAAACAACTGAAGCAGAAAGTAATCTTGGCTTTATTAATATTTGCCATAAAGATATTGTTTGAGTCCAAAGGTGGAGTGCATCATGAGTTTACTGCATGAATGGCATTACCTGTTGATTGTGAATCGATCAAGTGAAAGACCTGTGAGCGGAGGGGGTTGTGGCCGACGGGCAAAGTTCAGCTCCTGCACGTAGACGCACAAACAAACAGACGAGGTGGGTTCAGTCACGACGTTATTCTATTCTTCACAGCTTTTGTTTGAGTTTGTCCTTGAGAGTAATGTCTGTGCAGTGAGTTGCTTCTCGAGTTTAGGGCACAACATGAAGACATTATGAACAGTAGCAGAGAGTGGCTCATGAACAAACAAAAACACTAATTATTTCTAACATTTCTTTGAATCAAATGTCATTTATCTGTACAGTTCACATTTATTGTATGTCTCGTCTGCAGAAATAATAATGCAATTGTTTAAACTCTGCTCACTGCTGATCACCTCTATGTCAAGGACTTGCTGGAGGTCATGTGACTGTGCAGCAGCTGTAATGGTCTGCTTTTATGCACATACTTATTTTTCTTTGTGAAATATGCTGTATGTATGGCATATATTCTTTTACCTATGGACTAAGTAAGGATTAATGAAAAAATCTAAACTACAGACCGCTGTCATACATGTTGGCAATTATCATTCTGAAAATAGAAAAAAAATGGCTTACATTTTGAATTGGTTGTAGAAAAAATAAAAATGCACTTATATTCTGATTGCCTGTGCTCTTCAGTAGGATGGTCTCTGTTCTTACATATTTCTGATAATATGTAGGGTCGTGTCTTCTTTTGTTTTGTCTGGAAGGACTCAAGAATAAACCAAGTTTCAGATACTGTTTTTCAACACATACAAACAATACATGCAAAAACTAGTGATAGAACCAAACATTTTTTGAGATCCAGGAACTATTATGTGGATCTATCCTTACCATGTTCCATTTTTGTCATCTGAAAGTTAGGTATCCCAGCTTTATAAACACTTATAACACTTAATATACACTTTATAATGAGTTTGGACAATAAACTGAGTCATTTCATCTGAAGTCAGTTTGAGTTTTGCACATTCATTTGCCTGTAAACTAGTCTCTCAATGGCTCTTTTCATTTAGCAGACTGCAGCATTGGCCCATGCAGCAGAGGCCTGTGCAGCAGTGGCCTGTGCACTCAGCCGTTCATCAGGAGTTTTCTGGTTGACTGCTGACTCAGTAACTCGAAACTGTGCTGAAGTTTAACCAGATGTTGGACTATTGTCTCACTGCGCTGCAATCCCACCCTTCAGCAGACGCTCTGCAAGATTAGATCCTCCCCTTGTTCTGAGATAGAAGCAGGGAAACCATCTGAACACATTGCTATGCTGTGGTAATAGCTATAACACAGGAGCAGTTAGAAATGAGGTTTGTGAATGTAAAATTACTGTAAGATGTGGTTTGTGTCAGTGAGAGATCTCAAGAGAGACCAAAATAACACAATAAGGAAAGTTTAGGCAAGGTGCATTTATTTGTATAGCACAATTCATACACAAGGCAACTCAAAGTGCAAAGTACAAGGCATTAAAACAATATAAAGAAATAATAACATCACTTTAAAAAGAGTAAAAATAAAATCCCTCAGTTGTATGCACAGCTATAAATAGGTATAAGCCATGTAATTTCAAATGTCTCATCTGTGTTTTTACAAGTGTGATTGTAATGCAAAATGATAAACCAGATTATTGCGAAAACATACAGTCGGGAAATGAAGACAGAGGCAGCAGCGAGATCCAAAATACACCATGGACTTTTTTGATTCAATCGCTAAAATAAATATTGTGCCTATATCTGTAATTGTCTCAGAGTCAGAGTCACTGGTCATGTTTAGTATACTGTGTGTCTATAAGGACATGTCACAGATGAATAAATGTACTTCCCACCCCTATGACATTAGCATCAGGACATTGCTCCATTGTTTTACAAATTGGCCTCAGTCGTCTGCAAGTCATTAGAGCTTTAGGGCAATAAAAAGCAAATTGATCTGACATTAGGGTCCCTCTGTAAACCACAGTTATAGGGCCTTGACTAATCCTATTGTTACTCGGCCACTACTTCACTTTCTACTGCTGCTACTTGCTCACTACTACAGTTTGTCTACATCCCGAGGCCTGCATTACATATTTTTAAGTTTTAATAAATGCAAAACACATTCTACTGTTATAGTAGAGAATAAAACAGTTTGGGCACCAACTGCATTAGGCTACTCCTGTTTAATTTTACATTATCAACTAGTGCATGCCTATTAGGTTATAACTACTACCATTATTATTACTACTACTACTACTACTACTGTTGCTTCTACCACATATACCTTAATACTTATACTTATTCTTATCTAAATAGGGTTATGGAAAGAAATACATCTGCTCCCAGCCCCATTTCTTTTTATTGTTTTACCTATTTTACCTGATATGACTTTATGTGTGTGTGTGTGTGTGTGTGTGTGTGTGAGTGTGTGTGTGTGTGTGTGTGTATACGCATGTGGTTGTATATATAATTATAAATGTGGTTTTGGGGGGTCTGTGGGGAGGAGGGTTTAGGGCTGGGCATGTTGGATTGTTTTTAACTAAACTGTAAAGCACTTTGTGTTACACTTTTTGTATGAAAAGCGCTTTATAAATAAAATTTGATTGATTGATTGATTGAAATAGACCTATACACTTACCAAGAATTCCTACCCTAATCCTATTTCTACTATTACTCCTACTATAATAATTATGTGCCCAATATATAGTAATAAACTCGTAATAATCTTGAAACACAGACATCATTAGGATAGTTTGCCACCGGTTGCGCTCTCCTCTTCCGTACTTTGCAAACCAGATGTGAATTTCCGGTTTACTTTTCTTTTTTTTTGTTTTCTCTAGTCTAGTGCAGGATCTGGGGAAACTTGCATCAGCCAAATACTATTGTCAGAGCGTAGTTATTTTTTGGTTTTTTGTTGTTAAAGAAATTCAGTGGACAAACCAGACTGTCCCTGTGTCCACGGCCGGATATGTGCCAAAGAACTTTACGCACGAGAAAAGGGCTTCGCATCTGTTTATCCGCGGATCCAGTGAATGTACACGTCGGTCAAAGTGCAAGGTCCTCTCAGATATGAACCAGCAGCAGATCTGACCAGTGCGTCCATCTCTCCAGCCCTCACACCCAGTGCCTCTGTCCACCGGCAGCCGCTCTTACGATAGCCTCGGTCCCCTGCAACATGTCGGGTCTTTTACTGGGAGTGTTACGAAGGTACGTTTTTATCCACACAAAACTTGGAGCGAGTTTGATGTTTTGCAGAGTCAGCACTAAAGAGCATCGTTCTATAGATAGATTTTTCCTCATTGTTGTGCCCGTCTGGAATTGTTTTAGCTGATTTAGCCTATGTATGACGTAAAGTTGCAGCCTAAGTTTAAAGATCTTAGATTTGTGCTTGATTTTGGTGAACAAGTTCATTATTAGAAGGGATTCAATGAGATGTGTAGTTTTATGGAATAACCCACTAGTAAAAGTAGTCATGTCTGTCTTTGCTTCTGGTGTTTTTGCTGTATGTTTTTTTGTATATGTTTAGCGTTCATTCATAAATGTATGCCTTATCCTTTTGTGTGGCACTGTTCAATTGTGTCTCCCATTCCTTTTAGTCCATTACATTGTTACCAGGTCAAATAATAATATGACGAACGGCAGATACAGTCCCCGGTGTGGCCAGTAGAGGGTGCTGTTACAGCGCGTGTGGCAACACCTTTAAGCCTAGTTTATACTCGCGCGGCGCGGAGCTTACGGAGGTGACGTGACGTCACTTGCGCAACGCGTTGGTCACCGCAAGGCCCTTACGTCGCCTGCCGCGCAGCATCGAAATTTTCTAACTACGTAAGGGTCGCCGCAAGGAAGCTCCGCTGTGATTGGTCCGTGTGTGTGTATTGGAAGGAAGCACGGAGCGGCTGCAGCAGGAACATGGAGGAGGCACTATGGAGTAGAGAGCTTTGTGCTTCGAAGGAAAAGCAGTTTGGGCTCAGAGCCTGATATACAGGAGACTGTGGACTATCTAACATATATATAACATATATATAACTTATAAACTGTGCAGTCGTTTGTTTTGCACTGTTCCTGTCTTGTTTGAATCGTAGCTGCGTTTGTTGCTTTCCTCCTGCACTCGTAAATCGTTCATGTTTGTCTCAGATATTTGCCACTATATGTTTTGCTGTTTGTGCTGAAAACTATTTAATAATAACCATGTTTCCAACAAGAACTGTGTCTTTATTCACAGCATCACAGTTGAAATGACTTATAAAATAATTAATCCATAAAACTATCACATAAACCTACAGTAGAAACACGTGTAATGAGCTCAAACAGCTTTGTTTGTTATTGTTGTTCTGAAGAGTACAAAGTAGCAGCGTAAATGGGACCACTCCTGTGTGATCGCCCTCATGTGGTTTGTTGTGGGATTACAACATTCTCCTCAAAACTCCGTAAGGGGAACGCGCCAGTATAACATCAATTGTGCTTACGTAGGTCCACCGCAACAGCTAAGCCTCGCCGCGCAAGTATACACTAGGCTTTAGAGACGTTGGATGCTGCGCTGGCAAGTTGTGGCACTAAAAAAAGTAAAATAGAGATCAAAATGGGGATGTAAGGAAGGGATAATGTATATTACGCAGGTCATTATCGGAAAATAAGTACCGACAGGGCGAAGAGGGTCCGGGTTTATCGCGATCGCTTTTTCTCGCATTAAAACAGTATTTTTGTCATGAAAACGTAAACAGAAAATTCTGAACCGAGGTGAAGTTGGCCGAACGTTTGATATTCGCCTGATATTCGCAAGGGACCGTCTGCAAATTGCAAGAGTTCAAAACGACTAATAAAGACTAAAAATCAACAAAGATATTTTTTCCCAGAATTGGTGGGTGTAGTAGCTCCCATTTAATGATAGCTAGCTACTACAGCCAAACTTTTGGGAAAAATATGGTTTTCCCCTTCACAGTAACGAAAATGGAATTGGAAAAATTCACAAAAAATCAACAAAGACTTTTTTCCCAGTTTTGATGGGTTTAGTAGCTCCATTTGAGCAATAGCTAGCTACTACAGGCAAGATTTTGGGAAAAATATGGTTTTCCCCTTCACAGTAACGAAAATGAAATTGGAAAAATTCACTAAAAATCAACAAAGATTTTTCCCCCAGTTTTGATGGGTGTAGTAGCTCCATTTGAGCAATAGCTAGCTACTACAGGCAAGAATTTGGGAAAAATATGGGTTTCCCCTTCACAGTAACGAAAATGAAATTGGAAAAATTCACAAAAAATCAACAAAGACTTTTTTCCCAGTTTTGATGGGTGTAGTAGCTCCCATTTAATGATAGCTAGCTACTACAGCCAAACCTGTGGGAAAAATATGGTTTTCCCCTTCACAGTAACGAAAATGAAATTGGAAAAAATTACTAAAAATCAACAAAGATTTTTCCCCCAGTTTTGATGGGTGTAGTAGCTCCCAATGAACAATAGCTAGCTACTACAGGCAAGAATTTGGGAAAAATATGGGTTTCCCCTACACAGTAACGAAAATGGAATTGGAAAAATTCACAAAAAATCAACAAAGACTTTTTTCCCAGTTTTGATGGGTGTAGTAGCTCCATTTGAGCAATAGCTAGCTACTACAGGCAAGATTTTGGGAAAAATATGGTTTTCCCCTTCACAGTAACGAAAATGAAATTGAAAAAATTCACTAAAAATCAACAAAGATTTTTCCCCCAGTTTTGATGGGTTTAGTAGCTCCATTTGAGCAATAGCTAGCTACTACAGGCAAGATTTTGGGACAAATATGGTTTTCCCCTTCACAGTAACGAAAATGAAATTGGAAAAATTCACTAAAAATCAACAAAGATTTTCCCCCAGTTTTGATGGGTGTAGTAGCTCCATTTGAGCAATAGCTAGCTACTACAGGCAAGAATTTGGGAAAAATATTGTTTTCCCCTTCACAGTAACAAAAATGAAATTGGAAAAATTCACTAAAAATCAACAACGATATTTTTCCCAAATTTGATGGGTGTAGTAGCTCCATTTGAACAATAGCTAGCAACTACAGGCAAGAATTTGGAAATATGTATATACAGTGGGGCAAAAAAGTATTCAGTCAGCCACCGATTGTGCAAGTTCTCCCACTTAAAATAATGAAAGAGGTCTGTCATTTTCATCATAGGTACATTTAAACTGTGAGAGACATAATGTGAAAAAAAAAATCCAGGAATTGACATTTTTAAAGAATTTATTTGTAAATTATGGTGGAAAGTAGGTATTTGGTCAATAACAAAAATTCAACTCAATACCTTGTAATATAACCTTTGTTGGCTATAACAGAGGTCAAACGATTACTATAGGTCTTTACCAGGTTTGCACACACAGTAGCTGGTATTTTGGCCCAACTCCCTCCACAGATTTTCAATGGGGTTGAGGTCTGGAGACTGGTTAGGCCACTCCAGTACTTTCAAATGCTTCTTACGGAGCCACTCCTTCGTTGCCCGGGCGGTGTGTTTAGGATCATTGTCGTGCTGGAAGACCCAGCCACGTTTCATCTTCAAAGCTCTCACTGATGGAAGGAGGTTTTGGCTCAAAATCTCACAATACATGGCCCCATTCATTCTTTCCTTAGCACAGATCAGTCTTCGTGTCCCCTTAGCAGAAAAACAGCCCCAAAGCATGACGTTTCCACCATGCTTCACAGTAGGTATGGTGTTCTTCGGATGCAACTCAGTATTGTTCTTCCTCCAAACACGACGAGTTGAGTTTATACCAAACAGTATTTTGGTTTCATCTGACCACATGACATTCTCCCAATCCTCTGCTGTATCATCCATGTGCTCTCTGGCAAACTTCAGACGGGCCTGAAAATTCACTGGCTTCAGCAGGGGGACACGTCTGGCACTGCAGGATTTGATTCCCTGTCGTCGTAGTGTGTTACTGATGGTAGTAACCTTTGTTACTTTGGTCCCAGCTCTCTGCAGGTCATTCACCAGGTCCCCCCGTGTGCTTCTGGGATTTTTGATCATCGTTCTCATGATCATTTTGACCCCACGGGATGAGATCTTGCGTGGAGCCCCAGATCGAGGGAGATTATCAGTGGTCTTGTATGTCTTCCATTTTCTGATAATTGCTCCCACAGTTGATTTGTTCACACCAAGCTGCTTGCCTATTGTAGATTCACTCCTCCCAGTCTCGTGCAGGTCTACAATTCTTTTCCTGGTGTCCTTCGACAGCTCTTTGGTCTTGGCCATAGTGGAGTTTGGAGTCTGACTGTTTGAGGTTTGTTGATTTTTATAAAAATTTTCCAATTTCATTTTTGTTGCTGTGAAGGTTAAAACCATATTTTTCCCAAAGGTTTGGCTGTAGTAGCTAGCTATTACTCAAATGGAGCTACTACACCAATCAAAACTGGGAAAAATATCTTTGTTGATTTTTAGTGAATTTTTCCAATTTCATTTTCGTTACTGTGAAGGGGAAAACCATATTTTTCCCAAATTCTTGCCTGTAGTAGCTAGCTATTGCTCAAATGGAGCTACTACACCCATCAAAACTGGGAAAAATATCTTTGTTGATTTTTAGTGAATTTTTTCAATTTCATTTTCGTTACTGTGAAGGGGAAAACCATATTTTTCCCAAATTCTTGCCTGTAGTAGCTAGCTATCATTGAATGGGAGCTACTACACCCATCAAAACTGGGAAAAAAGTCTTTGTTGATTTTTTGTGAATTTTTCCAATTTCATTTTCGTTACTGTGAAGGGGAAAACAATATTTTCCCAAATTCTTGCCTGTAGTAGCTAGCTATTGTTCAAATGGAGCTACTACACCCATCAAAACTGGGGGAAAAATCTTTGTTAATTTTTAGTGAATCTTTCCAATTTAATTTTCGTTACTGTGAAGGGGAAAACCATATTTTTCCCAAATTCTTGCCTGTAGTAGCTAGCTATCATTGAATGGGAGCTACTACACCCATCAAATCTGGGAAAAAAGTGTTTGTTGATTTTTAGAAAAATTTTCCAATTTTATTTTCGTTAATGTGAAGGGGAAAACAATATTTTTCCCAAATTCTTGCCTGTAGTAGCTAGCTATTGTTCAAATGGAGCTACTACACCCACCAAAACTGGGAAAAATATCTTTGTTGATTTTTAGTAAATTTTTCCAATTTCATTTTTGTTACTGTGAAGGGGAAAACCATATTTTTCCCAAATTCTTGCCTGCAGTAGCTAGCTATCATTGAAT